GAGGAACGATGTGCTCCTCACTTGTGTTTTGGTGTGTCTCCTGGATATCACTAAGCTTGATGTTCGGGCCCATTTCGTTCCGTGAATTGGAGCTCTTCTTATAAGAACGACCCTGCGACCCGATCGAACCCCACGGAATGAATTTCAGCAGAGGTCGTAAAGCGGCAAGGGCGGCAGTGAAGATGGTAAGTCCCAGCTCAACAATCGAACTGAAGATATGAGTTAGCATGATTTCTCTAACGGGAATTGTTATCACTTGGTAGCTGCTGATACTCACAAAACAAATGTTACAAGGTAAGCGTTCGCAGCTTCGACACCAGTTGGAGATTTCATATTGGCGACATCGAGCAAATATTTTAGCCGCAGGACGGTTGCAATGGAGCTCCTAGTCACTTAAGTCAGAAACAAACTAACAAATCCCAGAGAATGCTTTTACTTACACTACTCCCATTCCCAGAAGGAATATTACCGATGCCTTCATCTTTGGGCTCAGTTGAACGCCTCGTAGTAGGAAAACTGGGATGACCTGTAGAGGTAATTGTTAATACAGCCGGACGATTCCCAACAGCAAATACCATTGTACTAACAGCATAAAGAAAGCTAGACGCGATGTCCATGGACGAAATGGCATATCCGACATTTCCCAACGTCTTGGCCGTCATACAGGTCCCTTCACCCACTCCCCAAGCAAGGGATAAAGGCCGGCACTGAAGTCCAACCATTACGCTCGTCACAGTTGTCCATATCGCCATGATCACGACCGACGCTTCCAATATTCTTCGAACGACATTGTTACTGCTAGCGAGACGATAAAGGACGAGCGCGACGCTGACTTTGGCAACAAACACGAGGATTACGTATTCGATGGTCGAAATAACGAAGAACTATACGGCCGATCAGAATATATTCCAGCATTGAGCGCCAGGAGACCAAACCAACCTTGACGGCGGTGACGACATCATAGTCTGGGTTGGGTGAGTCGTCGCCATATCCAGCCTTGACTGATATAAAGGTGCAGGTGCAGAGGATAATAAACCCAGACTGGTGATCTGTTAGCTGATGGCGCGTGCGAGTCCAGCAGGACAGCAAGGCATGAATATCTTACATGAGCCAACACCATGGCATAGTCATCGTATCCGAAGGACTTGCTGATCATGGTCCGCACCCATACTCTTAAGCCAACGCAGAGCGAGTTTACGGCCAAGAACACGATCATCGCCGGCTGGATGCTGTCTCGAGCCCACATTGTGCTTGCGTTTGTACTAAACTAGTACTCCGGAATCCAAGGTTGGTGTACAGGCAAAGGGTCGTTGGCTTCACGGTTGCAGCAAGTAGAACATGACTACCAACGAACAGGTCGAAACAGAAAAGAGGTCTCACGATGCTGCTTTTCAGTCAAAACCCCAATGCTACGCTGTAGGGGTGCTCCTGAGGCTTGCATGCCTTCTCGTGGATTCGCCGCTGCGGGTTCGTTGTGATGAACCAACACTGAAATGAATCCAGCCCCCTTGTGTCCTGTTAGCGAGCTCAGCTTGGAAGAGATGTGCATCTCATCTCCTCATTCCTGCAGGTCCGGGCCAGGGGGCGCGGAGGCGCGTTGGATCCCGCAAGGGCTGAATCCATGGTCATTGGGCTGCATACGGCAATCGAAACAGAAAGTGGCGAAATTTGCGACTTGCGAGCTGAGACACCTTATTGCGGATTGATTACATTGGCTCGTCACAGGTTATATTCCCCGCAATTAAGAGCTGTTGGTTGACACGGCGGCACTGATTTGCAATCGCCGACGATGTTATCACCGATGGCACAGAGTGATCCGCGCCGCCGCTTTCCACATCAGACCACCATGACCGGCCGCAAATGGCTCTTCGTTTAGATGAATTATTTCAATTATTTCTGAACGTTGGTGCTCAAGTGGCTGCGGGACAGATCTGTGATGCTTTGGATGGTATTCAAGCACTCTGCGCCTCGAACCTGCAGATCAGACCTGCATATGATTTTCGCTCTGCGTCTACATCCTGAGCCTACCGACGCAAATCCAGCGAAGTGCGTCCAGTCTTGGCCAAGCAGTGAGACAATATCTCCATACGCATCCAAATGGGTCTGCTGCAGGTGGGATGGAGGAGTGCCCCTGTCCCCCTGTAACTTGGATGTAACCTCCCAGGTTGTTGCCCCGTTGGTGCTATGCAGCAAGACCACGCCACGTTTCTGCAGACATCACGAACATGCGTTGCTCCCAGATTGGAATATGCTGAGTTTGATACTCGAGGACTCATTCCATCTGCGGGAGTACGACTGCTCGGTGAGATTATACTCAAAGAATCCGCTGCTATTGACGTGACGGCGATCTTATATCTAGCCAGGAAGTGCGGAGCGGGCCTCGCTCGGCTCGGGCAATCCCGTCAGAGCTAAGCCGAAGAGGTAGCCCTTGGACCAACGCTTGTTGGCCATCCTGGGCAGCAGGAAATTGGGTTACATACGCCTTTCATAATGGATAACATAGACCCCTTTTTCATAAGCATGAACGGAAGATCGCTTACTGCTTGCATCACGCGCGTGTATCTCATCACCTGCCATAAAGTACGGGGTACCTCGCGCAGCAAATATAAATTCCTCCGAAGGGCCTTTTTTCCTGTAACCAAACCAGCAAGCTAGATCTCAATCATTTCACATCGGTATCCCACTTCACTTCGATCAAAATGACCGAATCCGTCGCACTTATGACCTCTATCGCCGATTCGGCACTCACCTCGAAGCTACATGCCGTTACTCTTGAGCCGGAGCTTCCGGTCAGACCCGGAGATATCACTGCTGACTGGCTCTCTCACGTACTGGCCCGCAAGGTCAAGACCGCGACGATTGACAGGATCATGGCGGGCACAGCGACCAAGGTTTTTGTGACTGTCACGTTCGATGAAGAGCGAGCAGTCCCTGTCAAGTTATGCGTCAAGGGAGGGTTCAACCCCGACCTTATCCAGATGATGCCCTTCGTTGTCATGATTTATCAGCGCGAGGTTGACTTCTACAACAACGTGGCCCCGCTGCTCGAGCACATGGACCTTCCAAAGTCCTATTGGGCAGAGCACAGTTCCGAACAGGGCATCATCATCATGGAGGATCTGGAGGCTGCCAGACACTCCTTCGGAAGCCCCTCCAAGTCTTGGTCAATCCCCAATGTGCTCACAGGAATTGAACAGTTGGCAGCACTACACAGCAGGACGTGGGGTGTCAGAAATGCTGACTATCCATGGCTGACGTCTGATTACGACCAGGCCCTTCTCCACCTCATGCAGACTTACGATCAGGTGGTCCATTCTCCAGGTCGGCCGACCATTCCCGAGTACATGAAGGACCAGGATCGAATGACAGCAGTTCTCAAGAAACATTACGGCTCGCGGAACCCCAGGTTCAACTGCCTCTTGCATGGAGATAGCCATGTCTCCAACACGTATCTCGTCAACGGAGCAACGCGGTTCCTCGATTGGCAGATGATCCACATCGGCTCCGCGTTTCATGATGTGGCCTATTTTATTGGTGGCGCGCTTGATATCAAGACGCGTCGGCGCCGTGAGTTTGACATTCTGGAATATTATCTACGCACCCTCGAGAAGCTGGGAGGACCTTGTCTTTCCCTGAAAGATGAAGAGGTCATGTTAGAGTATAAGAAGTCCTTCTTGGCTGGAGTCGGACCGATGATGTGCCCGTACGAGATGCAGCCCAAGGATTGGGTATTCCCAATGGCGGAGAGATATGCCGCTGCCCTGCACGATCACAATGTCTTGCAACTTGTCGAAGCACTCCCATAGGGTTAGTGTAAGTTACAGGTATGCGTCTTTCCAACTTGACCTTTCGGTCCTAGCTTACGCGTCATCGCTGACACCCTTCACTTTCCAGGCTTGGGAGCGACTTTTGAACTGATTTTTGGTGCGTGAGATTGGGGAGTATTGTGGGAGTTATTCGTGTAGAGCATTTGCTCGATTCTGTGCATTCTATGCAATCTGACTTAGCCAGCTCTGGTTCAATTACCCTTGTACATAGTGTTGCTTTAATTTTCCAGAACTAAATATCAAACTGTTGGTTGACACTGCTGGGCAGCCATGTAGAACATGAAACACACAGGTCAGGGGTATGGGGAACCAACCGTCCTTCAAAACCGAACCCCAGCCACCCCCGGCCACATCTTTGAAAGACTATTGGGTTATTTATGGTTTTCGTATGTATGTTTTGACCTTGGCATTAATATTTATGACCTAAAGTTTTGAGCTAGCCGGGTCATATATTCTCACAGGGGTCTGTATCGAGGACGGGCGGTTATCCCCCCCTAACTTGGTATGTGTAGGCGAAGGAGGTGTAAAGCAGAAAACCAAGCTAGTTTAGCATTGCAAGCATATCTTATTATGATCAGTGTGACATAAAATTAAAACAGATGATAAAGCACCTCTCCAGTTAATTATATTCCCAACGTAAAGCTTTTGGGGGTCTGTTTCCATCAACCTCTATTACAAATCCTCCTAGTATCGTGAGCATTAACTACATTCCGGGCTGGCCATAGGGTAGTAGCCGCCTGCGGTCTACATGTAAGAATGGAGGGACTAACAATGATGCGATTCGATCAGTCAGGACAGTGGTGTGAGGAGGTCATTCCACCCGAAAAGTATATCTATCATGCAGCTTAAGACGCCGAGTTGAACTTTGCATCAAGAAACGCTTCATATAGTCTTTGCTATTGGAGAGAGAATTCAAGCCCGTAGACAATTTGTTGATGTCTAGTCTAAAGCTAAAGATGAAGATGCGATGGAGTAGGTGAATTTCCAATAGCTAATACATAGTCCGAGCAAGTTGATCAAACACCCAGATATTAGACAATGCTTAGATATATCCTTGGGGATTGATGCCACGCCCACGCCTGGATTTGCTCGCTCATCGGAGATCAAAGTCTGCCTCCTTCCAAGCGGGTCTGCTGGGCCATGGCGTAAATTTTAGTAGTGCCCTCATTTCGGCTAGTTGGCAAGTTCCTTGATCTTGACTCCGTCGTGCTTCTCCATGCCCAGGTCTCTCTCGACAATGGTCCCGTCAGACTCATGACCTGCATTGTTGAGGGTGGACTCGGTGTCCATGGCTTCCCTCCTCCTGGCATCAAGAGCCTTCATGTCAATTACCGGGCCGGTGAAGGAGTTCTTCTTGCCCATGAACCAAAACACGAAAATGGAAGCTGTTGCCACGGAGATGACGATTGGGACGTAGTTCATGTTCATCGCCGTGATGGGCAAGGTAGTCGGGAAGCAGAAGAGGATGTTGAGCCCGAAAACCCACAGCACAGATAGGGCGTTAATGAGGACGCCGTATCTCCCCAGGTTGAACCAGCGTGGTGGTAGTATCCGATCCCGACCGCGGAAAAGGACGATGGCTTGCGGAAGGACAATTGAGGTCTGGATAAAGATGATGGTCGCGTTGACCATTGCAGAAAAGGCTGTTGTCGACCCGAGGAAGATGAGGCCGTACGCCTGGATGACATGGTGGTGAGCTTTCCGTCAGTACTGGGTGGTGTTAAGGGCGTTCCTTACCGTTATGAATGATGCCGATAAAAGCATGGAATTAACTGGGACATCGAAATAGGGGCTGACCTTTTGCCAGAGATGCGAGAATGGAAGGACGTTGTCGCGCGAAACTGCCCAGACTGTGCGTGATCCCGTGGTAGCTAGAGCGGACAGGACAGTTAGAAGATTGTGTAAGTTGCCATCCAATGTCATAAACTCACTAGAGGCAATCAAGGTGCTGAACTGGAACATTGAAAAAACGCCCAAGAGCACCGAAGCTGCTAATTTAGACTGAGTTGCCTGTAGGTAAATTTCAAACAGGGGCAGGCCTGTAGCAGTATTCAGAACCAAATCAATATCCCTTATAGCGTATAGCAGAGCACCCGCAAAAGGGAATGCCGTGAGAAACCCCGTGACAACTGGAAAGATGGTCACCAGCGGAACATTCTTGGAAGGGTTAGGGATCTCCTCTGCCAGCTTTGCAGCACAGTCGCCGCCCATAAAAGCATACACTGCATTGCCCATGGCAAGCAAAAAGCCAAAACCGTCGCTTGACCAGCCAGTGTGTGTTTCCATGTTGGTGAAGATGAATTCGGCTGACTGATGATGCCCCTGAGCAACAACGAACATGGTGATCATTGTCGAGGTCATTGTTATGAGCGCAAACACGAACATCATCTTGTTGAAATAGGGGATCCAGTTGGCCGCGAAGATGTTAACGGACGCGGCGAGCCACACGAACGTCACAAACAGCAAATACTTTTGCCAGGCCTGCGGTTGATAGTCCGTGTTCCAGGCCACCACAATATTCAAAATAGTCCCAGCAACAAAGTTGGCTACAGCGCCTGCTGAGAACCACCAACCAATAACGCTCAACATAGCGGTACTAAATCGTTCTTGTTAGCTGGCTTCCCATGAGAAAAAAAGACTTGTTCGGCGTAGGCCTAGACCTACAGAAAAGCCGCAAATGCTCGGTAGTCGTCGCTCGCAACCATGTAGGACCAGTAATACTGGGCACCAGAAACAGGATATGCGGAAGCCAGTTCGGCCATTCCGGCAGCCACGACGGTTGTCATTGTGCCTGCGACGAGTAGAGACCACATCACTCCGCCGGAAGATGCAGCCCTAAGCCCAATGCCCATCGATGAGCCTGTCCCTTGCCAGGTGCCGGTCATCGTAAATGACAGGGCGCCGAGGGACCAGAGCGAGAAGCGTCGGGGCATCTGAGACTCGTAGCCGGCGGCTTCTAGCTCGTTTTCATCTTTCTCCGAAGACATGTTTTCGGTTGTGGCTGGATGCTGGTTGCGGGAAGGGAAAATGATGCGCTGAAGGTAATAATGCTTCTATTTCCAGATCTAGATTTCATGATTTCTTTCTTTGGTTCTTCAATGGGATATATCTTTGGAATATCTGCGAGACCAGAGGGAGATTTGGTATGCAGGCCCTGATAAGGTTGAATTCCAGTCGACGGCCGGGCGGTTGAGCGACGATGTCCATCGCCAATCCCTCTCCCTTCAAATGGGGACTCATCAATGATGGAGAAAATTCGCAGCATGTTATCTCCGGCATCTTTCTTGGTTGACTTCATGATGAATAATTGAGCAAGATTGTAAGTGACATAAACGCCCGCTGCACCAGCTTCTGGAACGCAGCCCGCTGAAACCCAACCTCCCTCTCAGCCCATTAGATTATCAAGAGTGCGCTCGATGAGAAGTGAAATTGGGAAATACATAAGAAGCTCTGATATATCAGAATTGGCATTGCATCCATCATCAAGATGCCAAATGCAAATTTGACTTCGTTTCAGCTGAACGTCAGAGTCAGCCACCTCCAGTGCACAAGGCGTGCGGCCGATACGAGACCGCCTGTCTCCCTTCTTTTACGGGGAAGCCCCTCAATATGACCGACATGACTTACCTGGTCGCGCTAAACAGAATCACAGGTGCGAGCTTTTGCCTTTTGCCGGCGCGCGTGAGGGCCTTTGATCAACCAGCAGGGATATATCAAACCAGATATCCATCTCCATGAGCACTGTACCCTGCCCGATGGAGGGGAATAGCACGGTTTGGGAAGTCTGCCGGGGAGTGATAGACCCGCCAGATAAGCCGGCCCAGGATAAAATACACTGGTTGGTCCAGCCCGCGTCTGGAGATAAGAGTCGCGACTCGTGCAGCGGACGATCTTCACTTGTTGTCACGTGTAGCTCGTATGTAACACACCCCGCACGGCTCTAACATCCCATCCCGTCTCCTTCATCTCGCCCAACTTCGACCGTCAACTCCGATCTAGCTCGGACTCTTCCATTCTGCCACGTCAACATGTCTCATCAGCCTTCTCGAGAGAGATCCAACAGCACATCTGCGGCTTTAGTCGGCAGGGAGCTGGCTGCCGATCCCGACATTGCTAAGCGGGTACTCAGAAAAATTGACTACACACTCATTCCTTTGTTGTTTGTAACATACATGTTCAATTTTATGGATAAGACTATCCTGTCGAGCGCCGCGGTATTTGGCCTGAGAGAAGACAATGTATGTTCATTGGGAGGATGATCAAGTGGTGCGAGCAGCCAAAACAGTAGTTGATATTGATTTATTCCCGAAGAACCTTAAGAACCAGGAGTACAGCTGGGTTGGAAGCATATTCTACTTTGGCTACCTTGTTTTCGAATATCCAGCTACTATACTCATCACTCGTCTACCCACGGCTCGATACCTGACGGTCAACACTGTCTTTTGGGGCATAGTCGTAGCGCTCACAGCAGCATGCTCGAACTTTGCTGGGCTTATGACGGTGCGGTTCCTCCTCGGGATGGCAGAGGCTAGCATCACTCCGGGCTTCATGTTTCTCACTTCAACGTGGTATACCCGAGATGAAATGCCTACCCGTGTAGGCATTTGGTTCGCTGGAAATTCGTGTGGAGGCTTGGCTTCCAGCTTGCTGGCTTTTGGTGTTGGCCACATCGGCGACCACATGCACCCTTGGAGATGGATGTACATCATTCTCGGCGTGGGTACGTTTCTGTGGGCTATTCCAATCTTCCTCTTACTCCCAGATTCCATCTCCACCGCTCGTTTTCTTACGCCGGAGGAGCGGCAGGTCGCTGCCAACCGCACTGCCACTGCAGGCACAGGCAGCACGGAGAACGCACGGTGGAAGATTAACCAGGTCAAGGAGTGTCTTATTGACCCCAAGACCTGGCTTATCTTCTTCATCCAGTTGCTCACTCAGATTCCCAATGGTGGTACGCAGAGCTTCAACAACATCGTAATCACATCATTTGGCTTCACCGAGTTGCAGTCTACATTGATCAATATCCCATATTCATTGATCTGCGCCGGGATCATCGCTGCTACAGGCTTCTTAGCTGGCCGTTACCGTAGCCTCAACTGTTTATTGATCGTCATTGTCGTTATACCTTGCATCATCGGTGCCGCCGTCATATATCACCGCGACAAGGTTGCCCATGGCGTCCAGCTCTTCGCCTATTTTCTCCTATCGTCAGGTCCCGCGGCAGTTCCGCTAAATATGTCACTGGTGCAATCCAACTACCGTGGAGTGACGAAGAAGATGACAATCACGGCAATGATGTTCATGGCTTATTGTGCCGGGAACATTGCCGGTCCGCATTTCTTCCGCCACACTGAGGCGCCGAGATACGAGACCGCTTTTCAGGCTATTTTGATTTGTTACGTTCTTGTTATCGGATTGGCCATAGGCTTGCGATTCTATCTCCAGTGGATAAACAGGCAGCGGACCATCGAGGAGGGCATTGAGGGAAATGCGGGCACATCGGGCGTGCTGAAGAATGGCAAAGTTGCCACGGCTATCACAGAGTCTACTCTGACGGCCGACGAGTCGATACCCGCACCAGAAGCTGATGACGATGTGACAGACTGGGAGACTGTAGGCTTCAGATATCGCCTTTAGAGCTCTCATCATTAGAAGTGTTCAGAGCGATATGGTGGCTAAGGGCTGCTCTAGAAGCACTGTACTTATTTCTAATCATTCAGTGTAGCCCAGTGAGATCTAAATGGTCATAACATTTTGGGCGAGTGGACATATTCAGATTTTCCCCATGGTTCATAGTCCAAAGGTGACATATGCTAGAGAACCCGAAGACTATAAAATCTATCACTATTTCCCAGCTCTTTCCTCCTTGATTGACTCGCAGCAGATGTGCATCTGTCTTCGAAGCTCCTAAGATCGAATTGGCAGTGGAACAGGAGGCACTCCTTCCGGTTCAACCACCACAAAGTCTCTGATAATTGCACTGCCATCAGCCAGTGCCTCCAATTGCTCGTTTGTGCAAGAATTCGTAGTCTGCGACAGGAAGCAAGTATTATTCACAGAAGCAGGAATTTGATTCTTGACATTGCGAATATCTCCAGGTCCCTTAGAAGAATAGCCCGCGTCTTCCCTCAGGTTGACTCGGCCGGTGGCAACATCGTGCTTGAACATGGCGCGATCAAAGACCTTGGAGAGGGTCTCGGGCTGGTAGTTGCCGACACCGTGGCCGGCCTGGAAGATTCGAGAGAACGAAAGTTTGCCATGCTCACGCACAAAGCCTCCCTGGTACGAACAGTTGGTTTTTATATGCTCGTAGCCAGCTGCCCGAAACTGGTCTGCCGAATCGAATGAAAGAGAGAGACTGACGTTTTCTCCCCCGAACCCTTCGAAAATGCATTAGCCAGGCAATATCCTAATTAATGAATATGTTCACATACAATTGCATCGATAGTCCCGGTCGCCGTAGACGAGCGCGACATTGGCACCTCCTTCAAGAACTCGTTCTAGAGAATTCAATGACCTCCTCATTGGGTCACCGACCTGAGTCATGAAGAGCGCTTGGGTCATGTCGGAGGTGATGGTGAAGTTGACGGGGACTCCCAGTTCCTCCTGAACCCAACGTTGGTTATAAAACGCATCGTTGTACGGTTCCGGCACAACTGTGATATTGGAAAGGGTCACATCATAAGCCGACCGCTAAGGGAAAATGGTGAGTAAGGCATCTCAGAGAGGCGGTGGTGACCCAACTTACATCTGAGAGTTGCGAGTAGATACCCTGAAGTTGAAAGAAACAAAGATTCGTTGCCGCCATGCAAGCCTCGTTGACCGTCTGATTCGCCCCGAAGCTTTGAGGGTCGCCCTCCTCGGCAAGGGCTCGACACCTATCAATCAATCCGTAGCAGCCCTCAGCCGAGTCCGTGATGTTAGCCATAATTAGTTCATACACCTCCTTTGAGTAAACTTCGAGGCCAAACGTATTGTTGTAGGCAAACGTCGGGTAGCCCTGGGCCATGGCCCGAGCATCGACGCATGCATCAGTTAAACCAAGAGTCGCCAAATTCAACACCTTGGCGTTCGGGAGGGCGGCTGCCTGGTTATTTTGGATGAGTCCATTTTGCTCTTGAAAATAATGGAAGACAGCGGGCCCGTAAAATCCCCCGTACTAATTGAAGTTAACATTCTTGCGCCCTATCTTGTGTGGAACTGGGTTCTTACTGAGGCTGCCCAGAGGGACAACTGCTCGTTATTGGTTTGCCGTTTTGGAAAGCTGAGAGTGGCAATGGTTAGTTTGGTGTCTTGAAGCTTTGTTACTGTTTGGTTATGTGGACATACTCTTTTAGCCAGACCTGTGTAAACACCCACATCGTGCGTGCCACACTCATTGTGTTATTTGTGGTAGTTATCGGGTCACTTGGGTCGAAAGTAGCTTGACGAACCGTGGCATTAAGTGGAGGGAGCTCGGCTTCGTTTTCGACAGGAGTGAATTCGCGGGTGAGGAGGTCTTTGAACCCATTCACAAGAGTAACGTACGAGAAGCCTGTTCCTACCGGCTGGTCAACATAGAGCATATTGACATTATTGTTCCAAGAAAACTTGTTCAGAGTCGTCGAGTTTGAATCATGGTTAAAGAAGCATGGAAAATCTGACATCCCATCAAAGGAAGTTGTTCCAGGGCCACCGCCCATATACAGTGACGTTGGTGCAGTGGCTGGGTTGTTTCGAGCTTCTGAAGTTTGGCATTAGACACAGTCATCCTTCGAACGCGTGAAGTATGGTCAGGGATTGCTCACCGAAGTACCAAAAGAACAGGTTAGCCGATAGCCCTTCTGGCCACCCGCTTGCATCTGGAAGGAGACGTTTTGGAATCTTGACATAACCCGCGTATGAGTTCACACCTTCCGTTGTCTCACATATGCTGGTCTATTCGATTACGGTGTTGTTAGAACTTTCAGCAAATTAATACTCGGAAGAATAATCCCAAACCTTTTTAAAGGATATTTCTGCCCCTTCAAAGAGTGTTGATTTGATGACTGTGGTATTTCGGGGGGCTGGAACAAAGGTTTGTGCAATAGCGGTGCCCCCCAATAGCGGTAGGAAAGGGGTAATCCAGCGCATGATGTTAACCCAGGTGTTTCGATATGTATTGAGACAATGATCAAACAATGTAAGTAGGAGTTGAATGAATCAAATTGACCCAGAAACATTGACTTTGCGATTTGTGAGGGCGCTGCATCTTTTATATCTCCGTTCCTCGTGGCGAGCCGGCAACAGAGAAAGGTGTATAGCGACGCAGCCTATCAATTTAATCAAATATGCGAGAAACCCGGTCAATTCAGTAGCTGCTATACAGAAACGACTTGGGCGGTCGATGTCCTTCATCAAGCATGGCCACAAAATAGCGACATAGCCAATCAAGCCGTCCCTGTAAGCTATGTGATGCATAATATTATACCAGTCCCACAAGGATGCTGACGCTGTGCCATTGCACCATCTCTCGCGTTATTGCACCTAGCGTCCGCCCTGGCAAGTTTCATAATTGCGACCCAGCCAATAAAACCCCGACATTGGCCCCATGTCGCTACTTTGATGGTACCTGGCAGTGTTGAACTACGTCGTGCTGGGGATAGAGCATTGCAATTATTGCTCTTCAACGAGGAATTCCTAGTTATACGGGTGAAGAGATATTACAGAGATTTAGCCGTTATGAGTTCCGCTTTGAAGGTAATGTACCTACGTCAAGATAGAAGATCTCCATTAATAACAACCAAATGGAGTCTTCTTGAATTATTATCGCACCTTTCCCTCAGTAGCTGACTCTAATCTCCTTGACCTCTCCATTTGGCTGTGCTGGGTCCATCGAGCTCATGAATAACTTCAGGTCCAGGATTCTGGACTTGAACTCTGGGGCGGCCATCACTAAAGCTACCCGCTTCCTCTCGGGGATCTGCCGAACGTTGCTCCAATCATACATGGTGGCAGGCTCATAGCCCTCTAAGGACCATGTAGCCCAAGGTATAGCAAGTGCCTCTTTTTGAATCTCTTTCGACGCGCAATGATTGTCGTACCCAGAAGAGAAAAGCTCGTACTCTTCCGTAAACCCCTGTTCTTCCACTTGCATGATGCATTCTATCGCCACGGCGGCCCCGTCACTTCTCCACATCCCCTCGTGACGATTCATCTCCTTCATTAGTTTCAATACATGCCGCCGGAGTGCAGGGTGCCTGCATCTCTTCCCGATCTCAAATAGGGGTGCAACTACCGCTGGCTCAAGACTAAGCTCAAGGGATTTGGCGGGGCCCTTTCTGTGTATAAACGCGTAGGCCAAGGTAGTGAGATGTTGCATATGCCCAAGGCAGTCGTCGAATCTGGTTTCTGCGCCAAAAAGGCTTACCCTCAATACAAGCCTAAGCCATGCGTGATATATTCGGATGGATATCGCGGCATGCGCATGAAGAAACTGAAGGTTACTGGACTCGAACTCGGCCATCTTGGTCTCGAACAATTCGGTATCCCGTGCCAGAGTCTTGCGTGCTGATTTGAATGTAGTTTCATCCATTGCCCCATCTTGGAACGTCTGGTCGAGCAGCATTAGCCGCCGCATGAGTGCAAACACCATGCTGGCGGCATCTGAATATGAGTAAAACGATGCATCTTGCCTGTACACAGTTTGTCCCAGACCCTCGTTTATTGACGCTTCAACAAAAGGATATGGAGATTTGGTGTCACTAAATGTGATTGACTGCATATCCAGGCGTGTAAGTGTAGAGGAGAGCCGTTTACCCTCGCACGAGGACGAAAGGGCTTGATTCTGAGCAAGAATACGAAAACCAGCAAAGAGATGCATGTGAGAGTCGGCCCAGAAGCCGAGCATGTTGGCGGAAGCAATTAGAGAGAGACTCAAAGCGAGTACTTTCTCTGGCGACTTGAGATCTTTGGCGAGCGCCATCGCCTTTCCGTAATGGCTCGTGGCGCGGTGGATCAATGTCTCCATCTCCACGCCGAGAAACTGCAGCTCCCATCTGCGGTGCAGAGCTCCGAGAGCAAGGGTAGCATGCCATATAGCCGGCTCAGTGTAAGCGAGCTGTAACAGGTCTTGGTCCCAAAAAGACGAAGGAATGAACGAGTCCGTATTGGGTGCTGTCGCCTTTCGGAAGTAGTCAAAATGGACCGTATCCTGAGATGGAGACATTGCTACGAAAACCGGGATAGGTGCTGATGAGGGCATCGGTACATTGCCTGCCAGAGTTTGGGACGCCGGACCTATGGCAGGGCTGTTCTTCAACGCGTCAAGCATCTGGCGCCGGGACATGACTCGTCCTTCCGGAAGATACCCATCGCATATCCTCTTGGCAGACTGGCAACGAAGACACTGAGGCCTAGCCTCGTCGCATTTTACACGCCGGATTCTATGTTGTATGCTTGGGTTAGCTCTCACACGGGTATGGTCGTGGATGGGGGGCTGCAGACTCACCTACAAGAGATGCAGCCGGTCTTGTTTCGTTTAATCATTGCGGGATATGTGACGACATAAGGGAATGGTCACCGAGTAGATCTCGTAGATGAATACTCTAACTTTATTATGAATGTCGAAATATAACCGGGAAAGAATGTTTAGGATGCTGCTGGTCTCTCATCGCTCTGACTGTACGTACTGTGAAACTGACATGATGAGAGAGGCAAGTGAATGATCACCCATTTTGTCGTCTGCCAAATGACCCCGTCCGACTAGCGCGTTTTCATGCTTGGCATGGTCTGGAAGCCCATAAAAAGCTTTCTTTAATTACTGGAGTGAAGCTACGTGGGTGCGTGGCCTCTAACGCAACTGGGATGGCGCAGCAGACTCGTAAGGTAGGCCAAGCGGTCAAGTAGTGGGCGAATCGCGCAAGGCTATATAGAAGGTTTTGACAACTTACTTAAGCCTTGAAAAATTGTTATCGAGTCTCTCTGGTGTGGAGATGCTTCGTACATAGTGCACATCGTTGTACCCGGTTGGTTAATAACAAGTAATTAATGCTCTAGTCTAATCATTACGGTTCTCCTCGCACTGCTCGTTTCCTCTTTCTCATATCTGTCGGCCCCTCTTGACTAAAAGGGAAACAAATGGGATAATCCATTTGAGGATGACATAAAATGGAAGTAAGAGCTACTCACTGTACATGGTTTAATGCACATTGGGGGTGGTTGATGTAAAAGAATGGTAAAAACACATGCGAGAATTTATAACTCGCTCTATTAAGGAAAATGAACTACTTGACAAGCTCGGGTGATATAGGCTATAAAAATTCCAGAAGCAGCCTCGGTCAGTAGTTTGTCTAAAGAATTATTGGAACGGATAATGATAGCCTGATGTACATCAATAGGTAGTATGAGAGTCCCCGCAGGAGTATTAATAACATCCCCCTCATCCAATCCCAGTCCCAGTTCCAGTATCATCTTCCTGCTTTCCCTTTACTTAGTACAATAATTATCCAGTCTGGGTAATAGTATAACAGTCATGCAAGCGGCCAGATTTTACGGCCCTGGTGATATCAGAGTTGAGGAAGTTGACCGCCCAAAAGCAGAGAACGACAAGGTGATTGTGGCAGTAGAATGGTGTGGCATATGTGGCAGCGATCTGTCTGAATACAGTCACGGTGAGATCATCTGGAGAGAGAAAAGCGACGATGTTTTGATGTGTATTAAAGCTAATCAAGCAACACATTGATTCCCTTAGGTCCGGTAGCTATTCCAACCAAACCACATCCACTTTCTGGGGAGCAAATGCCAGTGATAATGGGCCACGAATTTTCCGGGAGAATTTTAGAAGCACCACCCGGTTCGAAGTTTTCTTCTGGTCAGCCAGTCATGATTGATCCCCGCCTGAATTGCGGCAAGTGCCTCCAATGCTCCTCTGGGCATACGAACGGCTGTGACAAGTGGGGTTTCCTCGGCTTGAGTGGCAGCGGCGGTGGTTTTTCGGAAATGGTTGCTGTCAGCCCAGAAAAGCTGCACGCTCTTCCTGATTCTGTCGATCTGGCTGTGGCTACGCTCCTAGAGCCCTTGTCCGTCGCCTGGCATGCAGCCACTCTTTCAGGTTTGACAAAGGGAAACTGCGGCGATGCAGGAGCCCTGGTCGTGGGTGGTGGGCCAGTAGGTGCCTCGATGATATACATCCTCCGAGCTTGGGGGATGAAGCATATCTTTGTTTCCGAACCTAGTCCGACACGTCGGGAGTGGCTTGGGGATATTGTTGAGGCTGTATTTAATCCAATGGAAACCGACGTCTCCTCGGAATGCCGCCAGCGAACAAAAGGGGTTGGAGTAGATGCTGTCTTTGATTGTGCAGGTTCCCAAGCGGCCCTGGACAGCGCTATTGGTAGCTTGAAGTTCCGTGGCAGCTACGTTAACGTCGCCCTGGCTACCCCGAAGGTAAGAAAGAAGAATATGGCCCTTGGCTTCTATCCGAAGATTCAATAGCTGTGCTGATTTTTTTTTTCTGCCAGTTGGCTTTGCCATGCCAAATGATGTTGCTTAGGGAGCTTAAAGTGACCTCGTCATTGGCATACAATGACGCAGACTTCAGTGAAGTTGTGGAGGCATTCACAAGTGGTAAGTTGGATCATCTTCATAATTTGACTTCGCTGCAACAGACGCTGATTGTCTAAGGGCAATTTAACGGCGTTGAAAAGATGGTGACTGGAAGAATTTCCTTACAAGAGGTTGTTCAGAAAGGGTTTGAGCATCTCGTTCACCAAAAGGACAAACACATGAAGATTGCAGTAAGCCCCAAAATACGGGGATGAGGCTGAAGAAAGATATTGCGAACGATATACCACGAGATGGGATGCTTAAAAGGTAATTTGTATAAGAGAAATTGTTCAAAATTCACGTCATCCAAGTTTTTCCCAGTGAGGACAGGTCCTAACAAGGAGTAGTGCAGTCCTTTACTCAGAACATATTATTAAAAGCTAGCTTTCTAAGAAAAAAGGGAAATGCTACTGTATGTGCTCTGTGACACACATCTACCTCGTTGTCTTGCATTTCCGGGACCATAAGAGACACTAGGACACCCCTTTAATACTGTCCTGTGACTTCAATCTTCGGCAAACCTCCTGTTTGGCGATACACATCCCAGTTATCGGCATTAAATGGGTTTCCAAATGGTTTGAGTGCAGCGAAACGCATGGTATAGTTACCAGGGGCAATCTGGCTACCATTTCCAAGCTTCCCAAACCACCAGTGCTGTCTCCCCCAGCCCAATGTCGAAGCTCGTATAATGTTGGTTTCCGGGTACGTGTATGTCTCGTCCGGATCATCAGTCCCAAGTCGGAACGGCCAACCGCCGTTGGAGCCGACCCAAGAGGCCACCGAGCCGATGAACGAGTTCTCTCCTGTAACGGGAGGATATTTCCACGACCGCTCGGAGAATCCCTCTTCATAAATATCCCATCGAACCTCCGTGGTACCCCAGATGAACTTGGTATAAATCTTGGGGTAATCCATTATTCTGTTGGAAAGATTGAAAGAAAAACTATTTCAATGTGAGAGACCATTAGCCACTAGCCTAAAACAAGATACTTTCATGACAGGTGACAGCATACGTTGATTTATCAAGGAATTGAGTCTGATTGAGGGTTGAGATCAAGTATGGAAACCCATTTTCATTCAAGGGAGTCAACTCATTTTTCAAGTCACCACCGAGACCTTAGCTCTAGCGGTTAGTATCAAGGCCGACCGAGCACAATTGAATGGTGTTAGAATAGTCAGAGACTTACCAAGATATGGGACCGATAGAAACTCGCCATTGCTACCGGAGATGGTGACTTTGCCGCTGTACAGAGGCAGAGCAGAAGCATTCCAGCCAAGACTATCGGGATTGTCAAAATTGATGCTGACCTTCTTACTTTCGCCTGGGGACAGAAGAATATCCTGCGGGAGGGATACCACTGGGGTATATTCTCTGGGGGATGATTGGGCGAATGGACTAATACGCTTCGTTTGGTCGGTTGGATCCCATATAAGCGCATCAACTCCACCAGCTGGATGCTGGGAGAACCGATACGTCACAGGCTCTGATCCATTGTTAGTCACCGTAAGATCGTGGTATCGATTAAAGTATCTGGTATCGTTGAGGGCGAAATTTCTGAATTCGAGCTGTGTGTTGTAGCTGACAACCTTGTATGCGTCAATGATCCCGTTGCCAACCTGACTCGTGCTGGCACTGAAAGGGAATGTTGCTGCGGTCCCGTTGGACCATGGAACTGCCCTGCCGGAGGAGATTATACGGCGGCTTAGTCGGTAGGCGAATTCCTTGCCTTGTACACTCCGACCGCCGTGAGCACTGATGTAAAGGGCAGCAACGCCGGCGACGTATGGACAGGACATCGAAGTCCCACTCAGGATTTTATAAGTGTTGTCAAGATATGTACTAAATATGTTGCCACCTGGCGCGGCAATGTCGGGTTTCAGTTCGAGGTTATAAAGGGCGGCCCATGAGGTAAATGGATTTGCGCGATTGCTGGTGGGATCTTCGATTCCAAATGGCAGCTCTGGATCCAGCGAGAAATCCGCCGTAACGTTCTTTCCTGCCTTGAGGGCCTCGATAATCTTCTTGCCGTCACCAGCCGTAATTGCACCAATACTAGAGGCCAGAGGCGGCTCGAGAGCATCATCGTTGTTCAGCATGATAATATACCTGGCACCGAGTGCAAACAGATTGTTTTGTTTCATATAGTGGTAGCAACCCCCTTTTCTGATAAGCGGGATAACACCAGTCAGGTCTTGTGTGCCTTCGGGATATGGCTCGCACGCCTCCGCTTCGGCCTCTGGGTCCAAGGACAGACTCACCACTGGCCAGCCGACAATCTCTGGAGGGAAGTAGCTGAGCGCAGGAATGTAGCCCAAAGTTTCGACGGTTCCGTTAATCGTTATCTCAAAAGGACTGGCGGGGTAACGTTCCGTCTCAACAGACGCAACAGCAAGCACATTGTTGCCAGACGATCCACTGCTGCCGTAGAACGGACCGTACTCTCCCGAGTTACCGGCACTTACTGTGACGACAACACCCTCATCAACAAGACGAGAGGCTACCTTTGCCCAGATATTGTCGGAGTAGCCGTTTGCTCCGCCTATCGAGGCAGTGATGATATCCATTCCATCTTCAAACGCAGCCAGAAAAGCCTCAATCAGAGTAGCCGTATCTGTGCTTCCGAGGCTGGTAAAGACTTTGTAAGCGTATAAGGACGCCTCGGGGGCAACGCCAACCCAATAGTCATTCCTCCCTGCGATGATGCCTGCTACATGTGTGCCGTGTCCTTGTTGATCCTTAGGGTCATCGTCTGGTACCTTTGAGCCTGTCTGAGGCCATCCTATTTGGCTTTGTTATGGGATAGTCATTTTTGGCCTCGAGGAAGATAAGAACTTACGACCGTCTCCAACGAAATCGTGACCCCCTGAAACTTTGAAACCAGTACCATAGCCGCCCCCAAGCTAGAAAATAGATTCATCAGTTAATTGGTGCTATTTAGAACCATCTGGGCTTGTACTCACAGCCGGATGATCGTACCAGATACCCGTGTCCACAATACCAATCTTCACGCCTTTACCGAATATCCCCTGGGCATGTAGCTTATTCACACCCGTAGCATTGTGGTTGTCGTGGTGGACAGGCGCGTCATTTACAACGGTTGCCTCTTGCTCAAATGTAGGAAGTAGTTCGATCAACTCGTTCGGCCAGACATCCAACACGTCTGGTACTCTTGACAGGTCATCTTGGGTCAGAATGTCCGTCTCAATCAAGGCTCCCTGAAAAACACTGCTATCAAAGACCTTGACAACAGAAATGCCATCTTGGCTAGCTAAGCTCTGCCGTTCACGAGATCCCTAATTCCGTAGAAGCGGATCTTAGCTTCTATGTCACAGAGAAAAGAGAGAAATTATGATCAACAAATATTTACTCACTGGGGCATATTCAATAATGAAGCTTCGAGCTACTCGAGCAGGGAAGGAATTTTCAGTATCGTTTTGTTGTGGGTTGATTTCGGCGACAGTTAACACCAGAAATGGTATCAGAAAACCAATGGATCTTAACGCTGATAAATACATTCTTGCTCTCGCATGACCTCGTCAGATTGCATAAGAATAAAGAGAGATCTGTCCCTCAATACCTTCCCAGGAGTGATCTCGGATCTTTCTTTTAAGGCACACTTTCGACATGGCGCAGGATGATCAACAGCGGAAGGATCACAAGCCTGGTTCTAATCATTTGATTACACTACCACCTCAAGGCTCTCAATGGCTCCCAATCCGACGATGCAACGTTAATCGTCCGCCAAGCTTTCTCAACCTTCCTAAAGAAATGGGGTCATGCGAGATGCTCAGTTGACCCGCCTCTTGCCAAATGACAGATTGCCATATGCCTGTCTGCTTTTCAGTCGATTGTAACCTTCCAGTCTTGGGTTAAATCGCGCTTAGAGTTTGCAGTCGTTATATGTGCTTAGCGTTGTAAGGCAACTTCCGCAGCCTTGAACCAGATATAATAATTAATTATTAATTTTCGCAGCTCCTAATAAGATCTCACTATTGCGTTTCGCATTTCAAACTCAATAGCAAAGAAGACCATCAAGCTTCGGGTTCTAATTAGGGCCATCAGCATAGAGATACGTGGCATCTGCTACACTTGATATCACGGTTTGTTCAAAGAAATACTGTTATTATTGCTTTCGAGCAATCTTTACTATGATGCATCCTCTTTACAGACGAATTACTTGCAGACCGAATCAAGACCAGGCTATTCGAACTATAAAGTGTATGTGAAACTTGAAAATCCAAATTGAGAAGTCGTCTGGCTTCAATATTTTGATGTAGACAAGAACGACCCAAAATGAAGCTACATGCAAAAGTCATGTTTAGGCGGTCTTCTTGCATAGTCTTGGAGGATCACCAACTTCGACCCAATCTTCGGTTCCGACCGTCGCCTTGGCATAGAAAAGGCCCTCGGGATCCCACTTCTTTCGAACCTCAAGGAGCCTTGGATAATTGTCCCCCCAGTAAGCAGACTGCCACGCCGGCTGTTCAATGTCGCCCTCGTTCACATAGGAACCACCGCGCGGGGAGGCCTTTATCAGAGCTGCGTCGACAATGTTCGTAATCGTGTTTCTCCCGGCTTCCATGAGCTCTTTTGATGCACTCAGCGGGAGGAAAGCAGACGAAATACTGAAGCTCGAGGCGTTGCGCCAACCTGGATGGATGGCGTTATCAGGGTTAGGGTTGCCAATGCCCGGCCCGACAATGTGCCCAAAGAGTATGCCGGGCTCCTCCCATCCCGGGATAGTGGTGGCTGTCCTGAAAGCCTTTATGAGCTCGTCATGGTTCTCTTCGATGTCTTGTCGGTTAAAAAAGCGTCCGCCCATGACAAAGTTGGCCCCTCCGGTGTCTGTACCATAGAGCAGGTCTTTGTAGAGGTTGAAAAACGAATCGTATTCCTTCGTATAAGTAGTGTATGGAACGTTCAGCTTGTCGAGCTTTTCAAACAGGGGCTCCAGGGCCCTGTCCAGCTCAGCAGCTGTCATGCGTGGCGCCATGAGGGGTTGGATGTGTAGATTAAGCTCGCTCAGCTCGTAGTATGCAAACATGCCGTTGTCCACGTAATAATTTGCCAGACCGTGGAAAGCATCAACCGCTCTCCAGAAAAGCTCCGTGTCGTTGGTATGTGTCGAATTGATGCTGAGAACCGTGCCCGCCGACTTTTGTTCAGGAAACGTCTTGACTGTGATCGAAGTCACAATGCCAAACGTGCTAGGACCACCGCCCTTCAAGGCCCAGAACAAGTCGGGATTTTTCTCAGCATTCGCAGTAACATATTCACCACTCGCTGTGATCAGATCAACAGAGAGGACATGATCAGCAGCCATTCCGTGGGTGGTAGATAGGGGCCCGTGGCCACCCCCCTGAATGTAGCCACCAGCGAAACCGACAGTCTACACACCATATTAGCCAGAGAGTAATTGTCAACGATTGTATACACTTACTCCGCAGAAGCCGCCAACGACCTCAACAGGGGGGTTCTGCTGATTGGCCTGAGTGTATACTTCTATGCCCTGTATTCCAGCTGCTACGGTGACGGCCCCTCCAGTATAATCTCCAGGCCCATCATATTTGTCAATGAACTCTGCCCCTTTGAACGAGTGTGTGTTTATGGCCAAGGCGCCAGCGCCAACTGAGCGGCCCATGAAATCATGGCCAGTGTTGCGGACGACAAGTCGAAGATTGCGGTCGCGTGAAAAGTCAACCCCAGTCTTGATATGGTCCAAAGTCTCGGCCATGATTACATACTCTGGCAGGTAGCCGATTAAGCAAATGTCCCCGGGGTTAGTTGTCGGCAGGCAGGTTTTGTTGGTTGGATAAGGCCCTATCGGGGCAACGCCAGACTCAATCCTACACATCGATAGTTAGACAACAACCATTCTCCGACGAATTAAGAGTCAACCAACGTCCACTCTCCAGAGAGGAAACCCTCTGTGGCTGCATCGCACGCCTCACGGTCGTAGGTCTTCATGCCCTCAAACTCGTTGTAGCAAGACGCTGCGGGAGGGATAACTTTACGCAACGTTCCGCCAACAGTGCGGTTCAAAGACTCCCAGTCGGAGGGCGACGGCCAGCAGTCATCTCCTTTGTAGCATTTGCAAGACAGGCCGCTGTCTTGTCTCTGGGGAGCTGCTAGAGCCAGACCGGCTAGGAAAAGTAAGTGAAAATGGTTCATACGCATGATTGTCTATAGTTTGATTAGACTGTGAGGACGTATGAATCTGGAGTTTTTAATCCGAATCTGGCGATCATTCCGCCTCTTATATAATTTTTGCGACTCATTGTTTCCCCTGTCATAAGCTCACTAGGCTCAGTGTTCGCCAAGCCAACGGGTGAGAGAGTTCGAGTACAAAGGTGTTTGCCAAGTGAAGACAAACTGTTGAGGTCGCCGACTTGATGGAGATAACTCAACACCTTCCTTTGGTATCACGAATCTAATTCGTCGAGGCGTACACGAGGGTTGTCCAGGGGCCCTCACTACATGATCTCTCTGATTATAAATCTGCGGATCTCATTCATTATCGATCGCGGACTTAACAGACGACCGAAAAAGGAGGTACGCTCAATCTTTCAGGCTTGTAAATAAACTAGTGATCTTAGTTGGTTGTGAGAAATCATAAATACGTAGATTCGACCTGATCAAAAGCAGCAGAAAAACCTGGAACTCTATCCAATTCACTATCAACTCACCATACCTTCTAAAAACCAAAAATGGCGAGCTTCAAGACCATTTTTCAGCTTTCAAACAAGCCTACTTGTTTCGAAAACATCACCATAAGCCCAATAGATGGCACGCTTCTTGTGACCCGTACCGACCGCCCGGAGGTCTGGCGCGTTGACCCTGTGAGTGGGGATGGGTCGTGCCTTGTAACTATCCCTGGTGTGACCTCTGTCACTGGCATCTGTCGTCTTGGTGATAGTACCTTTGCACTAGGTGCCGGCAATTTTGACTCTACTACGGGCCCTGAGGCTGGATCATGGAGTATCTGGGTCCTCGAGCTCTTTCCCAGCAACGAGCAGCCCGGCCTACGAAAAGCTGCCGCCATCCCACCCATTGGCTTCATCAACGGCATCGCCATGTGGGATCCGAACACAGTCCTAGCTACCGACTGTGCCAACGGCAAAGTATATAGCGTCGACGTCTCCCAGAAAGATACTTTCGAGGTCGCCCTTGCCGATGAAACCATGACAGTGCCCGCCGGGGCACCCCTGCCCATCGGCATCAACGGAATCAAAGTTCGCCGTACGCCGTCTGACACCTTTGTGTATTACACCACTACGATGCGGATGTCCCTGTATCGTGTGCCCGTCTCAGATGAGATGACAGCGATTGGACCAGTCGAGACTCTGTATTCTGGCTCGATCGTGGACGACTTTATCGTCATGGAAAGCAGTGGGATGATTTATCTATGCACTCACAACGAAAACACAGTCATATGCATCTCGCCAGACCACCAGCAATCAAAAATAGTGGCGGGGCATAAGAGGAAGATGGATCTTGCGGGCTGCACGGCTTGTGTGCTGGGGCAGGACGGAACAAGGCTCTATGTGTGTACAAACGGGGGCGACTCGGAGCCTGTTGATGGAAAAACAGAGCCGGCGAGTATTGTGGAATTGGAGCTAGCTTGGTAGGAAGATGGACATCGGGCAGCAATGCGCTGTAGAGAGCGATCCGGAGGTTTCGTATGGTCCGGAGGATGAGAATATCAACGATTATATAATAGCTAAACGCCTTAGTCGGGATCTGGTTCCACTTTCAGTATTGTCGAGATGTTCGGACCTCAAACTGAACCGGTATGGGGCAATAACAGTCCGGTGATGGTTAACTTCAGGGTTCCTGAAGCAGGGGTAGGACCTGGCCTCGCGGTAGGTCGGTCGGTCGGTCTCGCGGTCTCGCGGTCGCGCGTTCGGACTTGCAACTGCGTATAGGTATATGACTAACCAGAGGAACACTGGCCCGTCATCAATTTTTCTGATCTACCACGTCTCTATAGTTTCAGAGCTAACCGTTCGGCTGATGGTTTATCTTCTTCCTAACTCCATAAGATAGTAGTCTAAGCCACCGACTTTATTTCCTAGGTTCTTAGGTTTATTACCTGCAGTCTCAGTATTGATGGGTTCTAGGTCAACTTCCCTTTAGTTAGCGAGTCCGGAAGCTACTCGGGAGAACAGCCACTCTTACCAGGGCCCCTGCTGATGGCATCGTCGATAGCCTCTTGCTTCAGCCTCTTTACTCCGTCCACCAAGTCCGGACGCGCGAAGCAAAGTATTCTCGGTAGATACTGCCAACAACTGGTATGTTTGATGATGTTGGATAGTCGGTGAGGGCCTTTGCGAGCAGACAAGAAGATGCAGCTATCCTCGCTGATCCCTACACTTCCCCGCACAGATTCTCAGATCTGCTCCGGCCCCGCCCCGAAACTTTGTCCGCGTCTGTGGTAAGTCCAGACGTACGCTGGTCCCTCAGAACGACATAGGCCTGGCCGACCTTGGCAAGCGTTCGTACCGGAAAATGACGCCGTACTTGCCCCGGCCCTCCCCTCAGTCGACTTGGTTTACAGAGAGATCGACCACGTGGTATTAATCGCCACCAATGCCTCACGTCTATCGAATGCAAAGAATCCCCTGACGGGCTATCGGTAGGATGGGCTTCGGTTGATTTACACAACACGAACAAATTGCATAGCACTATATAGAAGGATGGTGGTCTCGACGCTGTCTGCTACCAGATGTCGTAGTCTGGGATATTCTCCTCCAGGTATTCCTCGCGCACCTTTGTGAATCCTACCACAGCACCCGACGGTTGCCAAGGCTCTCCTCCTCCGCTGGCAAAGATGGCCCAGCTTGCTCCGGTGAATACAAGCCAGTCAGCGGGGGCCCAGGCCAACCATTTTGAAGACACCTCATCAATCCAGGTCGGTTCGCCCTCTTCGATTGAGTAGCCCAACGTATACGAGAGTGGCTGGGCTCGGATGTGGAGCGTAGTGTTCTGCGGAATGGTGGCGAGACCTAATAAGACCTCTTTTGACTAAACAGCCCAGCTTGTATCAGATTGCACGTCGAACTCTAGGAATTTCATACTGACGTACCTGAGTAGTCCCATTTATCATGGTTTGAGAGTATGCACACAGCCCTGTAGTGTTAGTACAGCCCTTTACCCCGACGTCCTGGTGCGACAACTCGCTAAGGTAAATGGAAATGCCGACTGATTGGCGGTAGCTAAGCGAGGAGTTTGTTGCAAGCAAAGTCGCCGAGAATGTCATGTTCAGTGACTTTTGCTTACGAAGCAGGGCAGCTGGGGTATCTCGGTCGCTCAGGCCAAAAACATTTGGCTTTAGAACAAGGGCGCAGGATCCGTCATCGCTAGTGTTCCTGTGATTACTATAGATCCCGTGATCATGATTTGATGATGTCAAGACGTAATTCTTGGTATATGGTGTCCGGAGCTGATACCAGGAAAGATCTAGTGATTCCCCGCAGAAGTCCTCGACGAACGATGCCATCTCGGTCTTCTCAGCCGATATGCCCTGGATCGATTCGCTCAGGAGGATTGGGTTGCCGTTGTTGAGTATTGGCCAGCCATCCTCCCAGGTCACACTAGTGAAAAAAGTCTCTCGTCCTGCGTTGTGTTGCGCATGGTCAGTAATATGACGCAGTATAGTCTACCTAGTAGGAGCCCTTACCGAGAGGAGAAGAACCATTGACCTTTCGCCTTGCCAGGAAAGCGCAGAACCATTCTCCGGTGGGAGCCTCAACAAAGGTGCCGTGTCCAGTGGACTGTACTGTCAGGTTGTCGAATCCCCAGCGACCGTTGAACAGAATCGGGTTGTTTGGTGCCGGATCAAATGGCCCCTCTGGAGAGCTAGACCTGGCAATAGTAGATCGATGCTGATCGTCCGTCCCCCCCTCGGCGGTGAGGAGATAGTAATACGGGTCCTTGTAGAACATTTTTGGCCCTTCAAGTCGTGAGCTGCTATTTTGTGGTAAAGTACCATTATAGAGGTTCATGTATTGCCCTGAGCAGTCACCAGTGGCGAGGTCTACCCCACACTGGTAGATTCCCCAAACCCGATCAACATTGTTGTTCGGGGCCATGAGGCAAAGATAAGACTTGCCTGTCTTGGGGTCTTGGAAGAGAGCAGGATCAATGCCCCAGGGCTCGGTCCAGATGGGATCAGACCAGTTGATCAGATCTGGCGACGTCAAATACATGATGCGCGGCCAAACTCGTGCCACTGGATCATAGGTCCATCTTGTCATGGATGCGAGATAAAACAAGCCATTGATGTAGGACAGAGTGGGCGCCCAAACCCCTGCTCCCGTCGGCGTCCCATAAAGCTGAACTTGACTGGGTGATGTCTGTGCATGCGAGATCAGGTCCCAGTTGGCCAAGTCTTTAGAAGAGTAGATGGGAGTCCCTGGGAAATACTCGAAACTAGACGTCGCGAGATAGTAAGTGCCATTGACCTGGAGAATGCTTGGGTCTGGGTTCCATCTGTAATGTGTGAGCAGGCTCTGATCAGAATCTGGCCGTGATGACGATGCTCACCCGGGCAGCACTGGGTTATGGAGTGCCGTTGCCAGAAGAACCTGGCAAAGAAGTAACAGCAGCATGACTTTGGTGGTCATGAAGAAGGTAATTGATGAGATAATGGGGTGTTGGTGAATAAAGACGTCTGCAAGGCGAGACGGTCAATTATAGAGCAGCCTTGCACCACGGTTCAAAGTCACTTAAGCATAGAGTAGCCACGATGCAAAGTGATCGTCCGTCCGAATAGAGAATAGAAAACCCGCCGACACACCTTGGATGAGCAACATCCGGCGGGAAACCGGGGTTTGTGCCGGGTGCGCGGCCGCCACGTTCCTGCAGGCGACATTCCGATTCTGACTGATTGTGATCTCGGGCGCTCGCGCCAAGTGTTCATTCTCTGCCGACGCTACTGAGGCGCAGTGGCCCTGGTTGACACTGACCACATTAACCTACCTACTCTAGGTTCAATACTTGGGTTAACTCAAACCCAATATAGATGGAGGGGTTTGAAGACCGTCCGGTGGGTGCCTGCGGTGAACTAATTCACGGCATGCGGGGGATCTACCGGAGAGCAAGCCGCTTGAGCAAAAGACATGACATCAAATTTTGGGTGCAAGACCGCCAGGCAGGAAGGGCAGGATGTTGTCCCAAAGAGGAAGCATCAAGTCTTGGCAAAGATGGTCCAGAATTAGCTCGATTGGGGGTTGCTTACCCTCATGTAACGCAAATTGACAGGACTTGGCGACAAGGTGGGATATGTAGGCACGTCTTGATTCACGCACCTGAATACCTGAACTTACCAAGTTAGAGGGAACTGCACGGACAAGTAATTACATGGCTTGCTGACAAATTGAATGCCAGAGAAGTCCAGGAACTGGTACGCGTTTTTGACACCTTCCATTCCAACTTGATGCATATCCTTATGCTTATTCTACTCCCATAGGAGCGTGTAGCTATGGGGAAAGTTCAATTCATCGTTGTGTCTGATCTTTCCGACTTGACTTCGGTCCATGCAAAGAAAGTGGCCCGGAAACACTCGGCTCGGGAAGCGCACGCTCGAGAGAGACGATCACGGACTGCCAGGTTCCAAACACGACGTTGTCAATTAAAACAGCCCCCCTCCGACGCAACCCGAGCATGTTTATCAGCTGAGAGAGACGATTCCGAGTTGATGCCGAGCCCGCTGGACCTCGTCTCCGCGCACCGGAATGACCCCTTTGATACTTTCGCCCTCCCAATGGGGCGCAAGGAGCAACTCCTCTTTGATCATTGTAAGGCAGAGAAGCTTACCAAGACTGTCTATCAGTCCTGATTGTCCATCAGCACATGTAGTAATCGAGTTCCTAGATGTCATGACCGCCATCCCGTGCCTGAATGCCCACTGTAACAAATTTTTGGGCCTCAAAGACTATGCCGACACCATGACGCGAGAATGGATACGGCTCGCTATAACAGACTGCGGCTTTATATACGGGGTCTTCCTATCCTCATGCCGTCATCTGTCCCAAAGCTTTAAAAACGACCCCATCGAAGGGGAGCAGCACTATATGCAGCTAGCGACAGAGTACAAGCTTGCATGCTTGCGCACCGTGATAAACGCCCTGCCTGCAGTCCAATCCACTCTACAAGTGGACTATACAACCATAGCCAAGACAATGCTTCTGGGGCTTGACGAGGTGAGCGTGCGCTTGTTTCCGGTGGCCCTGAATAATCCAAGTCACTGACTGCCACACGCGAACGTAGATTTGGATGTCGAATTATGGTGCGATGCGTTGGCATTTATTTGGGGCAATTAAGCTGGTGAATCTAGCTGGGGGGCCAGAGGTTCTTGGTAAGGATGGCTTTCTTTTCTGCATCTTTGTCCAGATTTGCAAGGCCACCGGGATGACGGATCTAGCGACCATGTGGACGCCTCCGACCCTCCAGAACTTGACTGCATGATTACCATTTATCACTTTGTCTTTAGAAAGATTCTGATATTTCATTGAGGCTTGTATATCTCGGGTAGTGCATTACTCAAGTCAAATGCCATAACGTGAGCCGATCGACAAGTATGACAAAGCTACCAAGGTAGTTTTCACTGAATATAACAAGAAGAAAATATGATCCGAGACACGTAGTCCACAGCTAGAGATGCCAAGCCTTGAGACTTCCGGTTTAGGATATGGTCAAGGGCTGGGGTAGTCGAAATGATTTGTAAATCTGCAGCGTCTTCATGGGCATTGATAATGGTGATACGCTGGGAAGAATGGAGGCTCCGCTAAGATTCGGTAAAGAGATTTTCGACGCATGAAAGAGATTTGAAATGTAGTTAGAACGAAATCAAGAACTCGAGACAGAAATGTATATATATCACGCCAGTTCCCCTCTCTAGTCGACCAACATTATCACTGCTACACTTGTGACAGCCTCTACATCCAGGATCAAGTCCCCTTCGCAATCATGCATTTCAAAATATCGACTTTGATTCTCACCCTCGCCGGTAGAGCCTTTGCTGCACGGCATCTTCCGTTCAACTTGCCAAACGTAACTTCACCTACGCCCTTCAAACTCGAGGTTGACCAGGATGTCATCAACTTTGCCAAGGACCGGGCAAGCTCCTTTCGTGTCACGCAGAGTCTTTACCCAGAGCTTACTACCGAGGGTGGTTCTACCGAACGAATGTCCGAGCTGGCCAAGTACTGGGCAGAAGAGTATGATTGGGAAGCCCAGTTGGCCAAGATCAACCAACTCCAGCACTTTGCGACTACTGTTCCCGGCAATCGTGCCTATGACGCCCCTATTCCTCTTCATTTCATCCATCATCCATCCCCCAACAAGACCGCGATCCCACTGCTCTTGATTCACGGATGGCCATCCAGTCACCTGGAGTGGATGAAGCTCATTGAGCCATTATCCGACGCCTTCCACATCATCGCTGCCGATATACCAGCTTTTGGCTTCAGCCCAGCGCCCACTCTACCCGGTCTTGGCCCGCGCGAAGTAGGAATCGCGTTCGACTCATTGATGAAGCAGTTGGGCTATGAGACCTACGGCGCCGTCATCACAGACATTGGGTGGCTCGTCGGCCAATGGATGGCTGTTGACGTAGCTGACAGCCTGATCGGTTACTTGTCGGATTTTCAGCTGAACTCTGTCACAGACAAAGACTTGGGGCGGATGAAGAAAAATGAGACAACGGCCGAGGAGAACGACTACATAACGTCGACTCTGGCATTCGCCAATGACCATTTTGCCTACTCCAGCATCCAGGGTCAGAAGCCCCTGACGCTGGGCTGGGCCATGGCCGATAGCCCGGTAGGTGTTACCGGCTGGTACTGGGATCTAAGGCAGTTGTCCAGTGCTGGCCACGACTACTCGTATGACGAGATGATCACAGATACGTTGGTGAACTGGATCCAAGGCCCGTATGGCAATTTCAGAATTTACGTGGAGTCTTTGAAGGTGAGCAAAACAACATACGAATACTCGGTTCGCCGCTGGAGTTCGGCCAGCTAAACCACGATTTAAAATAGCCCGAGATTCTCAGATTCCCCAAGAGCAATGTCCCAGCCGGCATCACCCAATGGTCACTCGAGGGCGGACCATTCCCCGAACTCGCAAAATTCGCATTCGCTGTCAGTATATCCCTCTCCACCATATTGCTCTTAGAGTATGGTTTCACTGACCCTCAACAGCCACGAGACTGGGCAGAGCGTACAGCCAATGTCGTATTCTTCCGGCGTCACGATTTTGGCGGCCACTTCCCTGCCTTGCACGCCCCCGAGGCTTTCGCTGAGGATATTCGGGCATTCTACTCTGGGCTGTAGGTTTGAGAAAGACCTCGGTGCCTAGAGACAATGGGAAGAGATAGCACAAGCTGTGCCAGTGGCTATGTGATGTCATGGAGGCGGAGTTAGTATAACTATGAAGCCAACGTAGAGAGTTGACAAAGGCCGGTCTTGATCGAGGCGTCCTTGAGTTGGCGGATATATTAAATCTCCTGTCCAGGACAGGTGTCGATATACTGAGCAGACAGGTCTACATTTCTCAGACCCTCGTTTGAGACCGTAGTTTCTTTCAGCAGGAAAGGCGACACCTCGAGATCTTTGGTGCTCTTGGATTTGCAATGACATGTGCTAGAGTGCCTCTTATTCCAAAGTCAGCCCTCTACGGGCGCAAATCGATATGTGAGTAGCCTAACATATGGATGAAGTTTTGTGAGAGCTCCAAGGCCGTCCGTTCCATAGCCAGTCTCTCGGCCATGGCTATTGCGAGACACTCGATTACGTCCAATAAATCCCAATGTACAGGACCAAGAGGATGACACAGAAAAGATCCAAGGGCACCGGTGAGCTAGATGAATTGGATTATATAATGGATCCAAGGCAGTGCATTGTTGACAATGCAGATTCTGAGTCATCCCTACTCGAGACAGGGGTCAATTCCTCTAGCTTGGTTGCCTTTGAGAATTTTACAACAATTAATGATGACCGTCAACTCCTTCATCGAGGTGCATAGATAACGCAAAGTTGACGCCTACTCCACAGATGCGTTACCTGATATCCCTCTTGCGGCCCAATGCAGATGGTTGGTGTAGGTTGCTGCGCCCTCACGCCAGAGCGGTTTTATCCTCAGCCCACTTCCATCCCAACACTCACCACCGCCATCACCGTCATCACCAACCAAAGCGAGCCATGACGGGAAATGTCAGGACATTGAGTACCGTGGCCGCGGACGCGCCGGACCTGTACCGTCCTTTGGACTCCTCAGTCCCTGAGATACGGCTTTTCGCCCTAGAGCCCGCACAGTCGGACGAGGGGGCAATCATAGGCCATCTACAAACTGTCCCCCTCGGCTCTGCCCCAGCGTACGAAGCCTTGTCCTACATGTGGGGGAAGCCAGTCTATTCCGAACCCATCACCATCGCGGGACACACCGTCCTCGTAACCCCAAACCTTGCAGTGGCTCTTCGAGGTCTGCGGTTCCAGGATAGACAGCGTGTCCTCTGGATCGATGCCCTCTGCATCAATCAAAAATCGCTCCATGAACGTGCCCAACAGATATCGCTCATGAAAGAAATCTACTCGCACTGCGTCCGTGACCTGCTGTGGCTCGGGCCTCTTTCTAAATCTGAGACGCAGTCTTATATGGCCTCGGAGGAACTCATGGGTCAAGGCTTTGAGTTGATACAACACCTCGTCGACCGGGACATGACGGTGCTGGATCCCATGGTGAAAGAGTGGAAGGATCATAAACAACTACAGCGTGAATTTTACCGCTCCATCGAGAACGATCTAGACAATCAGTTCTCAGGGGATCAAACTACAGAGGGGAAGGAGGAGCAACCCGGGTCACAGGAAACTCACGGCGAGTCACGAGACAAGGACAAGGACGCCAAGAGGCAAGCAGAGGAAGAACAACGTGGAGACGAGGCAGGGAACAAGGCAACTAGAACGGGCAGTGAGGTCCAGGATTACATGTTATCTTCAGATGAGCAGTGGGCTTTGGAAAGCGCCTTCGACTACCCGGATGTGCTGCAGCGCTTGTGGGTTATGCAGGAGCTCTCTCTTGCCCCCAAGGTGCAGCTCGTTGCTGGTCGCCACACGCTCGACTGGGACGTCGTCTCCGATTTCTTGGGCGACACGCCGTATGCCGATGCCTTTCACGGCACGTTTTCTCACGGCAGCGTCGCCCAGATTTCGTACTACATGTTTGAGAAAGTCCAGATCATCGATCATCAAAGACGCATCTCGAGGCAGGCGGATCAGGGAGGCGAGTCAAAGCTCCTCGACGTTTTGGCGCGTTTCAGACACACCCATTGCCTAGACCCTCGCGACAAGATATTCGGCCTGCTGGGCCTTGTGACTGACCACAAAGACATCAAAGTCGACTATGAGAAGCCTCCAGCGCAAGTGTATGCCGAGGTCACAGCCTCTCTCATCAACCATTCAGGCAACCTAGACGTCATCTGCCAAAGCCCCTGGAGTTCAAGTCGAGATTACCGTCGCCCGGCAGAAGGCTCCTTGGGCAACCTGCCTTCTTGGGCGATCAACTTCTTAGCGGATGGAGATATCGAGCTCTTTGCACAACGATCCATCTTCAATGCTGGGAAACCAAGCTGCGAAGTCCCTTGTCGAAGGGTTGATGAGGATGTCCTAGTTGCCAATGGAGTCATCGTGGGCCAGGTTGGGCCGATACTGCAGCACGACTACCCCCATGATGGCAAGGACTCTGCTCTTCACCGGAGATATGACAGTTCCGCGCACATCCCCCTTGACTGGATGCGTCTTTATCTGAACCACCAGGTTCTAGATAGAGGATCAACAGACCAGTGCATTACGGGCGAGTCCTCCTTCACAGCCTTTTGGCGCACGTTGACAGTCGACTGCGCCGCGTGGCCAACGATGGCGCGACTGACGTCTCAACAAATAGAGGATCAAGATATGGCTCTGCGCGAAAATTGGTCACAATTCCTTGATGGCGTGACAGATGAAGGGACGAACAAGTCCAATTTGGACAGAGAATATTTCTCCACTCCTGACAACAAGCTCATGTGGGACAGGCTGTATACACAATGGTCCTTTTCCACGACAACGAATGGTCTATTCATTATGATTATACCGCCAACAAGAGAAGGGGACGTCATTGCATGCCTAGACGGCGCCAAGCTCCCTGTAGTTCTGCGTCCCGTCCAGCGCGATGGCCTTCAGACATTTCAGATTGTCACCGTTGCGTATGTGCATGGTATCATGGACATGGAGGCAACAGAGTCTCCAGAGCTCCGCGCGAAGCTCGGCCTGCAAGACCAGGAGTTTTGGATAGTCTAATCAGATCATATTTTCCCCACCGTCAAACTCGCCTCTCGCAAAAAGACATGTACATGTAGGAGTACACGACAAAATAATCGGGCGTAGACGTCTTTGATGATATATTCCACTCTCAGAAGGCCCCTGCTATTTGTATTGGAAAGTTGGGGTAAGCCACCGGGTTTTGTAGCTACCATCCTCAACTGCATAGCCGTCACGGATAAACGGATCGTCGTGTTCAAGCAGTATCTATGATTTTTAAGACTACAGGCTGTGGCTATAGATAAGCCAATAAGTTCAAAATTCAAGTGTGAAGACACGCCCGAAAGCTCCTTTCACTATGGTACTTTGAGCCCGAAAATCTTCACAAGACCATCTGATTTCCACGTTGGAGAGAAAGTCCCTTCTCAATATTAAGCGAATTCTGTTTACGTGCTCACAATTTCTCGTCAAAACACAACCACATGAAACTAGATTACGTGATGAATGGCCTATATTATTCCCAACTCCCCCATATTCACGCCTGTATATTTAGTTTTACTTCAAAAGCGCCTCGGCATTTTCACGTAGAACCTTCTTCTGGTCCCCTTGGTCAGGAAAGACCTGTGGCAACTCATGGTTCAACTCCTCGCCCAGCCCAGTCACGCTCGAGTCTGGCGTGAAGGGGTAATCGCTTCCGTAAACAAGACGGCTCGCGTCAACGTATCTAAGCAGGCCGTAGACCTGGTCGGGAAACGGCGTGCCGGCGAGGTCAAAGTAGAATTGCTTCTTGATTGTCGCGCGGATGCTCTCTGCGGTGAGGTCGGGGTTGCGGACGAGCGGAGCGAACTCCACCAGCCGGTCTATGAGAGGGGTGAAGGCGCCGCCTGCGTGGGACACAATAAACGTCGTGCTCGTCAGGGACTGGATGGCCCCGGAGAGGAAGAGGTTGCTGACGGCGCGGGCCGTGTCGAAGAAGAACTCGATGACGGGGCCGGGGTACAGGGCAAGAGGCGATGCTGGCTGCGTCGTCTTTCCGTCTCCGATGCAAGGGCTGGTAGGGTGGATGAAGACGCGCGCATTCCTCCTATTGAGCTCTTCGAAGACGGGGTCAAGAGTCGCATTGCCGAGGTAGACTCCGTGGGCGTTGGTCATGACAACGACGCCGTCTGCGTCGAGCTCGTCGAGAGCGTACGCCAGCTCGGCAAGGCTGCCCTCGACGTCCGGAAGAGGCAGCGAGGCCCAGAAGCCAAACTGATCAGGGAGGCGCTTCTTGAGGTCGGCGGCAAACTCGTTGACGTCTCTGGTGAGTGTACGCGCCAGCTCATCATCTCCAGGGACAAGATGGGTTCCTGGGGACGACACGCTGAGAATCGACTTGGAGATGTTGGCGTCTTTCATGATGCTCAAGTGAGACTCCTCGGACCAAGCCTGCGTTTATCGACATTAATGGGCGCCTTTTTCATAGACAAATCAAGAGGCATGGGAGGAATGTTTACATACAGGAATATATGGCATTCCGTCAGGTTGCCCATAGCCGTACTTGACCAAGGCTGCCCGGTATGAGGGCGGGATGAAATGGGAGTGGAGGTCAATCCGAGAAAGATCATCAGACGTGTCTCCAGTGCAGTTTACTCTAGTAAACTGCGACAGCAGCAGAACAGCAAGGCTAAACAGCATATTTCCGGTTGGAAGGAGTTGTGAGGAGACTTGTGCGAGAGATGGGAACAGTGGCAGATTCTCAGAACACTGGTCGAAAAGCCAAGACTACCAGCAATTAGTTATATATATTCGTATTTTGGCGGAGCACGATGGAATGGCAGAACGCTAGGACCTCCCATGGCACTGCTGCATGTCCACACTATTCAGGAGGATCTGACGGGTCCTTGATTGAATCAGTCCAATGGCGACGCCAGCTCATTGACTAACTCGTCGACAAGGAGAGGATGAGCCCTTGACAACCAGGCCCTGGCTACTAAATTGCGGCAGCACAGCCACTATTATCCCACTGCCGTTCGATCCGTCGCACGGTACTTCGCATAGAGCATAGGGATCTCCGTTGGCTTATCTCTTTTGGGAACCAAAGTGTAGGGATCGTTCAAAAGCTGAAGCTAGAGCTCTCCATGATGTCAAAATGTCAGCCCTAAACCGAACAGAGCTCACCATCGGCAGCTCCAACATCCGATCACCGACTACCAACAATATATATATAAATATATATATGCCCCAGTCAAACGCCTCATCTATATATCGATAGATAGCACTAACGTGAATACTCTCTTGCCTCTCTACCCCTGCAAAATCTCGCTGCCACGCATTGTTAATTTGCCTACTACCTAGGCCCACAACCGAGCCCGTTTTGCTAAGAGATCTGGATATGTTCTTGCTGCTCGTCCACCAAATCCTTCCCGGAAACATTTTTACACTTCTCACATAATCAATTCGTCATGTCACTTCATTTTCAATAAGTTGGTTTTTTCATCTCGCCGTTAAGTGGCAGAATAATGAAATTCGTCCATCGCTCTCTGTGAGAATGTGTTGCTATGCTACACCCACCAAATCTTGCGTGCGGTCTTTCGATTTTCATAATCCTAAATCGCGTTTCTAAAATGTCTAGGTACACCTGTTCGTGTGCAAATAGATTTCAGGAATACCACGCATTGCGCAACACTACTAATATAGAATTAAATGGGTTGGTGTGCAGGTTTGAAAAAAAGGCGCTTAAATGTATTGGTGCGCAAATAAAACTATAGCCAGTATGAACTGTCATAGGTTGAGACCTTAGTAGATATAACTGACACGTAATGGAAGGAGGGAACATGTCTTTACTCCCCATTATCCAGCGCTTCGTCCACTAGGTAGGCTTAGGCATTCTGGTGTTTCTAAAAGAATTTATTTTAAAAAAATATAATGGTTGATGGTAACTAATTAAACGACAAGATGGAAATCATGTTGTTCAGTGAGTAATGAGTAAAGCCCTAGAACAGCCCCAAATAGTATTTCAATACTTAACTGAGTTCAAACTCGGCCAGACTATATACTCTAATTGAGAAGCAAAGTGCGTAGGGTTCTCGCCACTTTCTTTAGCTTCATTTGTCTTGTCGGATATCGTGGTAGTTTCGAACCGTAGCCCCACAGGCCCTCCTATATACCCTTACTATCTAGTGAGGCTATAAGATAGCACTTAAAATATACATCATGGTCAGCCTTCCTCTTTTATTGAGCTACCTAGAAACAAACCGCAATACGAGAAGCAGGTTATGGTCACAGTATGCAATACACAACCAAGGTCGCAGCCAAGATTACTAACCGTTTCTCTATCAGAGCCGCGATGCGCCTAGTACTACACTGTATATGGAATCTCTATACCTCTATTCTCATCTAAGTCTTCATCTTTCTCTTCATAAACTGATCCTACAAGATGGTCAACCGCAGGAGGTCTCGACGTAAGGAGGACTGGAAGAAAGAACGTCAGACGGAGACTGAGATTCATGAGATCGGAGAGCACTCTCCTCTCTATGTGTACACCACCTAATAATGCTACTGAATAGCTTTAGGTTTCCTGTAAGTCCTTATATTATCGCAACCTCATCTTTAAATAGCCGGTGATTAAATCGGTCTAGCTATTTGACACCATCAGATACATGAGATATTAAAGTTCACCAAGCAAGAGCTAAATCAATTCCCCGTCTATAGGTGGAAAGGAAAAAAGGTGGTAACGTTGAGCACGGGATCCCAATTTTTGAGATGATTGCTTGCTAGGATTAGCTTCAGTGTGTTGAAGGATTTACTTAATGCCTGGCTGATAACTGATTACTGACTGCCGGGCACGATTGTGGGATTTGCCGGGAGATTTTAAATTACGCGACCTCGTCTGACAGCTAACTACCTAAGATTAGAAGTAAGCGATGAACCACGTGCTAACTTTAGCTCATAAGATATGCCAGCTTTGAAACATCAATAAATAACTCAATAGATGTGTTTGGAATATATCTTCTCTATTCTCTCTCTGCAGTAGTAGGGGACCTGTTTGCACATTATGAGTGAAGCGCATCTCAAAACGCGTGCGTCGAGTGACAACTAGGCTGTTCAGATCAGAAGGCTATTCAATTGTGGCAACCTGCTTCAAGAGAGAGTGCGCTAATTTTAGTAACATGCAAATTGCCTCGTCTGAAGACCCCGCGCTGCCGGTAGATGGTCCTGGTATCTGGGCATTTGTCGCAGGGTGGAAGATGAAGGCTCAACACATGATTCAGAGTCAGAGGGGAAAATAAGCACACTTTGTCAACCTGCCCTTTAGAGCCTCCCGGCCCACCTCAATCCGTCCTTTCTTACAGGTCGTGGGACTAGGTAAGCGGGATTCTTTTCTAAATGGGGAGATGTTTGCCTGGGCGTCACACTTTAGATCCCAAGTCGGCAGTTGGCCAGATGTAATCATCCCACGAGCTCTACCCGTCCATTCATGGGGTCGCATAGAATATTTAAAATTATGAAATCCTTTTCCGTAGTAGTATTCTGAGCTGTTATGCTAGCATATAAATATCATAGTGTTACCAATGATTTCAGTTACATGAAGGTCAGTTTAGGTGAAGTAATATTCAACCAGTCTCTCACTTCCGCCCCTCTGTTGGCTTGCTTCACAATGGCTCTTTCCAGTCTTTTTGTATGCGCCTCGCTTTTTACAGCAATCTTTGCCCCGTTAGCCGCTACCACTCCTCTCGCATCGATACAGAAGCGTGATGTATCTCGTAACGGCGAGCCAGGCCTGGTAGGCATGGGTGAAACCTATTACCCCCGAGTCACCAAACTCAAGGATGGATCGCTTCTGAGCTGCCGTACATCAATGGAGGGCAGCAACTCGGTGATCCGAACCGCCAGATCCACCAACGGCGGTTGGGACTGGACCGACGTGGGATCCATAGCTTCCGGCCCTCGCGCAACCGGGGATCTGGACAACTGCTTTCTCCACCAACTCCCCAGCGGCCGTGTTCTGGCCGCATTCCGCAACCACGATGTCAGCAACTCCCAATGGACTTACTATCGACTTATTGTCTCCTACTCTGACAACAACGGAAACGACTGGACCTTCCTGTCCATGCCGAGGGAGAGCGGTACCAAGGGGCTCGGGATCTGGGAACCCTTCATGATGGATGCCCAGGACGGGTCTCTCATGTTTTACTATTCCCGTGAGACAAACACAGCCGGAACCGACCAAGACAGAATCCTCATCCGAAGCTACGATGGCGGCAAGAGCTGGACTGGTGATCAGACAATCTCGGGTTCTGGGATCACCAGTCGTGATGGCATGCTCGGTGTTGTCCGAACTGGAGGCTCGAACCTGATTGCAGTCTTTGAAACCATGGCTCCCGACATTGGCATTCACTCTGTCACATCTTCAGACGACGGAGCGACCTGGGGGAACCGCCGGCTTGTGTATAAGAGCAGTGTCGGCGGTGCGACGCATGGCGCTCCCCAAGTGGCACTCGTAGGCTCCAAACTGGTGACCAGCTTTCAGACGAATGAAGATAATGCTTCGAACTTCGCCATCAAGGTTGTCACTAGCACGAACGGGGGTGCCAGCTGGGGAGAGAAGACGACGGTATTGGACTTGTGCGAATGGGCGGGCATGGCGACGGTAGACAGCGGCCACGTGGTTGTGGTGTGCTCGTTGAGCGTGCAACCTACCAGTAGCAGATATTCCCTTTCTCAGATCATGAATGTCTCTTGAACTACATGTTGTATTATAGTATAGACTTCGATGCCCTTCAATTGAAAGCGTTGACTATGGAAAGGCTCCTATTGGTCGTTTCTCCTCCCCATTAAGGTCTTTGGTTGGTTAGCTGTATCATGCAGCATTACGACATAACCCTAAGTAAAGCGAGCTAAATATGGAGACCCATTTTCCAGCACATTCCGTCCAACACCAGGCATTATTGTGAAAAATCAAACCAGCAGATAGATCACGAGGATTTCTTCACTGACTTCTTAAAAAATAATAATGACATCACGATCATCCGAAGACTCAAAGAAATTTCTAAACTGTTAGGCCATGCTTGCAAACATGCGATTTGTGGTCTGGTATTTTCTGGTTTTTCTTTGCCGCTGCGTTTGTTGGGGGTGCGGGTGGGACTCATCGAGGCCTTTTTTTCTGCCAGATCGAAAAACAGGATGAGGGGGAGAGGGGCAACTCTGCAGGCGTTCCCACTGCGAACCCACCGAGTTGGAATCGATCTCCTGATGATCGGAACCCGTGATGGTTTTAGGAGACATGTGAGCAAGTACTATCAATTGTGTACAACAATGGTAGCGGGGAAACTACCTACGCAACGAGGCCAGCTGGAAGCGAATAATTCAACTGAGAAGTGTGCGCCTTGAAACCACCCAGCAGTGCATAGGGTAGGTCTTGACTGCATGCTTTAAATTACAGACGCATAATAGCAGTGGCTGGTGGCTGGCTGCTTTCTGCCTTATGCTACGACGTGGCAGGCGCGAGTGCCTGAAAACCAGCGCAGCACCTGCCTGCCAGCTGAGCAGTGGAGGGCGACAGCGCAGAGCAGAACAGGCCTAGTGCGATCGGGGTACGTACCGTTCCCAGCCATCGCATTTTGGGCTACGGACGGAAAGCTCATCGGTACGAACCGCGCCGCTAGCAACGCCCGTACCAGGAACACGCATGGGCGAGCCCAAGGCAAGGTTCCGGCAAGGCATAGATGCGATCGAAGCACGTGTTGGCTTCGGTGGAACTAAAATGACGTTTTTATAAATAGGGCCCCGAGTTGCTGCATAAAACAAAAGGGGTCAAGGTAGTTTTGCTGGCATTCTACAAATCCATCTTTCGTATCTTCTACTGCAGGCACTATCGTTGATCTGTCAGGTTCGCCCTTGTCTCTGGCCGGCGCCCCACAGGCGCTACAGCGATCCACCGGCGCGCGTTTGCCTCGGTCATTTATTCTGCCCCGAGTTTATTTCGCCCTTGGACCGCATGGGTCAATCTAAATTTGAAGTCTCACACCTTTGCTTTCGAACGGGTGCGCTGTTTTGTTCCTTGCCTGCCTGCCTGTCTCCCTCTATCTGTCGTGAGAACTCTGCTTCTTCTCGCTGCGGCACGGACTTCATGTAGAATGCCAACGTTCCATCGGGAGAACTCGACCTGCAGATTGGTGACCACCTTGATACCTGTGATGCCCAGATAGACCCGGCCAGACCATACAATAGGAATCCAATGCCCAATAACCGATTCTTTATCGAAGCACCCCCTGCAAGGCGGTGAAGTCGCGACGCACACACAGAATGCCGCATTCGACTAGCCTGATACACTGGCTGCCCTCACCGACTTCTCGGACCCTCGCGGGGCCTTGCCTCTTGGCCAGATGACGGGGGTTGGATTGGCCCATCGCGGGTCACATGTGAGGGTCGGTTTTGCAGGCCCTTCCTTGTGTCCTCGCCGCCAGGAATCGAGGCTGGATGTGACCTCCGGCATGACACTGCTCAGCCAATCACGCCGCCGCTGTGCTGCCCCTTGCTCCCCAACGGATTCCACCAGGAGGTTGACCGCCGATTCACATCCCTCTGCATCGTATCATTCCTGGATTAGCCCCTCAATGTTCACGGCGCTGCAGGAACCCTGCCAGCCTGCTGCAGGTGAGGATGCGAGATATACATTCCCGGCGCACCCGTCTGCTGTCTTCAGCATAGCCCACGACTAAGCCAATCGAACCCCCGCCCGCAGATACATGACCGACAATTCCACTCACTTAACCTTCCTCCTGCAACCATCTGCCAGAAACTTCAAAGAAAGAAGCCTCAAAGACTGTTGCCGCCGTTCGCCTTCGCAAGGGAGCACCTAGTCTCGCTCGCCCCTCCGCCTCTCGTCCCGCAATGGACTCCTCCAGCACCACCAGCAGCCACAGGCACTCGAGGTCGCGGGCGCCCAACTCGTCGTCCTCGGACGTGGGCGGCCACCGACCGCGCCGCGCCTCGTCCATCGCCTCGTCCAGCACCTCCAGAAGCAGCAGGACGGTTCCCAAGACGTCCCGAGACGCAATGAGCGAATTCATCCCGTGGCTCGGCAACAACGAGTCGCCAAAGACCCCCACCGACCCCGTGAAGGAGCTGCAGCACGTCAAGGACAAGGCCAAGAGGTTGGAGGAGAAGCTCGAGGCCAAGTCGGCAAAGCTCAGAGAGACCAGGCTCATGGCCAAGGAGGATATCGCTGGGCTGGAGAAGAAGGCCGCCTCCCTTGAGAGGGTGCTGGCCGAGGCCACAAAGAGGGAGGAGGAGGCCAACTCCCAGGTCGCGTCCATGCGAGAGAAGAGGGACGCGTTGAAGAAGGAGAAGGAGGCGCTCCGCAAGGAGCTGACAGAGGCCGACAGCAACAACCAGAAGCTGGATGCGACCGCCGCTCGGCTGAAGAAGGAGAAGAAGGCGCTGGGCGAGGAGAAGAAGGTCGTGGCCGATGAGCTGGAGGCGCTGCGCACGAAGCTGCCCGCGTCCAACAAGAAGCAGAAGCAGCTCGAGACCGACAATGCCCGACTCAAGGAGGAGATAACCGCCCTGAAGAAGACGAATGCGGAGCTCACCAAGAAGAATTCGTCGATCCTCGCCGCCATCAAGAAGATGGAGGCCGAGAGGGACGCGGCCATGGACAGCAGCAAGCAGACGTCGACCGAGCTCACCGAGCAAAAGCGAAACAACAAGGCCCTGCGCTCCGAGCTCCAGAAGCTGCAGCTGTACAAGGAGAAACTACAGCAGAGCGTCAGCCGACGCTGGCCCCACCAACGACTGTGGACGGGCATGGTGCGGTTCTGCATGGCGATCTTCCCGGCGAAGACCAAGTAGTCGAAGCGAGCGGTCTGATCTTCTTATTTTTCAAGGTGCCTCAGCAAAACAGCGCTGTCGCAAGGGTATGACACTGGAATTTTTACGATATAACACCATGGGACGCTTTCCCCGATACCATTTTATTTACGTCCTCTTACGAGTTGAGTCATGGTGGCTGGCGAACTAGATATTTACGCCCAGCAAAGAATAACGAACAACAAAAGGCGATGCTTTCTCTCAACCGCATCCTGCCAATTACCTGAAGGAAAACGTCTGGATCTATGCTTTATATGTTAACGCTGCTTTACGGTTATGTCTTTTCTTTTTTAAATCAGTTTTCCCTTCTCTTTTAACGTATTCAGCTAAAGACTCATGCCATTCTTTTATTCTTCCGCCCGAAACCCAAATTGTGTATCATCATTTCCTGTTTTTGTGTGTACTTTAGTCCTAGTCCCATGTCCCCGGTTTAGAAATTGTAGAGAACCAATCCAAAAGCAACGCCTGCGCAAATATACACGAAAGATGCTTCATCAACCAGCAACACCCTTCACCAAGGACCAAGGTCATCATCAGGCATATCACATGGCAGCTTCCAAATGGAGATGTGTCCGTCTGCCTTTCGCCCCAAGCCTATGAACCCATAGAGGCCACTTGTACCCACCGATTCTCCCATGATGGATATATTACCCTCTCACCAGTGCAGAAACCGTATCGTGACTTTTGATAGATACGTTGTCCAAGACTCGCTTGCTCAAAGATTCTTTTATTTTGTCTTCAAATCTGGCGGAAGCTTACAATATATAAATCCAGCTCGTACAACCTATAGTATTCTGCGACGACGCTTAGGCGCATTGGCTCTGACTGAGCGCGCCTGTTTCTACACGGAAGACAACGTTTGTTGGATACGGAAGGGATTGAGATTTATTTGGTGCGAAGTAGATAGCTTTTCTCTAAACTGGAATCCTTTAATGTATATTTCCAACCCGAACCACGGTGGTATTCCATCGATCAGGCAGCCGCAACTGCCCCCGCAGTGGCCGCTTGCTGTGATGCCAACTCATATATCCGCAGGAACGACATGACGGCGACAATCTCGAACGTCTCACCAAGCGTGTCCGAGAGGAAAGCAAACTGCGGACCGGTCATCCAGCTGGCCGTATGAAACGCGACAGCCACGACTCTACGACCGTCGCTTGTGAACCCCGCCTCGCGTTCCTGGCGGCTGCCCCCTCGCTCGACGTCCGAGTCGGACAAGCGCACGAGCTTGTACCCGGTTGTCTTCTTCTCGGCGACTTCTCGAACCTCCGCTCCCCGGCTGTTGCGCCATTCGAAGAACTCGAGCTGTTTCTTCTCGCCCACAGGAACAGAAAATCGATGGGTGCTCTCGTAGTCGCCGGTCATGGTCACCTCTAGTATCTCGTTGTGGTCACCTCCCGAGTGGGGGTGTACCTTTATCAAAGAAGAGGTCTGCTTGCTTCCCTTGAGCGTGCCGGCCGTGGCCAGCGGCGGGTCTGACTTCTCGGGGCCTGCGCGCAGCAAGGTCTCCTTCTGGCCCCAGAGCCGTGCCGGGGAGACGGCGAAGAGGAGGTCCTTTTTGGACGTGCCGAGGTGGAATGTGAACGTGTTCCAGTGATAGAAGCAAGTGAACCTTGCAGGGAACTTTACGGTGATTGGGTCACGCTTGTAAGAAGCCCTCGCGGCTGCGATTGACTCTTCGAAATCAGGTGGTGCGTCGTGGGCGGGCTCATGGTAAGGCGGTGGGGCGTCGTCATCTTGCTGGCCGTGACCTATCTCCTCCTTCTCCTTGCCGGGATTGCCCATTCTTGCAATCCCCGGATGTTGTTGAGCGGGAGAGACTGCAGATTATACAATTTTTTCGCATGCAGCCAAGAATGAGTGAGGGTCTATGTGCCGGTGCAGTATGAATAATCGGGACCCGCCTGCTTATATGACCAATGTAAGGATGCTGATGTCATTTGCAAAGGAGCGGTCAGTAGAGGTGCTGGGCTTGATGGCGCATTGTCTAGTAAGAGTAAGAAGAGGTAATACCTACATAAGGAATGAAGTAGTCAGTAACAGGAGAGTACGTCGCTTGCTTGCGGTCTGTTTCGTGAGAACACTTCGGTTACAATTTTCCTCCAATTTAGCTACAGCTGACCACTTGTTAATATTAAGCTTACCTGAGGCGATACTACGGTGCCTATGAGTAAGTCTAATTTGGATGCAATATGGAATTAAACATAATTGCCGACCTTCTTTTTGTGTAAGATGAAATGCAGAGGACTATTCTAGGTTGGGGGAGACTCGTTAGCTGATTTCGACCCCCTACTCGCCTTTAACAAATTGGGCATTTAACATGTCAAAGAGCACAGCAGTATCTTTGTGTTGCTGTTAGGGACTCTTCTATATGGGTGGATAGAAGAGGCCCGATTAATTTGTTTGGCAAGGCTAGTTAGCCTGCTCATCAGTCTTTGATGAGGGTATACAGAGTGGCATTCAGGTATAGCCTTTCTTGAATCCAACACTCTGTTACACAGCAGATAAACGGGAATACAGCGCTTGTTGATGTGGATTACATTGTGGAGGAAGGCAAAGTTTTAGAAGAGAGGGCAGACTTGTATTCATAATCATTGTACATTCGCTTTTTTCCCTAGGCTTACTTATAGCTTGGCTATCGACCTTTGCTCGGGGACCTGAGTAATGAGCTTGTCTTTAGTAACCGCTGACCGAACATTATCAATGGCCAGCACTTCCATCTTGGTCTGAGTTTCGACACTCCAAGTTCCCATATGAGGGACCAGAAGGACCTTCTTGTTGGCGAGAAGGCCGGTGTTGATCTCCGGTTCTTTCTCGAAAACGTCGAGGCCTGCGCTAGCGACCTTGCCCGAGGCGAGAGCTTTGACCAGCGCATCCTCGTCCAGAATCGGTCCACGGGCCGTGTTGACCACAACGACTCCGTTCTTCATCTTATTGAACTCGGGAGTGGAGATGAAGTGGTGCGTTTCCGGCTATTAAATCAACTAGAGTTAGTTTTCGTCCTAAACAGAAAGAGAAATGGCAAGGAAAGAATATTGACTTGGACGCACTGTTAGAGGAATATGAATGCTGATGATATCACTCTCTTTGAGGAGTGTATCTAGGCTCACGCTCTGAGCGCCACCATGCAGCTTCGGATCGACAGGGAATGGGTCATAGAAATGAACCGTCATGCCGAAAGCCATGGCTCTTTTAGCGACCGTTCTTCCGATTCCTCCAAACCCGAGAATCCCCATCGTCTTTCCTTGCGGGTCATGCCCCAACGCAGGAGCCGGCTTGCCTCTCCAGGCACCGGCGTGGCAAGAACGCATACTGACGGGCAGGTTGCGGATGGCCCCGAGTGCAAGCCAGATTGCCAGGTCGGCAGTCGATTCATTCACGGCGCCGGGGGTGTGGGAAACGTGAATCCCGCGCTCTGTGCAGGCCGCAACATCAACCTGGTCGTATCCAGCGCCTGTGTATTTTGTGAGCTGTTTGATGGTGCAAGTTATATGTCCCCATGGTGTAACGAACCGTTGTGGCAGATGTACTTGAATGACTTGGGCATCGCATCCAGAAGTTCCGCGTCAAATCTACCACTCACGGTGACCGAATAGTAGTCACGGTAGAGGGCTACAACACCATCGAAAGCACCTGACTTGGCCTCCTTGATGAAATCGGCTCGATTTGTGGACTTCGGCCTGATACTGTCTGCGATAGGTGCCAGACTTGACCATGCATCTTGGGCACTGAGAAACGAGTAACTGTTAATTCTGTGCATCGCAATAACAAACACTCTCAAGAAGGAGCCATCTTGGCCGTTTTATTTCTGCCCGTCTTGTTTGTCTCGCATACTCACTGTTCAAGTGTTCCCAGTAGCATAACCTTGGGCCTGCTCATTTTCAGTTTGTTTCCTTCCAACAGGTGTGAATTAGCTGTAGTTTCCCGCGACGAGGATAATGGAACAAAGCTTTAGGAGGTCGTAATACTGTGGGCTTGGTTGCTGTCCATTATATTGTACAAGACAGAAAGCCAAAAGCACATCCGTATACATCCCATATACATGCCACCCGGCATTGGCTCCGGGATGGTGGGTCTGGGGTGGTCAGTTGGTCGGAAGGAAGACCGAGATGGGCGCTCTCTGCTGAACTAGAAGAAGCTATCATCAAATAACAAGCTCTACTAAGAGATTCAATCGAGATTATTTGGCCAATGTTCGTTTGATATTTAGCATTCAGACTATCTTGTGTTCTTTTTCTGCGGTGCCTCGTTTTATCTATAGCAAACTTCTCACACTTGGTTCGGATCTCTTCATCTGAACCCTGGTCGATCTAAAGCACTCTGGCAGGCCTGTACTTTCCCAGGAATTCCCAGAAATGAGTTTCACCAGGCCGGGAGCGCATAAAAAGATGCGAGCCATACCTGAACCTGTTAGCCTGATCCTTGCTGAGTTTTATAGACGATACTGACCATGGCCATTAAACCCAGCACAAATCCACTGACCCTCAAGCCCATCAATCGGACCTACCAGAGGGACTGAGTCTGTCGTCATTCCAAGAATCCCAGTCCAAACATGTGCCAATCCTTCTCCCGCCCGAGTTTTGGTTGATTCAGGTTCAAGATACAGATCATTGAATTGCCTCTTGCTATTTTCAGCCATCTGTTCTGAGTAATCCCCGTCGTCGTATGTCTCCTTGCTTGCTGCAATCTTTTCACTCGCCTCTGCGGTTTTGACGGATGATCCTCCCATAATCACAATGCCATCGTTAGGGCGTTGTATCAGAGAGAAGAAATGATAGAGGCTGTATCGAAGGGAAAGTGTATTATGTAAAACCTTTTCACCAGATATAGCGGGGGTTGCTACATATGCGTGAGCTTGTGCCCTCAGAGGCGTGACGAAGTTGATCAGGTGGGGAAGCAAAGCTGGCGCGTATGCGTTTGTGCAATGAATGACGGTATGTGCTGTGACCACGCCTCGAGAGGTATGAACGTCCCACCGGAATTTAGGAGTCTGGCTGTGCTTTTCAACCTTTGTGACGGGACAGTGAGTCCATATTTGTCCTCCCTTGCGAATGAAGTCGCTCAAAATCCACTGGGTCAGCTTTGCAGGATGGTTGGACGCCGCAGGCCACTCGTATACAGACAAAGCATCCTTGTTTCTGCTCTTAGACTTGGCTTCGTTGCCTTGGTAATACTTGACATGGGAGGCATCCCCTCCAGCAGCTTTGAAGGCGGCAAAGCTTTTAGCTTGGTACTCTTCGAATTCCTTGGTCAAACACACATCCATAGTTGTAGTATCAACAAAATCACAGTCAATACTGTGAGCTGCAATGAAGTGCTTGACTTTTTCGAGCACGACCTTCTCACTTTCGATTATCTTTTTCGCCTGGTCCGGCCCATGAATCGATGAGAATGCAGAAAATCCGCGGAACGCATCTAGTCAATTATGGTCACATTAGTCAGTTGGGGTAAAGATCAATAATTGCCATGTCTATGTTGCATCTAGGTCACGCACCAGGTCTGATGTGACCAGCATTTCTTCCTGTGGCGCCCGAAACAGCTTCCCTTGCCTCTAAAATCAACACGTCTTCTGCCTTCACTCCATTGTGAACCAGCTCCCAAGCCGTGAGCACGCCGGAGATGCCAGACCCTATGATTAGGTATTTTGTTGAACTTGGGACCTTGTTCTCACGATTGGCGTTCAAGTAGCGAAATGAACGCGTGGTCTGGTGCCAGAAAGATAGGCTTGAGCCCGGGGTTGGGAGTGACGGCTCCATTGGTATCAACAAGTGAGGGGCAAAGGCGGTCGTTGATTTGGACATTCTTGATCGGGTCAAGTCAAGTGCAGGCTTTATCAAGACCCGGATATTGAGAGGATTGTGCCGGGAGCTCCTATCTCGGTGCGGTCGCTATCTCAATCCCATGCTCTATCTCGGCGGTGGAGGCCAACTGATCATCATCCCCGCAAGCAGTGCGACTCCAAACTGGGGCGGGGACAGAGGTCGCAATATAATGGCAAATCATGGTTGCATCGTGACCATACGCTAATCATTTCATTGGCAAGCTGATGGAGCCGATGCCGCTCATTCCCCCATCCACCCCAACTCGTAAGCACTGCGATACCTGGAGTTTCCGGGTAAACTAGGCCTCTCTTCCACGAGGAAAACACGATGCCGAAAAATCATGCGTTTCTTCGGAAATCCTTATCATCCATAGGCAACTCCTTGAGACGTTATCTACAGTTGAGGCATTTTGAACGCAGGCTTTCATCCCACGAGTTAAATGGGCCATTGCTACCTTCCATCGACACGTAGGAACCTCGATCTACACTTGTTATCGTCTCTCGTCTCTTTTGGGTTTTCACGTTCAGACTTTTTGCACTCCACCATGGGCTGGTTCAAGCGACCAGCAATGTTTGCGTCCTCAGACGCGAGGTCTCCAGCGGAAAAAGCATTCGTCAGAAGGCTAGATATCTTTCTGATGACATTTGGCTGCATTAGCCAGGTCATTAAATATTTGGACCAGACGAATATCAACAATGCGTACGTTTCCGGTATGAAAGAGGACCTCGCTCTTTACGGAAATGAACTGAACTACTTCACGACGTACTTCTACGTGGCTTACTGCCTTATGTTGATCCCCAGCCAAATCATCTTGACTTATGTCCGTCCGAGCTTCTGGTTGAGCAGTCTGGAGATCGCTTGGGGAGTGATGACCGGCTTGATGGCCATGGTGACCAAAACATATCAGGTTTACATAATTCGAGTGTTTCTCGGCCTGTTTGAGAGCAGCGCATGGCCTGGAATGATTACACTCTTGATGCACTGGTAAACGCTGGACACGATGTTGTGCCTGCAACTTGGACTGACATCAATCATTAGGTACACGCCATCGGAGCTCGCGAAGAGAATGGGCTTCTATCATTCATGCCAAGCGGTCGGGTCCATGATGTCCGGCGCGTTACAAGCAGCGATAACAAAGACCATGGATGGGCATCATGGACTTGCCGGTTGGCGATGGCTTTTTGTCGTGAACGCCATCATCACAGTGGTGTGGGGGTTCCTGGGATTCTTCATGCTGCCCGACTACCCCAACAACCCAAACCCAAGGGCCTTTTGGTTTGACAAGTCTCATGGCGAACTGGCAATGGCGCGACTGGTCCGGCACGGTCGAGCAGAACCTAGAAAAGTAAGCTGGGCTGGCGTGAAGCGAACCTTCTCTTCCTGGGTTGTCTACTTCATTACTGCCCTCTACGTTGCAAGTGTTCTTGCTCCTAGCGGGAACTCGTACTTTGGGCTTTTCCTCAAGGCTATGAAGAAACCAGACGGTTCAGCGAGATGGACAACAGCAGAAGTCAATGCCATTCCTATTGGTGCTTCGGCAATTAATGTGGTGTTCGGTTAGTGTCAAACCCGCCTCCCCACACAGACTCATGTTCTCTAATATCTTTGCAGTCTGGATTTGGGCAATTCTATCTGATCTCATCGGTTCGCGTTGGACGCTTCTTGTCGCACAGTGTAAGCCAATCCAGACCTCCTGAGCTTGACATACCTTCTGACATTGTCACCAGTTTTTATCGATTTCATCCCTGCCATTATTATGACAATTTGGACTACGCACCCAATGTCAACTCCAATCTCGGCTGCCTATGTGAGCTACTTTTTGTCTTACATTGCTCTTGGAACGGCACCTTTGATATTCTCTTGGCTCTCGGATTTGTAAGTTCACACTATTCAACTATCATAATTCTGAAATACCTGCTAAGTGTCGTAGGATTCCACAGGATCCAGAGGCCCGATCATTGGTGGTTGGCGTTGCTGTGGCAGCATACTACGCAATCTCAGCGTGGAGCAACGTTCTCATCTGGCCAGCCGTGGAAGCACCATATTGTAAGTAAAGATTTTCGAAAACCGGCGGACATTCCATTCAGCTGACTCTATGTTTAGACAAGAAAGGATGGCAAGCAGCAATTGGGCTGGCAGCCTTTGCTTTGATCATGACCGTCCTCCTTCGCATCATTGATGTAAAATTCATGAGGTAAGTACAGTATTTCTCCATTCATGTAAAAACACAACTAATATCGTTTTAGGCCCAAGCGTGAAGCTTTTGCAGCTGCTATTGAGGGTGAGGAGGTCGGTGCCGAAAGAGCTGCGGATAGCATCGATAAGAACAACATTATTAGCCAAGGGGAGCTTGTCAAGGATGATCCAGATGATAGGAGATAGTATTGATCTCATTTGAAATAAGGCCGTTTGTAATTATAGCAAAGACGGCCTGAAAATAGTCTTCAGACATGAAATAGCTAGCCAGTTCAGCTTTCGTAACACGCATAACAATTGAACATCAGCTAGTTGCGCTTAATTGAGCAAAAAAGGAGGCTGGAACTATTGAATATATTGAGCACAATTGATTATTTTAACTAACCTTAATAATCTATTATTCCCAGGAATGGTGTACATAACATATTTTAAATCCTATTTTATAGGAATTGATACAGTCATCGTATTGCTACAATTGAAAGACATCGCAAGCTCTGTATAATAATGGCACGCTTGGTCGAAGCGACCTAAGATCGGATGTCTCCTTGGTAGAGACTATAGTTACCTAGTGTATGTGATTCCCCAACAAGCTTCATATCTCAGTATGGGGCTTCTGTATCTTTTCACATATCGTGGCTAGCTTCATCGTTATGAGTACGGTCTTCAAAACGTGATGGATAGTCACCTGATCGCCGTACTGTGAGATTTTTGTAAGTCATGATATTGGCGACATGCCAATTCTCATATTTTCTCGCTATCAAAGATCTTATTTTCTACCCTAAGTACTGTAGTAGCAGGCTTTGGCTTGACACGTGCCTCTCATTAAGGATATCGCTTCGCTCTTTCATAGTCACATGCTCAATGATGTCCTCCATCTCCACCTTGTATCCCAATATCTTGTATTGATCAGCTAGTTGGACTGCGGCTATGGGGCTCCTCCAGATTGAGTAGAACGGAACCACTGGATTAATCTCCTCTTCACCAAACACTTCACGCCAGACTTTTCGGACATCAGGTAGAATGTGAATTGTCTTGCTGACATCGGTGAAACCATTTGTTGCGTCTTTGAGAGCATGCTGGTTGCTACTGCCATTGGTCAGCCCTTTGCGATGGATCGCTGTCGGCTGCATGGCGAGAGCGACGGAGGGGAAAGGATTGTCAAGTTCGTTTTGGTGGCTGAGCTGATCGAGAACGGAGCATAACAAATCGGCCATGTCAGCGACAAGGCTACTTGAGACACGCTCTAAGCTGTAAAGAAACTGCATACACATGACGTTCTTGTCGCTGCCCGATGTACTGCGTCGACGACAACATCAGCGAGGTCTGACTGAGGGTTTGTGGCTGACAAAAAGCATGTTAGATCTTCGCCAAAGGGGATCATGCCCGGCTCTACAGCTGCGACCTGACACTCGAGCAGTGTGCTGAACCGGGTTTCGGGAGGCCATTGCGTGCACTGGGAAACAATCTTATCATAGGGGTAAGTTTCGTAGGGCATTCCTTGGAGATTCTGGTCTCGGACGTTCTCCAGCAGCTCTAGCTTCGTATTTGCCTGCCTGGTATCTACGCGAACAGGAGAAGCGTCGATACATGGACCGATGACGTCCTCAATCTGCGCCATGGGGAGGCTTCGTCCACTGACGAGATATCCGAACACAACATCTGGCTGTCCTGTGACGGCAGCCAGAACTTTGGCCCAACCAGCCTTGAGGACGATGGCAAAAGTATTTCCGCGCTCCGGGAACTCGACTCGGGGGACGAGTTGGCGGGGCAGTTGGAATAGGGCGCTTTCTCATGCAGGGCGATCTCTGTCGTGGAAGTACCATCTAGCCAAGGGGGGGGGAGCTACCGAGGGTAGGTTTTGGACAAATTCTTCTTCTGCCACTATGATGGCGAGATCGAGGCCTGAGAACAAATGTTTTCATCTGCTCGAAGTGAGAACAACACTGGAATCGCAGTCTTCGATGATTCTACCCAATCGAGACTTGGGATGGCTACTATCAAGTCCCACGCAAGCTTCGCCAGCTTTGAGAATACCAAGCATAGACACCACCGCCCATACTGATTTCTCAAAACAGAAAGTCACAAAGACATCTAGACTGACTCCTAGCCCACTAAGATGTGATGCTAAGCGACTAGACAGGCTGTCCAGTTCTTCGTATGTGAATTGGGCGTCCCAAGCTGAAATGGCTAGCGCGGACGGTTGCCCCTTGGTCTGTTGCTCGATTAAATGGTGCGCACAAGTATCCAAAATTGAGTTGGGAAGGTCGGCCCAAGATTCCATCTCGTGGCTGTCCAAGGGCTAAAGACCTCAATATCTCTGACGAGCATGCTTGATATGTCGACCGTACCGGCCGTCAACTGACGAAGAACATACTCTTGCTGGATAAATAAGTATCTTACCCCCTTTTAGGTGACTCTCATTAAATCTAGCTCACACAAGACGAAAGTGTATTTCTTAACCAGTTTCCAATGTAATACTTAGTCTAAGAGCCAAAGCAAAGATAATCAAGTTATATACAGAAATAGCCCTGCTAAGTAGTCGATGTTCATATATAATCCACGGTAGCTTTCTATTAAGAATGCCGCTGTAGTTAAGCGCGATATTTGTTCCACTGGCTGTTGACACGATCAATTTGACCGGGCGTAAACTCAGTCCAGCAATCACTTTAAATTCACGTCAGCGGGAGACTTCTATGGAATTCATCTTACTTACGGAGACGTATAGTCCATGTAGTTATGGATAGGATCATTTCCGGGGTGATTAGGGCAGGAATCCCGACTCGCAGGGCACCCACTGCTGGGGCCGGACTGAGCAGGAGTATCGTCGACATTATCGCCAGCGCCGTCACAGTTGTTGCCGTCAAAAGTATGCGCGAGACCCAGCCAATGGCCAGCCTCGTGAGCGGCTATCGGGCCCATGGCCGACTTGGCGAGGGTGCAACCGTCTGTGAAGAAGGCATTAGAGCCCTCGGGGGCATTGGTAGGATAGTAACAGTAGCCGGAAGCAGTGGGGAGAACATCCACAATATAGATGTTCATAGACTGGTAGTTGCCTCGGCGCAGAGACTTCTTCATTGGCATTTCCTGATCGTTGCCTTCATTGGCCCACTCGGCGTTGACTGTTTTTGTCTTGCCGGCGTAATTTAGGTTGATATTGTAAGGGGAAAATGTTTGCTGAAGGGTGTCGAACTGCTTCTGGAGAGCAGAGTCGGAGCTGAGGCCGCTCTCAGAGGCAGAGACTGCGTGGAGCCAAACATCAACACTGATGGAAGCCTGGATAGTCATGCCAGACTTGCGCATAGATTTCTCCTTGATGGACATCTGCTGGGCAACTTCAACCTGCTCCTGGGTGAGTTGGGGCGATTGACAAGAGAAGCTTCTGGGCTGTATGACATGGCCCAGAGCCAAGCTGGCAAAGAACAAGGCTGATTTGAGAGACATTTTCTAGAAATAGACAAAAAGGGACGTTGCAATTGAGATATATTTGAATCAACGATAACTGAGACGGAGAAGAGTTGACTTTAATAGTCTACTGAAGATAGATAATGTGTACCTAGATAGATGAGGCAAGCGACAAGACTTATATAGACCCTTCCTCTTCCGAATGTAGCCCTTTTTTCCTGTCTGCCTTGTGATTACTCGAGAAGGGACCAAAGGTCGCGTAGATTTAGAATATTGTAGCTGTTTTAGGCAGCTCTTTTTTTCTTTTCTGTCAATCTATCTGAAGTCTTCGCCAGCCCCAAACACTGCCCCTTCTAATTTTGGGCGCGGCAAATTTAAGGGGGCGGCCCTCGTGTGCACTTGAGGCACGCCAAGGCTGAAGGGGCTTTGTTTTCTCTGCCTTGCACAAACATCGCATCTAATAAAGGGGACTTCTAGGTAAGACAACTTGAATATCGCTTCATTGAACATGAAGTCTAACCGTTCCTCTACCGTTCAGTATCTCGTCTTGATATAGTAGATCTTCAACCCTTGATGAACGAAATTTGGCTGTCCAAGCTCACACTTTAATGCAATGTTGTCAGTATCAGGCGGAAAGATCTGTTTCAAAAGTGAGCAGCGGCCGAATACGCTACGCGCCCCGTCACCTTGCTTACTGTCGATCTTCTTGCCCCCATGGGTAAGGTGGTTACGATACAAGATAAATGATTGGCGGAAGCTCTACCTTGCCGCACGGCAGCACTTCCAGGGATCAACCTATGGTGCCACTTCATGCTTAATACGCGCATGGCCTGAGAAAGGAAGGACAACGCGGGTTCTTTCTTTCTAAGAAGGAGTGAATTGATCGCATGAGCAATATCCTCGTCCTTTTGAAGTAAGACAAGTGGCAACATATACCTTACGATGTGTGATGATTGGATTTAAAAAAGAATGGGAAATGTGAATTAAGTATTAACGCGATTGTTTGATAGAAAGTTTCTCTTGGACAGCTTCCCTAATTGCTAGACTACTTCGTGCTGAAAAAAATTCGTAGAAATAATAGAACTCGATATGTTCTGCAAAATTTCTGACTATCTAGAGCCCGCCAACGTTGAGCTTAAAACACTGAAACATTATTGCCAGATTATTGAGATCTAATAATAATGTCTACGATTTATTGATATCGTTTAATACCGCCGCATCATTCTAGTCATCATGGAAAGTGGTCTGGTCATAACCGCCCTGTAATTCGTTGATGTGAGCACTATTTTGGCATTTACCCTCAATCATCATTAGCTGATGTGCGAAACAACATGGCTAGCTACCTTAGCTACCCTAGACCTTTGAAATCCTCTATACAACATCAATGCAAGAAGGAATGAAAGAAAGAGAGAAAGAAGACTTTTTATAGATTGAATAAGTCTGAGGGTAGGGAATTTACGTGTTACTGAGTCATTAGATTGAGACCACACCCATATGTATCGATTGAGCTTAACTGATTGAAGCTTTGTAAACTTTGCTAAAGTACCACACGGGTGGTTGTTATGCCTTAACAAATGTCTCTTGACTGACGAGAATCATCAACTCATTCCTGCATCTGCCTAAAGGTTGCATTACAGCCTCCGAGAATTCCCTTTTCGCACAGTTTCAATACGAGCTGATTCCTCTGCGGAGAGCAACCAAATCCGACGCTGCGCCTCTCTGAAATGGGCGCCACGTTGGGGGTTTGAGCTTTGGATGGGAGCTGCTGACATGATGTCACACATGCCTTTGCCGCTCGCAGTTTCAAACGCTGTGGTTCCATTTCAGCCCACGCACGGAAAAAAGGGATATTACGGGCATTTGCACGCTTTGTTCTTGCGATGTGGTAAATTGAAAGCTTTGGTCAAGATGGGCTAGGTAGTCGATCTCCCGGGGTTGTGCTTTTGCTTGGCTGTTTAACCCCGGATATACATACGATGGCAGAGTCTAGCTATTTCTATGGTTGCGCCAGAAACCCCGCAATCGAATCTCAATTCCCGTTCTCAATATGCACCAGGCTTGCGCTCAGATTCCAAAGTCTCTCTTCACCATCTTGGTCATAGAGATGCGGGGCGTATCCGGGGTCGAACTCGGCCGGACTGAGAGTCTTGGCTGGGCCCGCGACACTGCACTGAGACAGATACTTGCCACCCTGTCCCTCTAGCTCAACAGCCACGGCTGCCCATACCGATGTAGCAGCTCCCTGCTGGGCTGTCTGCCAGGCCTTGGAGCCCTCTGGGTCCTCGAGCAGCTGCTTCATCAAAGCCGGATCGCAGAACGCCTGGATCCCGGATGAGATTGCGCCAGGGTGAACCGAGAACGCCCGTACGCCCAGTGGTCCAAAAACACGATCGATGTAGTTGGCAGTCCACGCGTTGGCAGTCTTCGACTGCCCGTATGCTGTAAATGGTTCATACGAGCCTGGCTTCTCAAAGTTGTAGTTGTCGAACTGAAAAGTCGACAGCCGATGCCCCGTTGATGAGAGATTGATGACTCGCGAGTTTTGGCCGGCAGTGCTGGACGACTTCAAGGTTGGTAGAAGCAACGTGGTGAGGAGGTAGTGCGCCAAATGGTTGACCGCAAATTGCCTCTCGAAACCTTCCTTCGTCTTACTATAGGGGGTTGCCATGATACCTATCAGTGGCCTACATCAGTAAACCAAATCCTTGAAGGGACGCAACTTAATGTTCATACCGGCGTTGTTAATGAGAATATTAAGCTTGCTGCTCTTTTTGAGGAAGGAATCGGCTGCTTCGCGGACTGACTCAAGTGAGTCTAGGTCCATCGCAAGGACTTGGAGTAGACCTTCGCCACGACTGCTTTTAGAGATATCTTCCAATGTATTCTGTCCCTTACTGGCATCTCGGGCTGTGAACCAGACGTCTGCCCCTGTTGCATGAAGGGCTCGAACCGTTTCAACACCGATGCCAGAGGTGCCTCCAGTGACCAAGACAACGCGGCCCTTCCAAACGCCAACAAGCTGATTGTCTTCGACAATCTGCAGCGCAGTAGGGCGGGCATCGCCGGGGCCGTTGGGTGAGCGGTACGACTCTGCATACGACTTGGTGGGATTCGACATGATGTATTGTAGGTGACGATATTCTACTTGAAGAGGTTGCTGGTGTGATCTGGCCTGTGGTCTTGGAGTGAGGAATATGGCGAGTTTAAATACATCATGGGGACCTAACAGACCCACGAATCGAATGTGATTTCTTGACCTAGATTCTATTTCCATTCTCTGCCTTTGGACTTTAGACGTCGTGTGTCAAATTGTGAGCGGAAGTGAGCGGACGTTTGCGCTCCAGGCCGATATACGCTCTCTGCCTACCCAATGTGGAATAGCTTTGCTGATCAATCAGCGCCAATTTCCGCTCGCCAACATATTTGATCTCTCGTGACTCCAAACACGGAGCGGTGATGCCCGCTGAAAGAAACATTCAGCCGCCTCCGCCCCTGAAAACCTAACGAACAGTGGGCGACTGGGAAGTCTTGAAAGGAAGAAAGCCATTCAAAGCTAGCTTGGTCTTCCAGGATGACGCGTGCAAAGCCATTGCAATCATGCCAAGCTTGCAGGTGAGCCCCCCTCCGAATTGGAAGTCGGAAACAGATGCTAATGATTAGCAAGACGACTGAAGCGGAAGTGCTCCAAAGACGTGCCGGCTTGTTCCCTCGTAAGTCAATCCGTCAGCCAACCCATCAATCTTCCAAATCAATCTTAGAATTCAGCCTGCCCTCAACATACTGAGTTATTTTTTTAGTGCATCCGCCTCAATAAAGAATGCATCTATCCCGGGTTCCAGAGCCAGGATCAGAATGTCCTAGTTGATGTTTTCGACAGACTCCGCCACTTGGAAGAAAACCTGGACGTGAACAAGCGGGCTTCATCTCAGGTCTCCTTGCGTCAGAATACCACCCAATCATTTCCCGGCATTGAAGGCATGAAAATTCCGTTCCCAGCCGCCTTCTTCCTGGATAATGGGTCGTTTAGAGCCTTGGGAGCCAACACTCTGTCATGGGGTCTCGATCATTCGCTGCAGCAAGGGGCTTCAAACCTTCTCGGGGTAGATCGGACTGAAGCGTGCTCAAGATACTTCTCCTCTGTCCACCCATGGTTTTCCTTCTTAAGCCAAAAGCGTCTGAATAACGGGGATAAGGGCTCATCCGCAGATTTAGATGGCTGTGAACCACTCTTAATTTTATGCTTCGGGCTCCTTACAGAGGAATTGGTGAATTCGCCACGAGAACGCCCCCAAACAAGCAAGCTCTACTCATCGATACGGGCGAGCTTGTCGGCAGCCGTGGACAGTGGTTGTGTATCGTTGAGGTTAGTACAATCGCTCGTGCTCTTGTCTCTCTATGAGCTAGGCCATGCAATCTATCCTACCGCGCATCTCACTCTAGCCCAAGCTGCCTGCATGGGCACCTTGATGGGGCTTCAAAGTAAGACCAAAGCCTCGAGACTCTTCACCCCTGCAAACTCATGGACTTTGCGTGAAGAGCAACGCCGCACGTGGTGGGCCATTCTAATTCTTGACAGGTACGTGCGAGTATGCGTCTCAGCCGTCTGGCATGTCTTCTCGCCTAGTACCAGCTAACGCGTTCAACAGATTTGCCAATATCGGGGCGGGAGGCCAATCTCTCTGTGCACCTGATCCCACTTCAACTGACCTGTTGCCTGTCAATGATACCTCGTGGGACGCCGGACAAGTGGTCGCCAACGAGCCGCTATATACTACCGAATTCTGCTGTGTGGCAATGGTCAGCCCGCTTGCGCGAACATGCCAGGCTGCGCATATGTTAGGAAAGATAATCCAACACGGTAGGGATACTGAGGATCCGGCTCACAGCCTGGCTGAGGCACTTCAAATCCACCGGGCGTTATCTTCGCTCCTTAGCAACCTAGAGCTCAGGGAGGACCTTGAGTCAAACGTTTCAGCGCTGAGTCTTTGCTGTTCCGCTATTTTCCTTCTCTATGATCGATATCAAGCGAACGAATCGGATGAGATGGTGCGGCTACCAGCTGAAACGGAGCTGCAACACCTCACACTGGAAAGCATTCGGGGTATTGCCTCTAGCTCTGCGCCAAAAATTGCGCAAATAATCCGAAGACAAGGAAATCTGGCCAAAAGCCTACTTAATGGACCCTCTCTCTACCGCGCTGCGAATATATGTGCCTGGTTCATCAGAGAGGATCACGACCCAGTGATGTACGAGGCTCTAGAAGCTATTGTAACTGGACTCAAGGGCTTGCAAGCCCGTTGGCCAGTAGCCGGTAAGTTGAAATCAATAATTATCCCGCATTTCCATTTGCTAAAAGTGTTTTAGGAGAGTATCTGAACCTGCTTGGAGTGGCTGGGGTTCTTGAGTTTGTGGATACAGCACCCGGACTCCGTAGGAGCGAGGTTGATATGGCGTAAATAATGTTGAACAATACTGGCGTGGGGCGCGGTGGTTGTCTGTAGTGTGTGTCGATCGTGTGTGGCCATGTGTGGTTGTGTGTTGATTGTGGTTTGGTGGAAGAGGTGTAGACTCCTTGGGACTGGGGGGAAAACCACATGGTCCAAGAATCAGAGTCACTCCATTAAATATGCGTAAATTATAAAATAACCCTCGTTAATAAGTGTCCTCGTCAAAATAAGGCCCGCCGCTGGATAGTGCGACTAGGAGTCTCTTTTCCAGAAGCGTATTGGCTCCTTTGTGTCTCGGCTTCCTAGTTGCATCTCACAGAATATCATTCAAGAGGGCCTATTAAACCAGTTCAAAATCCGACACAGCCACCCCATCAAAGAATCCAGTTCTGTAATCTCGCGCTATACCGACGCGTCGGAGGCGAGAATCTTGAATCCTCTCAACGAGAAGAAAGGCCGTTTCAGTAAGTTCCAAAGCGAAGATTGTCAAAGAACGCTGTAGAACTCGGTGAACCGAAGATATATAGTCCAGTTGCCCAACGATTTCCTGCTTCCTCGCTTCATAGGCCACTATGAAGCCGGTGTGGGTATCAGCAGAGTATACGGGCAGCTCCGGTACGATCCAAAAGTTGAATAGAGGGTTCGTAGAAGATCGATCCCGTTGGCTACCAGGGTCTTGCTCAAGAATAGAATCCCATGGACATAGGCTGGCATCTTCATGCCAAAACGGCCTCAACCTTGCCCTCACCCGGAGCCCAGCAACTCGTGAACCTTTGTAGATGTCGTCGTCGGAAACTGTGTCAGAGGTATCGTAACTCCAACTGCTTACATATTCGAGACCTCCAAGAGTCTGAACTTCTGTCTCATACTCGATGCCGTGGCAGAGGGGCAAGGACGCCCAAGACCAAGAGGGAAAGGTTTGGCTCGAATCGACTGCTTCCCGAGGCACGAACTTGGCAACCCGCCACGAAAGATCGTGAGCCAATGTCAATTCCCACAGTCCAGACAGGTAAGTATTTTTCTGGTCAAAACTCGACTGATACCGAGATGCAAGACCAGAAAGGGCGGGGAAGCGGTCGTTTGGATTGGACATGTCTCGGAGTGTGTATGATGTAACTAATGATAACCATCCTCGGTGCCGAGTTTCGGCAGTACCATGATGGCATGCAACCAGGAAGCTTTGGGGCAAGTCTGTATTGAAGCCGCTCAGTTTATACTTTGTTGCAGGAATCGCAGTCTCAGTTAGTTGGGCGTCAGCGCAGGACCAGTAAATTTTGTTGGGTGTCCAATATAGCACCCTCGGTGATAAATGCTCTTCTTGTAACGTCCAGGATCGCTTGGTCAAAGGGGAGGACCTCAGAATCTCAGCCAACGTGATAAGAGGAGGGAGTAAATATCGCCCACGGAGATGACAGGACTGAGTGACCTGGGAATAAGCAGAGCGAGGAGACAATATGGCTTCAGTCGCTTTGGAGTTGGAACACAATGCTAGGGTAAAGAAAGCATTACCGTAATAGCTATGCATCCTCGGTGCTTCACGCATGAAATCAGACATGTTGCTTTGGCCTTGAATAATGCACACGGAGTCAATCCATACATAGGCTAGCCCTGCACGTCTGAAGATTGTGATGGCATCACGGAGGGTGACAGGGAGGTCCAAGATTGAGAATGCCTGGTACCGCTGTTCTAGGTTCTCCAAGGTAGTCATTCCTTCGTGCAAAAGTTTAGTGTCTTTCTCCGTCAGGAATTGCGACCCCCAGCAGTAGCTGAGGGCAGCATATTGTACCTGCTCATCAATGGAACATAATTGCAGCTCTGACTCAGAGACTATACGAATCAGCCTCGTAGGGTTCTCTGAAGACCATCGCAAGACTGAACAGCTTTGCTTGTGATCTTGATGGCATGTCCCAGCCCAGCTTCTTATTTGCCGTGCTATCCATTGAGAATTGGGATTTTCGGGGAGATTGAGAGAGGATTGAGCCGTCGAAGAGGTTGGGATAAGGACAGATTTGTCCGAATGGTTCAGTATTTCAACCTTGAAGTCGACAGTGCTCTCCAGACTTTCCCCTGGGGTGTTTTCTGGAGTATTCCCCCCTTGGTAGTTGAAGATGGGGCGCACATACACAGGGCAATGCCTTGTGGTCACAGCAAGGGTATTGGCCTCGCCAGTAGTCGCGCATCGAGCAATAATCGCTTGGCGAAACACGCGGCAAGTGTGACATCTCTTCGCGCATTCTGAGAGCTCGGCGAAGTCGTTATGAAAAGGCAGACGACCAGTCGGGGACGGTGTACCTTTCTTGCGCGACTCTGAATGGAGGTCCAGTAGGATCTCAATTTGCGTGCATCCTCGGCAAATCGATTGGAGATCAACACCAATTTTTGTCTTGCTATAATCAGACTGCTTGCCCTTTCCCGAAAACCACATGGTGAGCAAGCCGTAGTCTTTCCCCCGGGCTACTTGATGAGCGATGTATATTAAGGATGATGGTAGTAGAATACCTCATCATCGTCTTACCATCAAATGTTTCAGGCATCAACATTTGAATGATGATTACCTACTTGATGAGTGGCGATCTGATTGTGGCTGTGCAAGATTATGTGAAACGTCAGCCAGCTCAGCCCCACTTTCGACTTCAGCCATCTTCCATCATCATTCATCAACGAACAAGAAAAGCCCGGGCAAATACCTCTCCGCAGCCGCCATCCACTGCTCTTCATAAGTTAAATATATCGACTCAAGGTTGATACCTACCGTGGAGAATGCCTTCCCTCGAATCCGATAGCTGGCATGTACGCCCTCGAGCCATGACGTTTCTCCCCAACTTGCTGACGGGCGCCGACGTCCTTGTCGGCGATCTTGTTTGCCAGGCGGTTCACATATCGTGCCTTGTATTGCATGCTCTCATTCTTGGCGCGGGAATTTATGGATTCATATCATGTAGTAGTGATATGGGTTTCAGTGAGCATCATTGCTCCTCTAACGGCTCAAGGATAAACCTTCCATGGTCAGCATCGCTCATGGTATGCCCTCGCCAGTCCTTCATGCGATTATCCATATTTTCCATCGCTTGATGGTTATCTTTTACGAAAATAATGGGCAAAGAAACCATATTGATAACTTTGGTAGGGGATGGTGACCGAGTTCGCGAATCTAGTCTATCTCAGCCGAATCTCAGCTCTCGAAAAGCGAGAAACAGATAACACAAGCCATCAGCAGCGGCTCCAAAAGCTGTACACCCTAACGGTTGGCATGCTTTTCAACATTATATTCATGCTCGTTGATTTTATCATCATGCAGAAAGCAAATTCCTTGGCCGAAGGAAGATGGACTCACCTCTCCATCCTTGCCACGATAGAAATGATTGGCGGGTAAGTCCCCGCGCTCTTGACAGGCGTTAAACAGTGCAGATGATTGACCCAGATACAGAGCCCTCTTGATGGCTTTATTGATTCTTCATGCTTGCAAGCTATACAGAGTTCTTCGTCAGAGGAGTCAAGTGTACGAGGTTTTAAACAATCTGGAGGAAGGGTTCGAGGATGAATATCGGGATTTGGAATGATGAAAGTCCTTACCTTGCGCCTCTTCCACCAGGAGGTGGTTAAAGTACACCGCTCGGTCATGTTTTATTTTACTCCCTGGATTGCCACGTGTGGTAGTCTTTGGTCCAAACTTGATAGCGTGCGAGCAGCCGCGGTCTATGCCACTTACTCGGCCTTGTCGGATGGCGTTTCTCTTCTTTTATTTTCAGTTACGTATTAATGTATTGAAAATTGGGCATGGCGGCTTAATTCAGCATTTGAGTTTCTATAAAAATCACCCTTAAATCATGATAACCAACGAACAATTCTATACAGCTAGCTATATAGCTAGCCTAAACCTGAGCAAGTCACCAGCTAAAATCGTTTCTTTTTTATCCAGCAGGTCTTCCATATCCCAGTTTGAACAAATGATTCGTGGTGACAACCATTCTCTCCTCTCGGCTGTGAGCCAAACTAGAGTGTTTGAAACTAGTTCAGCAGTATCTGTCAGATATGGCCTAAAATCAGGGTGAAGCTGGCTAGCCAAGTCTGTTTTTACAGCTCCTGGCTCCACTGAGTGAATAACAAGTCCCTCCTTTCCATACTGGGCGTCTAGGTGCTCGCCGAAACGACATAGTGCGAATTTGGTGCCTCCATATGCTGAAGCCAATCCTGAGATGGCAAAAGCAGCGCCACTTGCCAGGTTGCAAATTGTTTTGGACGTGGACGCGAGGATAAGGGGCATGAATCCTCGGCAGCACAGATAAACTCCTTTCATGTTGACCTCCCATGTCTTCCACCACTCTTCAGGATCCGAGTCTTTGTCGGCAACACGGCTAGGAGCTTCGCTATAACCGGCATTATTGATGAGGATATCCAGACGTCCATCAAACGCGTCCGAGATTCTCCTCGCAGCATTATCCAAGCTGTCCTCTGATGTCACGTCAACAGATAGTTCGACAATGGTTGGAACGGCTCGGCCGGCTCGGTCTGCAGATTCTCTGCATTTGTCTGCAACTTCAGTGACAGCTCCGCGCGCTACTAGGGCGATTTTAGAACATCCTGCCGAGGCGAATGCAATGGCCATCGCCTTCCCTAGGCCTCTGGATGCACCAGTGATGCATACTGACTTTCCCTCAAGGTCTTGTAAAGACGGGTCAATGAAAGGGTAAGTGTCCGAGCGAGAGCGCTTTGTAAAACCTCGGACTTCTAGGGCGTTGGAAAATTGCATGTACTCCATAGCTTATATAATAGAAACTGTAAACAGATATTTGGATAACTATTTATTTATGAGGTCATCTGATTCCATTTCTCTTTTATAATTAAGCACTCTCGGCGAGTATTCGGAGACATTGTCGTTTGTAAGCGGAGATCGGATACTTTTGTGTATCAAAATCTTGCTTATTTCTTGAGGAAGTCGACGGTTGACGAGCTCCTTTCCTGCCTCGGTTCGGAGAAAATAAGTATGGCTTGGCGAGTTGGGCGAACATTAAACTCTTGCATCTATTTAAGTAATTATTATATTACAGGCTATTCTTTGGTTTAGTAAGCTATATAGAAGTTTTAGATAGCCCTGGCTCTATAATTATCAACACTAAAAGCATATCCTCTAAATATAAAGTATAAATAATTAAGGTTTAATTTATTCTAATATATAGTGGCCTATAACCGAAAAGGCTGCTCGAGGGATAGGAAGCGATAGTATGTCATGTTTTCTGTTATTCTGCTTATGACAAACGTTAACTGTCTTGAGATGTCGGGTCTGGCATCTTCTGTTGTTGTTTTTTCCCTTCTACTCGAACTCTCACCTGAGAGTCCAGTTTGGGACTCTTTCGGGTCCATGAAGTTGCCATTGAGTAAGATCATAATGCACTCTGGTATTTTCTTTAGGCCCAGCCAGCTAAGATAAGCGGAATCCGCGGGATCCGCCCACCCTCGCTCCAGGGGATCACCTTCCTCTCGTTTACCGAAATCAACCCAAGAGCAATCTTCTCCTCCACAACCCCGAAGTCACATGATGGCAGATGCGCAACGCGACGCAGTCCTGCTGGCCCCGGACACTCGAAGCGGCCACTGGACATGCGCTGGCTGCAGAAGAAGGAAGATCAAGTGTAATGTTGTCGCCTTCTCCGGCATATCCCCTCGTGCGACATAACATCCACGCCGGGCCAACAACTACTGACGAACATAAGCGACTGACGGCAGGCGACAAACGGAAGCCTTGTAATAACTGTATCAAGGCCAATGCCGAATGCATTACACCAAGCTCGGGGAGATCTTCTGCCAAGTCTTCAAGGCGCGGGGATCTGAAACGCAAGTTCGTGGAGCGCATCACCGCAATAGAGGAGATTACCCAGTCTTTCCACGAATCTGGCGGAAGCAAGGCCCCTGATGTTTCCGACGAGTATTCGTCTGGGGTAGCCGAGACCGAGTTGTCCCGGAGACGGCACGAAGTATCGCATCTCAACAATACATCAAGGACCAAGGTCACTACTGGCGAAGCGCCTCGGGGTGACGCTGCATCACTGACCCCTTCAGCTCTCATATCGAATCATAATCTTCGGCCAACCGTCGAGACCAGTTTAGAGCAACTATTTACCGACCCTGAAGGGGGCAGCTATGTCAACACGTGTTTATTGGACGTTCTACAGCACGAGGTGAGTGCTTGCCACGACACCGACGGGCCAATGAAGATGGTGTTGATAAATTCTTCTTCGTTCAAGGTGGGTCGCCCAAACATTGCCCTTGGTCTAGACGGCAGACACGATCAGCCTCCAATGGGCGGTGTTTTAAGTTCCCATTTGCACATGTACGAATCTCAACAGCTCAGCATTCGCCATGAGCTAGTCGTACCCTTGTGGGGTTACTTCAGGGCGAGAGTTGATCCAATCATGAAGATCCTGCATGTTCCGTCGATGGAACTGATGATTACAGCCGCTAGCAACCTGCAGCCCGTTTCAAGAGAGGCAGAGGCCCTCATCTTCTCCATTTCCTACAGTCCGCATTCCTCGCCAGTTTGAGCTTTTTCTAGCGCAAGAACGCAGGCTGACGTTTCGTAGTTGCCATCTGCTCCCTTACACCCGACGAATGCATATATGAGTTCGGCGAGTCTCGCGACTCTCTAACCGCGTACCACCGTCACAGCTGCGAACAAGCGTTGGCACGTGCCGGGTTCATCGAGGCCACCAGCCTCGCAACAATGCAAGCACATGTGTTATATCTAGCTGCGCTGAGAAGCGAAGTAAACGCCAGAACCATGTGGACAATGATGGGGCTAGCCCTGAGGGCAGCGCAGTCGTTCGGGCTCCATAGAGACGGCGTTCATTGGGGCCACCTCGCCCCGTTCTCCGTCGAGATGAGAAGAAGACTGTGGTGGCAGCTACTTGAGCTTGACGTGCGAATATCGCAAGTCTCCCTTCCTTCCCTGGATCTGTTGATGCTGCCGCGTGTGTGCTACTCAACAATGGTCCATGGATACATTAAAGGCTGTGCAACTGACCAAAAGACATCACAGGGAAGATAATGGACGTGCCCCCCTCGTCGCGGAGACGCGTTTCGATACTCAGATGCCGCGAAATGTAAACGACACAGATCTTTCTCCAAGGATGGATGAACTTCCGGATTCTCGGAGGGGGCTTACGGAAATGACCATTAGCTTGATTGGATTCGAGCTGACAAACACTCTCCGACGCGTCTTGTTGAGCTGTGAAGACCCTAGTGGCCAACCCGCCAAGGACCTGCCTTGCCAATCGACTGGAGAGGAGAGAAAAGGCTGGGTGGTTCAGGCTCACCAAAGCATTCGCGAGAAATACTTGGCTAACCCGGATGTCAGCCATCCGTTGGCATGGCCTGCCTCGACCTACGCTCGCCTTGTCATGTCTAAGATGTGGCTAGTGGTCTACGCTCCCACGATAATACCTCACGAAATAACAGAGTCTCCCGCACACATCGGAGGAAAGCTCTTTGCGGCTTCCTTGGAGGTAATTGAGGAAGGAAATCGACTTGATGATGATCCCGGAGCTGGCCAGTGGCGCTGGTATTTTGGGAAAACCCTCCCGTGGCACTCAATAATCCTCTTGCTTTCCGAGCTAAGCAGATGCTCGAGCGGCGACCCTGTCGACCGTGCCTGGGACGCCATCGAAGGGTTGGTGCGCAGTAGGTTTCAAGGCGGGAGGAATGGTCCTCAGCAACAGGTACTGCTTTGGCAGCTCGTAAAGCGCTTGTTGATCAAGGCTAGGATGACAAGGGAAAGAAAATTTATGGAGGAGTCGCGTCTACGGGGCGACGGGTTGTATGGGGATCATCCCATGCCATTGGATGGCCACCCAGCCATCGACGAGCTGCTAGCCAACGAGAGCCGTACCTAGCACGGCATGCAGAAACAATGGAATTGGACCGGAGCCTGAAGTATATATAGCAGACAAGCGACAATCAATACAAGGTTTCATGTTATCAATACATCAAAAGCATAGGAGAGTGTACATTCAGACTGATGTAGTTATCAAGAGTATGTCAACTTTCCAGAGCGATATGCGACACCTTGTAGCAGCGGCTTACCACCATCGACACTAAGGAGCTCCCTGCCAGTGTTTCTCCATATAATCACGGACAGTAATAGGCTTCACAGCCGGACACAGCTCATTCAACGTAGGGCGCACAACAACCTCATCATCCCTATCTCGGATATAGGCGAGGTTGAACTCGATCCATAATCGTTGCATGAAGTCGGCGTCCCTAGTGTTTGCTAGTCTCTCTAGGAGATCCTGTCTTTTGATCAGAGTAACCTTGAACTTCTTCCCGGTCACAGCTTCTGCGGAAGCCAGCAACTCACCCATTGTCAGAGTGTCCCCGGCCATACCCATCTCCTGCTTCCATCTTGGCAGGTCAAGGGCCGCTGCAATGAATCTGCCCACGTCCCTCATGGATGTAAAAGTGATACGCGGCCACTGCCCATCATCCTTGACTGGAAGTTCGGCGATCCCATTCTTCAATCCAACAAGAAAAGCCCCAGACTGGTCCATCAAGGGGCCTTGTCGATGGAGCCCCTCACATGCCTCGTCCTCGCCCGGCTTATAGCCCGCGCCACTTCGGTATTTGGCCCAGGCCACATCGCCAACGTCCTCAAGCTCCGGCGTTGCGAATATGCCGTGGCCGATATAGTTCATGAACGACCCTTGGTTGAAGCAGGCAATCTCGATCTGATCTCGGTGATTGGCGCATTCCTCTCGAACGCCTTGATCCGCCCATCGGAGGGATCCTACTTCGGCCCAACCCTTGGGCCCGAAGCCCCATTGCGACGGGGCGAAGCGCTTGCAGCCAGCGCTCACTGCCGCCCGGAGGAGGTTGATCTGAGTCTGTGCTTGCGTACCGTCGACGGCCGAGGTGACGGAGACAAGGGTGTGGACGGCCTGGCCCTTGAGGGTTGTGGCCAAGGAGTCGACGGAACCGTAGTCGACGGCCGCGATCTTGTGACGCTTGGCGTGTTGATCGATGGCGCGGAGCCAAATGGGCGGGCGGGTCGAACGCGAAAGAATGAGAACATTCCATGAAGTATGTGCAAAGACGGCGGTGACAATGGCCCGGCCGAGGCTAGGCGACGTGCCGCCAGCAAGTGCTAGGGTAGGCATAGTAGGAAGTGGTTATAACAAGGGGACGTAAGACGATCAAACAATGTCTAGCAAAGCCGATTGGGCAATGAGGCGGATTTTGCTCGCAAGCTTGAGGCACAGGCAGGCTAACATAAGAAGCTGGGTTGCGAGGTGAGCTTTTATACATGTCCGACTGATTTACGCACTCCCTACTGACCTGCCAGCGTGAATAAGGACGGATGAGATGAAATTCAGCCCGGCCTTCCTGTTGAGGCAAAGGAAACTCTTCACCGAGCAACCCGAGAGGCCGAGAATGATGTGGGGGCTGAGTCTTTCCGGCAATTCGCCAAGGCAATCATTGAGCGAGGCCCCGGGTCCCCGTATGGTATAAACTGCTCAGGGTCCTGTTTATATGCAATCTCATTCATGTGGATGAGCCTAAATTGAATGATGACCCTGTTTCCTTTACGAAATAGCATGTCGCTTGCAACGGATCGCTAAGCCGTTTGAAATCAGTCGAAGAGTCTCAAGCCAAACAGCCTCAAGGTGAGGGCAGAGATTATAGTCGAAAAGTTGCTCGTTATTGACTGGCTGACTACCTTCGAAGGCCAGTGCTGTCTCTTAACAGATCGTTCCAATGAGTGATGGGTTGTGGATAAGGAAGGCCAGCATACAAAATGTGGTACTCCGCGTGTTGGTGTTGGTGCTACGACGATCCGTCAGCCAAGTTCTAAACTATTGATTTTCCGCATTTTCTCGTATCACACAATAGCTGATAGCGTACGTCATTCATGTGGTAATAAAGAGTTTGGCGATATCGTCCTCTTGCACTCCCATCGCCCGGGGCTCCGCCTCGGCCCATCAAGCAGGCATGTCTGTTCACTTTACGAGAAGAGCTCAAGACATGCAGTTGCAAGGAAAGGATCTTCAGGAGACCCAATACACCTCACGCCAAAAGAAAATTCTGTAATCTTTTAGCCTGAAGTGAAGATCACAGAATGTTTCAGGTCCGTGTTACAGGCTCTCTGGACTAAGTGTGAAAGAAAAGATGTCTTAGATCTGCCCTGGCAGAGGTTGGGAGGTTGTTGGCATAATTATATTTTTAAAATCCTTACATGAGGCTAGATTATTTTATGTAAGAATTAAGCTCTATAATAGATCTAGTTATTTACTCTAATCCAAAACTTTGCCTAACTAAATTCATCTCTCTTAAGGAAAACATTTTTAAGACAAAAGAAAAACCAATACCAAGCTAAAATGAAGACTTAAAAGAATAACATATAAGATCGGGTTACTTTCATGAGCGACTCTCTCTTATAGAGTATTGATTTTATGTTATAGAACTTACCTAAAGAAACATAATAAAACTAAATGATGCTTACTATGTAATTACGGTAATCTACTCATCTATGTACACTTCTGTCACTTGGCCAAATCCCATATAGCCCAAAGGGATTTTCCTTCTAGCTGTTTAGGCTGTCCTAACCATTTTTCCCTTTCATACACCGCATACTCGGCCTATAACCCTAGTCAGGAGTGGCTTATATACTACATCACTACTACATTGAAGATTACATAGGATAGTAAACAACTTATTAGGTCACAGGACCAAACGGCGAACAGCGCCAAAGTTTTCACAAAGCAGGCAAGATACCCTGCCCCTCTCTTTTGAATGATTTTGATGTGTGTGCGTACATCTTCGGTGATGCCGGGAGGACTTAAAAAAGGAGGGGTTGGCAGTTGAGCACGAAGTCCTGGGTGCCGTCGCCCGGGTGGAACTTGGCTGCCTACCTGTATAGTAGCCATCGAGATCGCGTAGAGACCTTATTCTATCCCTATAGTACTATATACCTATCTAAGAATACTCATTATAGTATAGTAGATGCTGGCCTTAGAGTCTATAGAACTAAGGGCCTCTATATTATCAACGTATTAATAATACCTATAATTCCTAACTGCTGAATTCAAATCGCAGTCTATATGATTGCTGAGAAAAGCGCGGATGCGATCAAGCATGACCACAAGGACCTTTACCATTAGGGAGAGGGTGAAACCGGGTTATCTCATTGCGACTCACAAACTGAATGTTAATAGTTGGATAGCTACTCAATGTCCCCGCAATTCCAATGTCATTTTTAAATATTTTTAACTGTATTTAAGCCATTGTACGCTGCGGCGATTTGTAATCCAAAAAAATGCCGAGTACTACTCTCAAGTCACACGTTTTTGATTTCGCGTACGCAGCAAAATTAGACCGACTCCCGGTGTCCGAGAGAGACCGAAAAGGACCACCTGGTTATCCCATGGCTTACTGATCATCCTCAGATCACCACAGGCAATCCTTAGTTGGTTGGTTGGCTGGGGTGTAGGGATGAACCCTGGGCTACTTAGTCGTCGCTGACCAAATTCCTCTTTTGGAAAATGAGATTGCTGCATCGTCGGCTTTGTTCGCAGGACTTGCTCTGGCATGAATAATACAGTACCTACCGGTAAGAGTTTACCACTACAAATGAAAATGGCGTTGTTTATTAATTATGACAATCATTTGTTGCAATTTATGCATCAGCATAATGGCTGATCCGCCTAACACGTTGAAGACGCAGATCGCCCTCCAGTTTGCCAGTTGGAGGATGTCCTGCTGGTGAAGAACGATTAGCCAACTCTATCTTTTCCACCACCGGAGAAATCATAGTTCGATGTCTTCTTGCATTAAACCCTGTAGATTTGTGTGGGACTTTGGACACCATTCAGGAAAACAATTTATTCTGAGAATAGGATTTGTAGGTGAAATTGCACAGGTTGGCCTTTCTAGCTCCACGGCCTTGGACGATTGTATAAAAAAGCTTCCCGTACGTCCGCTTTGGACCTCCTATGCCAGTTCAGCCTCAATAATGACCTCCGATCCCATGGCAAAGCTATGAATCTGGATATTCTGGAACCCTGCGCGCTGCAAAATGCTCTTCCAGTCCGCCTCGGTGCGCTCTCTCATAGCGCCCAGCACAAAAACGAGCTGGTCCATAGAAGTGACAGACCATGGCGCGTTCTGGCCTGGGACAACCAGCTCATTGATCAGCAATCGCGAGTACCCTGCTTTCATCGCAGGCTTCACTTGCTGCAAGATCTTTATGCAGTCATCGTCACCCCAATCGTGCAGGACAGAATGAAGGTAGTACGTCCGCGCATTTTTGACTGGCTGCTCAGTGAAGAAATCGTGGGACATGGGCTCAAAGACAGTTTTACCGGTGCTGGCCAATGAGGAGATAACCTCAGGTCTGTCTTGCAAGACGAGCCTCCCAGGTAGATTCGGATGCTTCTCCTTCAGCTCTGTTAGGTCATGACCCAGACCTCCCCCAACGTCTACGAGCACGACATCGCTATAGGTTGGTTCAAAGCCGTTGACGAGACGCTCTTGGATGGGGTAGAAGCCGGGATCGAGCCAGGATGGCTTCCCCGCGCGGTACGCTGACATGTAGTTGTTAAACTTTTCCAGATACGGTGGGTTCTGATCCAACCAAGCGAAGAAAGGCAAATCTGTCTTATGGGCATGCTGGAAGGGTCCATTGGCCAATTCGGTAGGGAGAGCGTAGGAGGTCTTCTTCAAATATTCGGGCAGAGCGCGGAAAGATGGGCCAGCCACGTCGTATCTTCGCAGCGAGCGTTAGCAAAATACGCGTAAAATGAAAGAGCTCTTGACATACGTGTAGATGATACCATCTCTGTATTTGGGGTCTGTCAAGGCGTTGCTCAGACCCGTTGCGACATATGTGTCAGTGCCGTTCTCAGCTACGATGTTCATGGCAGCCAGATGCCTCATGGTTCGAGCTTGATACTGTCAAAATTGGCACAGTTGCCTCAATATATAGCTAGACTTACCTATCAGCACATCGTTGGCGCCGGTCTTAGCCGCCAGGTCCTGCGCACTTATCCCGGCCGTGCCACTTTCCTGAAGGTGCTCTGGGATCTTCAGATCAACAGCAATGCGGCAGTGAGCCGCCCGAGCAGGCTAGAGCCAACATCGATCAGCACCGCGTATTCGAGAAAATGCAGCCGCTTGATTGACGAGAAGCCGCAATCGGGCAATGACACGGGATGGAAATACCTCTGCCCAGCCAATACGCTGAATGGCTTCGCTAGGCAGCTCGAGGCTGGAAATCAATTCACGACTCAGTTCGATGAGTTGCTCCCGAGCCCCCGGCTGCTTCGCACGGAACTCTGCGTCAACAGACTGCAGCTGCGCGAGAATATTATCTGCCTCGGCCGACATCTTAAGGTACTGGTATTCCAATTGGAGAGATGTAAATAATTGATGAAAGTAGATGCCTCTTGAGAAAAATGGAGGAAAACGTATAACTCTAGAAGACACCAGAAGTAAGCACCAGCTTAAGTATTTCTCCACATTCTACATACCAAGAAATGCAGGCGAACCGTGCACTGTCGATTGCTTACATGCTTACAAATCTTACCCTTGCTAGATACAAGTTTGCGGTCTGGGAATAGTCAACTTAGACTTTGATCCGTCCCCAATTATATATCAGGTAACACGGCCTTGTGTTATCATCCTGGGTCCTGTGGATGTCTGTTACCGCTGCCGCCGATTCCATAGCTAGTCCAGCAATCAGCTTAGAGTCTTGTTGGCAGAGACCACTTGTTTTATAGCATCTACATCTATATCAATCGCAGAAATGGTGTATATCCGTTTGGTTCCACAGCTTCCAGCAAGAGCATCCCGTGAGCAAAACGCAACACGCCTGAGCTGACGATAAACCAGGCACAGATATTTAAAGTGATGAGTTGGGATCCATCAACATTATCTTCCCCCGTTTACTATTCGTAGGTCAATCCCATACCATTCCTGGGTGTGAACCATAGGTATAGATATTACGGTTTTTGCGGACTTACCTGTTTAATGTCCGAGCTCATGTTAGTGCTATCAAAAGTACCAAATAAGTAGCCAAACACTCGACCTAGCAACGAGCTATTCCCACGACAGTACTCCAAGACTATAAGACACAAGGCCATTTGGTTAGAGCCGCGCCAAGTATCTTATAAGTTCTTACTCCTTAGATAAGATATTAGCATATTTTGTCCTTAATTGGGTTTAGCAAGCGTAAATAATTTCGTTATTTCAGGATAATATATGGATACAAATAAAATGTCTAAATAGTTCTCTTAAGTGTTTACCTTCATTCCTCCCCGATCTATACTGTTGTTGTGTTCTCGAACTCCTCGCAAAATCCTCTCTATAGTCTCTGGGATTCTTTTTGGATATAATTTGTTTCTTGTGCCTTTTCAATTGCAGCAGTCCTGTTTAAGCACTCTGTCGCCAAGGGGACGGCGAACGAGAAGCATAGGCGCCTCCAGACTGATAGCCACCCCCAGACTGATAGACTGGGGACACCTGGGGATGCGCATATCGTCGCTCATGCAGCAATTCTTCATTCATCACAATGCTGTCAGTTGACGGCACCTTTGCATGGTTTGCTTGAGGGTGTCGACCGCGGTAGTTTCCGCTTGCACGGAAGTGCCTAAAGTCCAACCAGGTAATGATAGTTAAGTAGAATGCGATTAGGCTAGAGTGGAACTCGAATTAGCCAGGTATTACCTCGGGATACTTATTCTCTGACGTACCTCATGATTATGCCGAGAACGCATACAACCCAGCTCAGCGTACAGGTGAAGCCCTCGCAGAAGTTGATGTTTGCTTGTATCATCATGAACACCACCGCGGCCCAGAAGACAATTTCAAGCGCATTTAGAATGACGTAGGCTTTGAGGCTGGACCACCTTTTGAATGCCTGCACGTGTTCTGATAATAGCTGGTACAACAAAATAACAAGGGACTTTGCACTCTGATACCAAATTTGTCAGTCGATATCTCAGCTGTTGACGGGAATTGTTCCTACCATTCCCAGTGCCATTGTAGTGGATCGTCCCCTTGGGGCATTTGCTGGCTGCTTCAGCATTCGCACAACTGACAAGATCAGGACTGCAATGATCAAGAACAGCTCCACAAGGTGGAGGGGAAGTTTGAGGCGGTTGCTGAAGATTCCTGACATTGTTGGATAATGCGGAGAGTAGGTGATTATACGAAGGTTTGGAGACGTTTTGCGAGAAGCGAGCGAGAGGTTGATGGCTTGTTTGATGGTTAGATAACCCGAGTATCTGATCCAAGCTGTGAGTTGATGAGAAACTGACTTAGAACGTGGATTTCTCAGTGTTTAAGTACCAAATTGCATGTTTATTCACCCCTAGTCTCTCAATGCTAATCTTGAGTTTTTGTGGATGTGCTTGCGGTAGATCGATGAACCCACACTAAGGCTGTGTTTCGGTCTCGGGTGCGGTGCGCCTTGATTAGCGTGTTATGAATTTGGCGCTGGAAGCCGAAGCGAAACCGAGCCCAACTGCCCATTCGTCGTAACGAAGATGCTACATAATCTTACAGCCCTATGGGGCTACCCCTTTGATTGTTGTACACGCGTTGCTGCCGTCGGCATATGTGGAGTTTCTCGTATCAAACTTGATGCTTAATTATGAGACAGGGAGCTTTAGATTGATCCCTTCGATAGCCTGCGCGCGTAATCAGCATGATACCACTCGATTCTGAACCACAATGATACTGAGCCCAGAGTCAAGGTGATGCTGAAGGGCGGAGATTTGTGACAAAAAAGTTTAAGCATGTTCTTATGGACTGATCATATCGGCAGCTAGCCATTGGACAGCTAATTTAAGAACCTCCTTTTCCGATTCCCAATTTCACTTCAACATAGACCTTAGCTATTCTTGATTCTAATCGTACAGTACTATCGCCAATGACCTAAACCTTTACACCCTTGATTCGGTGAGACTTGAAAACTCCTGGCTCCTATCGGCTGGAGCAGAATTTGGCACCGCGCCAATACTAAACCAGCCGCCCACCGTGACAACTATGGCCACAATCAATTGCATGCCAAACATCAGCACCAACCTAGTAGCAAAACTTCCAGAGACGGGATCCAAACTCGAGTACGGGGTGAATGAGTAGGTCAAGGCGTATCCAAGCCGAACGAGCTGGAAAGGAAATGCTGCGCACGCCGCAAGATGCAAGTTGCTCGCAACCTGGAAGTTTGGATGCGTCTTCATGCTCATGACCCGTCTCCCCGTCGACCAAAGCCACCATCCCACGCCGAAGAGCATGACAAAGAGCATCAAGCAGGTTCCGACCTGGTTCAGGGTTTGTGAAAGAACGCCTCCTGGAGCGCCGGCTTTGGGTGCTCCTCCATATGTGGACAATGTAATGCCGGCGGTGATGGCGAGATGAGTGACGCCAAGTATTATTTTCTCGACCCAGCGTTTGGGGGGCAGTGGGAGTATCATGTTTCTAGAGGATGCGCTCTCGGTTAGTTACATGTCCAGTTCACCCTGGATGGGCTTCAGACTTACACTTCATAGATCATTCCAATCACCGTTAGCGACAGGCAGGCAATGCTTCCGGCGCTGGTCATGATGATGACCACATTGGGAATCTCGGGTTCGTTGCGCTTGGCGATTTGGTATGCATCGGAGACAAACTTGAGTGGAAAGTATGACACAAAGATTGGCCAACAGGTCATTCCCGCCTTTCCATGCTTCCAAGCAATCCAGATGACAGGGATGAAGAGGACTGCATAGAGCACAAGCTCTGCAATGGCGAGATTGACCTTGTCCGGTGAAGGCGGATCGGGGAGGCTGTTGGCGGACATGGTGGACAATAGAAGGACAGTAGAAGCAGTGTGATTTCGGAAAATTGAGTCTCAATACGGAAGTCGTCTTGGCTCAGATTCATGAAGCAAAAAGATCTCGAGGACATGCATGCAGAGACTGGGCAGCGCTTGACTGATATCGGGGACATCAAGATGCGCTAAAGAACCGGGCCCGAAACCGAGACCGAAATACTGAAACTAAAATGACATGTCGGACGTGGCTGAGATTCATGCCGTGTAGATCACTAATAAAAATGCGTCAGCACGCCAAGCCACGCAATTGGGCGACGAATGTCACTGTTTCTACGCGGAAGCGATGGCAAGATATCATTTGGCTGTTTCGTGCTTGGGTGAAACCTCAATCTATAGCATCTTAAGCGCCAGCGGAAAGGGGGCGATCGGCATTCTAGACTCATATATTTGGACCTATTCCGGCACTCGAGGTCAATGCCGCGGGGCTTTTCAGTGACATAGTTATAATGGATGTTACTATACCTAAATAATTACAAGATTGGCACAACTAGCCCATACGCATCCTACTCAATGTCATCACTGCTGTCCATACACGGGGACTATAGCAAGGTACCTAGTAATATAACATTAAACCTGAAAACCTACGTGTGTGGAGGGAAATTAACACAACATAGGTCCCGAATAGAAGAGCTGGGTCTTGTACCCGGTCCTGCCAACGTCAAGTACGCTCAACTAATAACCTTCATAACGCCAGCCCATATCGACTTGCTCCTGGGAAACGTGGTGCTTGCGCATGACATCGGCCTGCTGCTCGGATGTCCCAGCGAGCTTCTTGTTGAGACGCCGAACCCAAAACTTGTAACCCGTAACAGATCCGAGAAAGACCATGGCGCAGCCCAAAAGAGTGCCAAAGGCCATGTAGTATTGAGGTCCACCCTTCCACAGGTAAGAAGTCCATACGTTGGAAATACCACCCAGGCCGTTGATCAAAGCCATACCCAACGCTCGCTTCGTGGCTGGTCGCGCCATGTGCAATCCGTTGGTTTTGTACAACATGACTTGGGGGGCGACTGCGAGTTGAAGGGGAAGGGTTAGTAAGGGCACCATAGGTAGTAGGAATAGATAAGAGGAATTGGCGAAGAGGGTGTGGGGTGTTGTTTTTGGGGAGGCCGTGTGAAGGTACAGCGAGTGAGATGGTGCTATCGAGAGGGCAATAAAGGAATATTCGTCACTCACCGGAGACAACTGGCATCAAACACATGGCAAAGTAGCGACTCCCTGTGTTGGGAGCATTCATGCCGAGGATGTACACTGGTGCTGAAGCCATGAGATTAATGATGATAATTAAGTAAATCTTGTTGTAGCGCTAGATCAAGGTCAATAAGACGAATGATACTGGAAATACCCGGGGGTTTCACTCACGTCTGACAAGAACGAGCAAATGTAATATCCAATCATGGCAACAATATAAGGCGGCACGGTAAGCAACAAGCTCTCGTACTTGGGATATCCGAGAGAGGCTATGATGGAAGGGAAGAAATTGAACACGGAACCCATGGCCTGCCCCATTCCACCGCACCAGACAATCAGCCAGAGCTTCTTGTCTGAGACGGCAGCTTTGAGGCCATCCCAGGCACTAGACTCTTCGTGGACCTCAGTGGCACCACGCTCGTTCTCGAGCCGCCAGACGGCCAGATCGCGCTGGTCAGGGGTGAGTAGGCGCGCATTGTGGGGGAACTCGGGCATGACTAGGGCGAACATGAGGCCGAGGCCAACAGTGACGACGCCCTCGACAATAAAGAGCCATCGCCAACCAGCGATGCCATGCTTGCCTTCGAGAGTCAAGCAGGCCGCGGCAATGAAGCCGCCGAGAGCCTGTCCAAGCGCCTGGAACATGAAGACGCCACCGATACGTTTCGCAAGTTCGTCCTTTTTGTACCATGCGGAGAGGAAGTAGAGCTGCAGGAATACAGTGTCAGCTGGCTTTCAGATTCCGGTTTGTGTATATGTCGAGCACAGAACTCGCAAAGAAGGGCTACTCACAGCCCCGGGGAAGTAAGCTGCCTCGGCAATTCCCAGGACAACTCGTACGGCATACAGCTGTTCTTTCGTTTTGACGGCGGCGGTACAGGCTGAGACGGCGCCCCAGATGATTGCCATCAAACAAATGTCTGGAGTATCGATTAACAACGGCTTTGATTCCCGAGGAGCCATGGTCAAACTTACAGAGACCTGGGCGAGGGATTCGCGAGACCAGAATATTACTCGGGAACTGCATAGGAATGTAACTGACTGTGGGAGGATATTAGCGAGACCTTTGGTCCTGCTCAATAAGCGCGACTCACCGAAGAGAATCGAGATGGCGGTAGCAAAATCAGTCTCGGACATTTTGAGGTCGTCGGTGATGCCGTAGACGTGGGTGGCAGCCAACCCTGAACGATCAACATCTGCAATCAGTTAGTATCACTCTCATGCCATTCTATTCTTATGGATTACAATAGACAGAAAGAGACTTACAGTTTAGAATGTACAGAATGCCGATGATTGGCCTGCATTGCCAATTGTCAGCGTCGTCTAGTCATTAGCAAGTACAAGCCGGCTTAGACTCAAATCACCACCATGTCAACCTTGCGGACCATCTTCTTCTCCATGAGACCCAGTTCCTCATCGCTCAAGTTGGCAATGCTCTCTGGCTTGGGCTTTGTGATTGCAGCCATGGTTAAGACTTCACCCTTTGAGACATCGTCCTCGCTACCAAACCAAGATCCAGAGTTAGCGATTTCCATTTGTATGTATCTATTTTCAAACAACAATCCCAATAGTAGTTCTGGATAATCTCGGATAAGTGTGCGAGTCTCGCATATCCTAGTAGACCCAGATTCCGAACCAAAAGAAAGAAGTGTTCACTCACTGGATGGCAGCAGAGCTACCCTTCCGTGGCATCCCTTCCGCGTCGTGCTTGGTCATGGCGGATGGGACTTTGACGCGAAGTTGTAGTGATGATGAGAGTAAAAGGGGCCCCTTTGACAGGACGTGAATGAACTCGTGTTTTATCCCTGTTTCGTTTGGAGGAGAATCTGGGGTTCGTCTTTTGCATGACACGCAAATGCGATGCCATGCATACCTCCCCACTAAAGAGGTGGATTAAAGAGACTGGCGAAGCAGATCGATCTCGAAACGTTTAGCGGAGCCGACCGCTCAATTTCCCCATATTCCCGCCCACGGCTTAGCCTATGGTTTAGCCTATGGTTCCCCATGGGGCCCCAGGATCCCGTGGCCTTGGGACTGGCTGAGAAACGTCGAGAGGCGATTGACTTTACGCAAAGTACCTAGTAGCAGTCACCAAGACTCGGCAGAATCTGGAAGTCATAGTTCTCAACTTCAAAACAAGAGAAGTGATTCTAGCTACTACCTAAGTAGGACTGGTAGAGTGGACAGTAGATCAACCGGCATTTGGACCGACTACTGATCAGAGGGTACTCGCTCTACAAGATCAACATAAGTCCGAAATCAACACATATTCATCTTAACCCGTTAAAGCCCTTATCAGTCATGCACTGGGTTTCATTAACAGGAATATGGCTTGGCGATGGCGGGGAAACGGCTATCAGTGGGTTGAGTCCAAAGGGATGACTGGATTATTGTCCGGGTTCCATCGATCGTTGGCTACTAGGATAGCCTTTTGAGAACATCTCGGCTAACACTTCAAGATTAGGCAACATTTGTAGAGAATCTCCAACTACCAAAGGTTGTCTGATTCCCATGACCATGACCGAGCCAATCGCTCTTCGCGATGCCAGCTGGGAGTAGTTCCTGGGTGGTCGGCTATAGTAGGGAATTAGGAAATTGGTCCCTATTGTCATCGGCTACACTAACGATATCTGTATAGAATATCTGAACGGGTGTGTCCATTCCCCTGCAAAATCAGTCGAGCCAATCACTCTTCCGGAGATGCTAAGCAGCGAACCATAAGCTCCACAAGGAGTACAACACACTGCTAGTCACATGGAGCCAGGCTCTCGGTCATGGTCGATTCTATGCGGGGGTCTAGGGGAAGTTTCGCGATACTATTTTGGATTTATGTTCTAGTCATTGAGTATAAAGCCTAATACTGTTCTTGGCCTATGACCCTAGTATCAATCATCATCCAGTTCACATAACGGACTACCATGGCTGTTACCATCACCCCCCTACCCCAGCTCAAGCTCAATACGGCCGGCAAGGACCCGGTATCTAAATGGATGCCGCCACCGGAGACCAAGGAGGACCTCGAATGGCAGGACTTGCGGGTCCTTGATCTTGCTCTCCTGGATGGTACGCCTGAGCAGCAGAAGCAGGTCGAGCAGACCTGCAAGGATGCCCTCACCAACGAAGGGTTCTTACTAATTATCAATCACGGTGTCGACGACGACACTATGCAGCGTGTATTCGACCTTGCCAACTGGATCTGCAACGGCGATGCGATGACCGACGAGGACAAAAAGGAGTACGAGTGGGATCGCGAGAATGGCGACTGGATGGGCTACAAGCCCCCCAGAGGCTGGGGCGAGGTGAGTCAGGGCTCTGGAAGTTATGTTTCATTTCAGTCTTAAGGGGCATTCCTGTTGACATTCTCGTAGAAAGGTCGGGAGGATTACGATCACATTGAGGCATACAACTTCTATGGCGCTTGCTGGGAGAAGAACCGCCTACCACCCAGGATTAGGCCTTATGCCGATGAGATCCTAGCATATGCTGATGTAAGTTCAAACCCTACTGATTGCATAAAAGTTTGGCCACAATGTTACCAAGCAGACTCTATGTTTGCCGCCCCAGCTTAAATGAGAATGGTGACTTACATGACCACTATAGCACATGCACAACCACGTAGGCCGTCGACTACTGCTCCTTCTCTCACGTATTCTCGGCATGTCTGATGAGGCTCTATGGGAGAAGATCCCAGGAAAGAATTCGGTTCTTCCACACTCATCATATTGCCGCTTTCAGGTCTACCATCCACTGAGGGAAGAGGACAGGGCGACGACTGAGAACATCTTGCCGAACCACGGTGCCACCACTTTTCTGCCAAGTCAGCCCGTCAGCTGTCTGCAGATTCTAGGCAAAGACCAGAAATGGCGCTGGGTGCCGTACCGAAAGGGTGCACTTGTGTGCAACCTGGGAGACGTGATGGAGATCCTGTCGGGTGGAATCTTGAAGGCAACGAGGCACAGAGGTAAGCTTCGATGAGTTTCGAACGTGTCAACGATCAACTGACCAAGCTACCTGCCTCTAGTGTGTAAGCCGCCTGTCGATCAACAAGCCTATGAGCGTGTCTCGGTCTGCTCATTCAACCACGCCGATCAGGAATTAGTCCTGGAACCACTTAATGGTCTGTTGATGAGCTCGCATTAATGCTCCCAAGTGTCTCAGTTTCTAACCTTCATGTCATCAGATGCTCCGCTTATCAAGCAAGTGGGACTACAGCCCGACTCAGAGGTATATGGTGCGTTTTGCAAAGCGACAGATCGGGGTGAACAGGTACGTAGCATTGTTCTGCTGTTACCCTTTCAAAGAGAGAAAGAAGGGTAAAAGATTGGCTCATATTCTTCGCAGATACCTAAGTTTGGCGAGTGGAAGACGTTGCGTAACAAGAATGCACAAGAACCTACATCCAGGCTTGTTGTCATTGATGGTGTGCCACATAAAGAGCACATCGTAGGTGGTGTCAAAGTGTACCGCCAAGTCTAAGTGCGTCTAGTGTTTCTACAATCATTGGGACACCGGAGGAATAAGAAGGTATTTATGAACCATAGGTTGCCGAGGTTCAAGGTTATCCTCGTAAATTCTCAGACTCAAATTCCGTCTTGCTTAATGGCCCCAATCCATACACCACGCGCTTCGTCTTCTGCGTAGAGGTACTTGGGCCATGAAATGTTCTCCAAAGCAGCGCGAGCCTCTGTCCAAGTTGTGATCCCAGTCACATTGCTCCAATACTTGATATACCCGTTCATTTCCTCGCGTAGCAAGACCAAGTCATCATCATCTTCTGCAGTTGGACGGACGGCAAAGCTCATTGCCGCAACAAAAACTTTCCAGAACCACAATTGTTGGTGTTGCTCGTTCCACTCACAAAACCATGTCGTCGTCTTGCAGACATCCTCTCTAATGAGGCGGACTAGATAGCGTTGTAAATTGTGATCCCTAACAACATCGAGGTCCCAGAGAGCGAGGATGCAACCCATATAGATCGAGGCGCCAGCCACTAAGGGGGACCACGCGGACTTGAGAGGTGGCTTCTCATATGAATCAAGCGAGCTCCGACCCCTTGTCGCGATGAAAGATGCCATATGAGTTTCAAATAAGAGCAGAAACAGGGCAGTCGCAGTTCCTTCAATCCAAAAGTCGTTCAGTTTCCCATCTTCTAGAGGGAAGAGTCTCGCTTCTGATTTCTTGGTAAATTCAGACAGCCTATCGACAAATTCCCTTGCATCAATGAGCCCCAGGGACACTCCAGTTTGGGGGACGGAGAAAAAGTAGGGCATCATTAATAGCGCCTTCAATCGATTCCGAAGCCCTGCGTGCTCTTCCCTGTGGCCTTTCCGAATCATGGAGTATATTGTTGTACTATCCTGTGGGTTTACTCGCGTAACATCGGTGACGCGAGTAGAAAGGCCATTGACAAAGATCATGATTCTATCGGGGGGTTGTTATCAGTAGGACCATTCGACAGCACCTCATCACGGCTTACTTACACCAACACATATCGATTGGTCAGTTCTTCTTCAATGAGAGCCGGCCTGCAGACCTCGAGTGCTATTGAGCCGATGTAGCTCATCAATCCTTTCAGGTGTACCTGGGCTAGAGCAAAATTACCCAAAGCTGCCTATCATGCACAAGTCAGTATAGACCTCGACTAAAAAACAGTGATATGATATGGTACCTCTACGATGCAGTGTGTTGTGATGCTCTGGATAATTTTGTTTGATGTTTGCCTTCTATTCATGTCTCTCATCCAGCTGTTGATTTCATTCAAGCTCTCTACCTTGTGTAAAAGATATGTCGGTGTGAAGAGTTGCATGCTACCACTACTCCATGAGTAGTGTAGGCTAGCAACGAGCAAGGTATTGCGTAATGCATTACTGTCATGGCCGACAGTGCCGATACTACATAATCGTTGAGCTTCCTAAGCAATGAGAATGGGGTGAGATTTGGCTTGACGCACATGTGCTTGGAAGAAGAGGGGGATAAGTATTCGCCGCACTTTACAACTACCGAAAGACGTGTCAGCTACCAAGTCACGGGTGAATTGACACCAGATATTTACAGTAATGGAGCAGATCCGCAGACTTGAACGGCATTTTCAAGGCTAAAGACTCAAACGGGTCAAGCGGTGCACCGAGAGGTCCATAAATAGGTGCAATCGCCGTCACAACGCGATTGAGGCGGTCCCCAGCTGCATGCCAAGGCGCATGTTGGCCAGGAAGAGTTCTCGATTTCGTCATCATCTTCCTCTCGTTTAGAGGGATCGATGGGGGAGGATAGATACATGGTTTCATTATTACCACACAGTTGGAGCTATCATAGGAGACGATCAGTTAGCTACATGTACGTGGAACCGGGGTACACTGCCCTTTACGACCTGAGCATACGGCCATGTGCCACAAGAGCAGACAAGCACCTACCAGATGGGCCGCTGCTCGTCGCATTTCTGGTGAAGCTGTCTGCATGACGCACACCCTGTTCTGCTTCGCGTAAGAGGCTTCTTACGATCCTTCCCCGGACCCTTCAGATTCCTATCTTTGTGAGATTGCTGTCTGCCCGTGACAGAGGTCATGGTGACAAATGTAATGTCTCCTCAGTAAAAACTAAGTACAAAGAAAGGCTCAGGCTCAACAATCCAGCTGGCGCTATTGGACATTGCTTGAGCCTAGCTCATGAGCATCAAGTGCATATGAAGATATGGAGGTGCTGGAACAAAAGGCAGACAGACGGTGTGTCTCTTGGTTGACGATTTCGCCCCACAACCCGGCGATACCGCGAAGTTCCAAAACAAAACCCAAGGAACTTACGTAGCGACCTTTCCTAGTCCAGAAGGGATCCTCGACGATAATTTAGAAATACGTGCAGTGTGTAGATCATGATTAGTCATAGTTTTATTGCCTAAAGAAGATTAGCTTATTTCAGATTACATTTTATATCAGCACTAGTCTCCTTTCGGTTGAATAACCGTTGTGCATCAGAACGTCAGATAATGCCTAAATTGGATGAAAGATGGCAAGCAGCAATGCGATGGAACAAACCACTCCAATCCACTAGCTAGTTGTTGGCCAATCTGGGAAACTGTAGTATTCAATAAAGACAACTTTTCGTTCCATAATGTAATTTATTGTTGAAAAAACCTGCAAAGTCCTTTTACCAAAGGGAACATGCTCTTTCATTCGGAATTATGCCGTGGTTATAGGGTAGGCTTCACATATTGATACAGCAGAAATTAGATAAGCCTGCGTTAGTCATCTGTGAGCTATACCTAGATAGGAAGCTAGACTGTAGATCTCAACTCTTGGTCATGTTCAATCACCAATCTAGACGGATGCAATGTTGACCTGACTCGTCATCATGATCTGAAATAACTACGATGAATTGAAGACCATCGTATAAGTTTTGTTTCCAAAGCGCACTTCTCTTTCACCTCTTTCTAGGTATATCTGTATCTCAGTCTTATGATTTCCCAGCTCCTTTAAAAATCATATCGATGACAGCATCCGTGCCATTTCTTGCTACTTCCAGAGAATCTGCTGCGATGACACACTCCATATTCTCAACCAGCGTGTCTTCTAGGCTTCTGAACCCGTCCCGTCCCATCTGCCGCAGCACATCGGCTGCACGTTCATTGTCTACCTCGCCGATATCCAGGGTTTTCTCCTCGCCCGGAACAACCATGTTTTTGCGCTCCGGGAATCGTCGACGGAGGATCCCAATGATCTCATTCCAGGAAAATGTCCCCGCCATAGCCATCAGCCGCTCGTTCTGCACATCCTCCAGGGTCAAAGCACCCAAATGCAGCAGAGCTGTGTCTTGTACGTTGACATAGAGCTGATGAGGGATCAAGACGGGTCCAAAGGGTATACCCTTGTCTAGCGCATTGACGAAGCAGCCACTGCCTTTGAAGCCGAGATACTCGATGGCTTCGACTTTGCCAAAGTTGGGAGGCAACAATATTGTTTGCTCAAAAGGCAACATCCATAAGAAATGCCCGGTCTCAAAATGGGCCGATCATCCGAAGGCAAACGGTTTTAGTACACGCAGTAGCTGCCCCTAGTGTAGCAGGCCAGGCCAGAGCAGTCTGCGTTGGTAGAGCAACTGTCGTATTGGCTACCACACTAATCCCAGATCACAACGTTCACATCGGTAAACTGCTCTCAACTTGAGGTGAATTCGTATTGATGAGAGATATCAAGATAGAATGGGTGACGTCGAAGATGATGGTCTAGGGAGACATGTTTATACTAACGCGCTTCTCAATATTCTCGGCCTCTCATCCTTACAAGTACCATTAGGGAGTGCGATGGCAAAACCAGTAAGGGCGAAGAGGAAGAGGAAAGCGAACGCATCTTGACGGGCAAAACGATAGTGTACCGGGCTGATCCTTGTAGGTTGAGTTGTCTATAGCTTGATCTCATGTTCAGCTGTGAACTTTCGAAGACATTATACCTCTAATTTCTTAAAAGTCGTCTTCTACACCTCCGGTGGAACTAGTGAAGTTCTCATATTACTAGGCTTGGGCAACGGAGACCCCACGGCATGATAAAATGCTGACCTCCTGTGAGTAGGTCAAGCTGCTTTGATTCCGCTACAAACGAATGCTCATGCTATTGACTATATGGAACGTGAGACATTGCGAAAATACACAGAGATCTATAAACAGTCATTATAGAGTATCCTTGAATACCCGCAACCCTCTTCAAAAGCTGACATTGCATCGCAGTTGAGATATCAGGCACAGAAACAGCCTGGCGGAGCGGATTCTCGAGTTGTTGGCATGAATTTGGAAATTTCATTTTGTAAACAGCTTTGAGTCCGGGCTTTGATTGGAAGATCGCCGTATCCAAGACCTTCATATTGATAGCGATTATAAAATGTGGCCAATACTAATATTCCTCTGAGCTAACCATCATCCCTTACTAAGTGTTGCAAGCACGCATGTTATCCAATGCGAATACGCTTGAGTTTCTTTTTCTCTACCAAGCTTAAAGTCTCCTCTTGAGGATCATCTTGAGACAGCCCTGCTGTGCAAGTATAGTCCACAAGTTTTGCGAACTTTCGGCCATTCTCACCACGAAATTCATCTCGCTTCCGAATTAATGCAGGCATAGGAAGCCACGGTGACACCATCAAATGATCGCCGTCTCGCATTTCGTCGGAACATATTCCAAAGAGGCCCGATGAGGCCATGAAAACCTTCTTGTTTGTTAAGCAAGCAGCCTTGTTTCTGTATAATGGGAAAACGTCGAGTATACTCCACACATCCTCGTGCTGTATGTCAACGGTTGGGTCTTCTTCATTAAGCTCATTATACAGTTCATATGGGTCAAAAGTAGAACCAACGAAATTGTGACCCAAACAAGCATAGTTCAACTGTTTATGGATGTCTGATACCTCGAAAGTTCGATCTTTGTATTCTGGTAAAACCTTTAATGAAGCGGTCAGGTCCACAGCGACGCTAAGCATAACCTTGAAAATCGTGACCCAGCTTCCCGTTACGTCGCTATGGAAGTGAAAGAGAGTTTTACAACTTCCAAGATATCTGGCGTTGAGGGACAGGACCTTGCCATCAATTGATGGCGGCACTCCATTTTCTTGGGCACGGGTGTAGCCCCATGGGTAAAACCCAGCTGGCTGATGACGATTGAGGTCAGGAAGCCAAGATGGATAGCTACCACTACTCTCAAGCCTCGAATTTCGAAGTGGCTAGCTAAGGACGAAAAACTCCAAATGCTCGGGAAAATGTTCGAGAAGATAGCATATGGTATCCATCAGTACCTGCTCTGGAGGTTTTCTGTAATCAGCCGGATAAGCTGCTTCTAATTCAGGAGCAAGGGAATATAAAGCAAAGATCCTGTCGCGAGGGTCGAAGCACTTCCGATGAGCAGTGCTCTGTAATAAAGCAGGGAGGCCAAGGCCCGGATTTTGGAAACCATAACGAGCGGCCACAAGGCGCGCTGAGTGGGTTGTAGGGTCATAAGTGTTTGAAAATTCATGAAGCTCTTCCTCCAACTTGTTACGCAATTCGGCGTCGAAATACTTGTATATTCCGGCCCCCGAAACAATACGTCGGTATTTCAGAGGTCTCGAATGCTGACCAATTTCTTTCGACGTTCTGAAGCGAAATGATTTCCGGCCGATAACAAAGATTGGTGGGTTTTCAGCCAGTGCGAGCTCTTGGACTGTCCACATGCGCTGGAAGTACTCGGTCCACCAGAATGCGTATTCTGCTTTCAAAAGCCGAAAGTTGAACAACTGGTACTTCATGTATCTCTTGGGTGTGAGCCATGATAATCCGTGCTTCATAGCCCATTTAAGCGAAAAGTACTTCGGAGTGTGGGAATTATAAACCTCCGCCCATTCAGCAAAGAATTCAAGCTCTGGTGTTCCATCAATGCCCGGGCATCCAATGACCTCAGCTGCTTCAGTGTAGATCCGGCCCATCAGGGGAATTTGGCTGTTTTTCTCAAGGATGTCAGCTTGATTGATGCAAATAGCGTCGGCCCAAATGACTCGGGGGCTGAGTGGTGATCTGAGTGATCGCAGGGCAGAGTTCAGATTCCTGGTGATTGGATGGAGGTTCCTGTCCACAGTAATATCGCCCGTGAGGGAGGCATCCCCCCACACGTAGGAGAGGGCCTCATATTTTGGCTTGTTGTCGAGTGACACTACAGAAACTGAGCAGATGAGGCCATCGCCCGTCTCTCCAGGTTCAATTCGTAGAAGTCTGATCTCCGAAAGAGCGCTGTTTAATGTAGTGTATGTGATAGCCATTAAGGCTGTTTCAAAAATGTATGATAAGGAGAGCTTGGAAGAGAAGGAGGATGTTGGGAAGATAAGATGAAAATAATCTGACTTTAGCCCTCACAGAAACAAGCAAGGAGAACCCACGACGGTCATCTTTTTGGTCCTTGGAAGCATCCAATCAAAGGGAGCGCCTAGGGTGAGTAATGTGCCAAGGCCTTGCTGAGACGGTGATGCGTGCACCAACAAAAGTACATCCCTCAATTCGCCCTTTGGGGTTGCGCTTGAGGTATCTCTCTGATAGTATTTCTGAATTTATGGATGGACAAACTACATATGTAGACACAATAAGAAGATAGATTTCTCAAAATTCTTTATTTTCTATTGAACAGTGATGCATGAATGGATCGTTGAAGACGCAGCCAACAGAGACAGAGCTCGCTCGCATACTTTGCAACCTGTTCCTCGCTCCACTCCTAGAACTTACACGCAAGTTCCACACCTCCTTTCTTCTCCGGCTCGGCAGTAGCCTGTGGTTCATCGCAAATCTGACCTATACGGCCAAACGGGAAGGCGTATCTGCCTGCATTATCTTGCGTCACCCCAGGCGAAAGCCTAGCGAACAGCTGCGTGTAGGCACCCTTGACCGGGGGAAATGCATCAGAGCCGTCTGTAGTCTCATGAAGATGCCCTGCTGGGCGAAAACGCCAGAGCGCCAGTTTCCAGGGTCCATAGGGACCCCAAGGACGCCAGTTGCCTTCAGCTGTCTCGAGAATTTAGCACCATATGTCCATATCCCCATTTTGTTAAAAACATAGTGGTATATAGGCGTATTTGGGAGTTGGCGGTCAAAGTTATCTAGGTCAATACCTACCCGCTTTTCGCCGTATATCTCTGCGCTGAATGATGAAATAAAAACAACTCGGACCTTGGTTTTTCATGTGATCTTCTTAGCCGCTGGGGATAGTATGAATTTGTCGATTTCCTGATGTTCGGGTACTGCCCACTCCCGTTTTTTTAGCAGCTGATGTATAACCTGTATAGCTCTCTCACTTGAGTACTCTGAAATTCTATAATCTTACTGGCTAACTTGATATCTAATACTCTACGGATCAAACTTACGACTGACGTGGAGCTTTCTTGTTCTCATGTGAATAAATTCTAGGGTTAGGTAGTTACAACAACGTTTACGCTAATGATTGCCGCTTTCGTTATGTCTTTGGGGTTAGGGTCGGGGAGGCGGATTTAGTCTTACCTGCCGCAGCTTGCGGATGCCTAGCAGTGAGCCTTGTCCGTTAAAGCTGTCATGCGTCGGGCAATGACAAGTGCCGACTCTTTGCCAATAAAGTTGATGAGGCAAGGCGGATGGAGCATTGGTCGGGGAATAATTGCGAGAAGCTCAGTCATGTGGAACATCATCGCCTCCCCCGCACGTATGTGTAAGTTAACCTCGCAACAGCGTGGTTTCGGTGAATTTGATAGGTCACTACGGGCTAGGAAAGTATATTCACATCACACCTTTTCAATTTCAAGGACTTGGCTCCTCAAAACCCCCGAGAATGGCCGCTCTGTCCATCACACGACTCGTGGAATGGCCAACGCTTCAGAGTCCCTCATGACGCGAAGGGCTGTGTTTCACCCGGAAGAGGCTGGAGTGCCAAATTGTAGATGTGCTCGATGCCCAATGATTTCGTACTTCTTGTCTTTGTGTGTGAAATTTGCGACGCTCGGCCAAGGATAAGTTGCTGCCTGTCACATGGATGGAATTGCGCCGTGTCTTTCTCTATAAATAACATCGCGACGGATCAATGGGCAAAAGATTTCCATAGTTTTACATATATTTTGAACAATACTCATATAACATGCCTTGCTTTCTATCAACTACTTGCATTAATCTACAGAAACTCTGAACATTCATCAGCTTATCTTCCCATGTCTGGTAACGATTTCAAGCCTCGGAGGAAATGTGAGGGACGCCTTCAGGTCGCCATCATTGGAGGCGGCCCGGCCGGCCTTGGGCTTGCAATCGAGCTGGCAAACCTCCCTTTCGTGGACTGGGATCTATATGAGAAAAAGCCAATGATAAGTGAGACAGGAGGAGGCATCTCATTGCAGCCAACAGCTTTAAGACTCCTTGAAAACAATGGTGCAGCTGAGTACATTACCCCAACGGACATCTATCGATCAAGTGAAGGCAAGCTTGAACAGAGGCGGTGGGTACCCTTCTTCCAAACTAGTCGGTTTGTGCAGTATTAACAGAGCCGACTGAGAAGCAATGGAAGGACTGGGGAGCTGCTGATGGAGGAGAGTTGTCAGGAAGGTATACCGCTCAAGTACCAGAGCTGCCGCATGGCTAGAAGCAAGTTACAAACGGCGCTTCTCACGTCTGTGAACCGGGCTCATATACACGTGTCCAAACGCTTGGTGGACATACAGCATACTGAAGACAACAGAGTTCGCATCTTCTTCGAAGATGGGTTCTCTGATGAAGTCGACTTGCTTGTTGCTGCGGACGGTCTACGATCGGTACGCACCGCAACGTCAAGAATGAGGAGAACATTCCCGCTAAAGTGAATCTTAGATTATCCGCGAAAAGGCCTTCCCTGATCATGTACCCGAGTTCAACGGACAATCTGCATATCGAACCATAGTCAGCAAAGCAGAAGCCGCAAAGATCAAGGAACTGCCGTTTGCTCAGGTGTTCTGGGAGCACATCTCGGGAGCATGGGTCATGACTTGCCCGCTTGGCGATGATGATTTTGAGGTGACAGCTCGGATCCGCCGCACAAGAGAAGGAGAGGATCCCAAGAGCTGGGGCCGTCCATTTGACTTGAACGAATTGCTGAAGGAGTACGAAGACTTCTGTCTCCCTGTTCGCCAGATCTTACAGCTAGCCGCAAAAGGACAGACGCAGGAGTTCGACATGTTTTCCAGCCGTCGTCTAGACAGCGTTATATCCCATGGCTGCATTGCTTTCATCGGGGATGCGGCTCACCCAATGTTGGGAAATTTTGGTTCCGGCGCCGCGTTTGCTTTGCAAGATGTTTACACCTTAGCAAAGGTCCTTGAATCGTCCATGCAGAGGAGCATGGCGCTATCGGACGCCCTCATCAAGTTCGATTCAATTCGCTCTCCCTTTTACCAGCGGCTCTACCGGGTTCTGAATAAATTTTCAGAAGTGAAATCGGTAGCACAGACAGAAGAGGGTTCAATCGACGAAAGAATTTCTCGACATGTGCTGAGGATGTCGCAGGCTGCAGAGACGTGGATGATCTATTACAGGATTGACGAAGAAGTGGCCCAGGCTCTCAGTGAGACGGACGTGAATGCCGTCCATACCCGGCCGATATCCAGGGTGAGACAGTTCTTGGAAGCACTCGGAGTGCTCCGGCGCAGACCGTGTTGAATCGGAGGTGCCTACAGCATCGTGGCGATTGGTGATTGATGGGGTAGAGTTAGGCTCGCCACCTCCGGGGATTGGTTCCTATGTACAATTGAGTGGTTATATTAGGCTTGGAATAAACCGTTTTGAATCAATGAGGTCTAAATCTGACCCCCCAAGTATAGGAGGGCCACACCATCACAATTGTGATACTTGCTGGTCACATGTAGGATACTGTGGTGGGCATGGAAGTGGTGTGTTTACTTGTTGCCCACACCTGTACCACACGATAGCTCTTCGGTAAATAGTGTAAACATTTAATTGGCAGCGACATTCTGAGTACCTAATATTGATCACTTCTGTATTATAGCTAAGCTCATCGTCATATGTTATGAGGCTGGTACAGCCACCACCGTCGGTGTTTGGCATGTTTGCAGGGAATGTGATACAGCCCAATTTCCTCACTTTTTTTTAGGTCACCCAGTAATTCCTGACACCTAAAAATGACCTGAACCAACTCTTGCCCGCCCAGAAGCCCACTGAATTCTGGTTGCCGGAAGTCAACCCGTCAGACGTCGGACTTTGGAGCCCCTCATGGAGGTTCCTGCAGCCCTTCTCTTTATCCATGCGAACCAACAGCCGCGCCACGGCAAGGCACGACATCATTTGCGCTTTCACCCTTGATCGCCTAAAAGCCTCCAGCCTTCCGTGTTACCAACCACCTCCAGTAATTGGTCCGCGACAGGTCTTGTGCTTTCGTCCTCTTTTCTACATAAATTACTGTGGCCTGGAGGGCGCCGGGTTTTAATGCCAGCCCTCGCAACTCCATTTTTAAAGTATATATCGTATTCCCAACTGGCCTTGCCGAAATGAGGCTATCGCCATCTACCATGGTCGCCTCACCACCACTACCCTTCCTGACTTCCACCCAGGCGCTGAGTCTACTGAAGGAGAAAACAATCACCGTCGAGACCTATGCAAAGCGTCTCTTGGAGAGGATTGAAGAGAGGGACGGCATTGTCAAGGCATGGACATATCTTGGTGAGCTGCTCTTCCTCTCCGCCGCCACTGACCTTGACGTGGTTCAGTGTGTGCTGATCTCCCTCCTCTGCAGACCCAGTATTTGTCCTCACGCAGGCTCGAGCCCTCGATAAAATCCCCGAGGAAGAGAGGGGACCATTGCATGGACTGGCCGTGGGTGTTAAAGATGTCATCAATACGAAGGGTAAGTCCGTGCTCGTGCGCTGTGGAATGGCCACTGATTCGTTACTCTTGTATGATGCAGATATGCCGACGGAATACGGCTCTCCCGTATACAAGGGTCACCGGCCAGGCTCTGATTCATCAGCAGTTGCCATTTTACGCGCTGCCGGCGCTCTAATTTTTGGTAAGGCAGGCGATACGGGACTCTTTTTCATCTAATTCTTTTGCAGGCAAGACAACCACGACGGAATTCGCAGTGCTGAACTCTGGACCGAACACAACAAATCCTTGGGACCCGAACCGAACTCCAGGCGGCTCATCATGCGGCTCTGCGGCCGCAGTGGCAGATTTCCAAGTCCCCCTGAGCCTCGGGGCGCAAACCGGTGGCAGTCTTATTCGCCCAGCCGCATATACTGGAGTCTTCGCGATGAAACCAACACATGACGCCATATCCACTGAAGGACAAAAAGTGCTTGCGCCTACTCTTGACACTTTTGGCTTTTTCGCTCGTTCCATCGAGGACCTACGGCTCATCGCAAACATTTTCGGTCTCAAGGATGACGAATCTCCCAGAGACATGCCGCTGAAGGAAATATCCGTCGCGATAATGAAGACCCCGATGTGGAGCGAGGCCGGCCCTGGTACAGTGGCAGCCATGGAAAAAGCCGCAGCTATTCTTCGGGAGGGCGGCGTAGAGGTCACAGAAGTTCCGTTTCCAGATGAAATATCAGACGCAGACGCACTCAAAGACATTCAAAAGAAGATTATCCGTGGCGAGGGGCAGGCAGCTTTTCTCAGGGAGTATCGCGTGGACAAGGCTAATCTATCCCCTCAGGTGTGCCGCCTCGTCGAAAACCACTCCAACTATACACGGAAGGAGCTTGCAGAGGCATCAGACACGTACAGTCAAATGCGGCGCAGTATGAACAAACTGGCCGAGAACTACTCCGTCATCCTTACGCCCAGTGCTGTAGATGAAGCCCCGCTGGGGCTCGATGACATGGGTGCTGCGACATTCAATACCCTGTGGACGGTGAGTCCCAGCCTTTCTCTGCATTAGATTAATGCCTAACATGGCACAGGGGTTTCACATGCCAGTCATCAACATACCTGCCTTCGTTGGAGCTAGTGAAATGCCCATTGGGGTGTCACTCGTCGCACCCAGGTTTCGTGACCAGCACCTCCTGCAGGTCAGCAAGGCCATTGGCGACCGCCTGATGGCCGAAGGAGGATGCAAGCCAAGAGTCTACTCATCAGCTCGGGTTGATGAAGGGGGGGTAATATCGGGGATTATGCACTTTGGCCGTCGCGTCATGGGTTGGTCAGAAATTCGGTGATCCCGCATCATAGAGTGCATTTTTTACGCGTCGCACGTAGCCCTATAGAACATCATTCCGTAATGAGGCTTCCTCTTCATTTTCGGTTGTCCCTGCCCTTCCTTGTTTCAGAAAACCAGAAAATCAGGTGACAATATTCTCGGGGTCAGCATGTCTCTCATCAGCTGCGAAACAAAGTGTGGGTAGTAATATCCAGCACTCACGAGAAAGTGCAAAACCAGTTGAGCCGCATTCAATGTCCGATCCAACATCGGTATTCCTCTAATTGGTTTATCCATACAACCCAAGTGCGGGATATATGTAAGCCGGAAGACGTGGATGCTTTCTATTGGCTTCCCCGCCGCCTCGTAATTGGTGGCTGCAGGAGGATAAATGGTCCTCGGCCTGTGACTTGGGGTTGTGTTCGCCTTTTCTGCACAACGACCCGATGCCTAACCTCTGCCTACCCTCTGCCTACCCTCTGCCTACTTGCAGCTTGGCAATGCATCTGGCAATCCGAGCGTGGAGGGTGAGGGTGCCGCGATGGTTGGGTATAAGCCAGCACCCACCATGTCGAGCGATGCTTCCAACCTATTTCTCTCGTGCCCGAAAATTCCAGTCTCCCTCTTACTATACGCTGAATGATTGGTATCAAATATTAGTGACATAATTACAAAGCCTCGCCGCCGATTATTCCTCAGTCAAAACGTCAAGGCTGCATTCTTGTCGCTAGCCGTAACTACATGTAGAGATGCGGCTTTTGTACAATGACCAAGAAAATAACAATTTCGCATTTACCAGAGAACTGGATGCAGAGAACATACCCGATTATGCCATATTGTCGCATACCTGGTTGCTCAATAATGACGACGAAGTCACTTTCGACGACCTGGAAAATGGCAATGCCAGAGACAAACCTGGTTATGCTAAGATTCAATTCTGTGCCGAGAAGGCAACTCTGCAAGGCTTGAAGTACTTTTGGATTGACACATGCTGCATTGATAAAAAGCACAGCGCAGTACTACAGGAGGCTTTAGTGGCTATGTTTTCCTGGTACCGAAATGCCACTCGATGCTTTGCATACCTCGCTGATGTTTCAGCATCTGAGGCCCCTCAGCTGGATGAAGAAGCATCGTCATTGCCATGGCGGTCTGCTTTTTGTAGCAGCAGGTGGTTCAAGAGGGGCTGGACCCTACAGGAACTTCTCGCTCCACGATCTGTGGAGTTTTTCTCCGCCGAAGGTGTGGCTTTGGGCGATAAAAGATCCCTCGCCCTTCTCATCCATCAGAGCACCGGAATCCCCTATTCGGCATTGCAAGGAGTACCTCTGCAAGACTTCACAGTGAAGGAACGTTTTTCGTGGGCGGAAAACCGCCAGACGAAGCGAAAAGAAGATGTGGCATATTGCTTGATGGGTATCTTTGATGCCATCATGCCGGTCATGTATGGAGAGGGGGAAAGGCGTGCGCTCGAGAGGCTGCGACACGAGATTTCTAGGAAAAAAGACAAGACCGATAGTATCTTGTCCAGGCTACCCATCGCTTCTGAAGCAGCTTTCAATTCGAGACAGAACGAGGATGAGCCAGTGTGCCTGCCTGATACTCGTTTGGAGCTTCTGGAGAGCATCACCGCATGGGTGGACGGCTCTAACCATGAGAAGTGCATTTATTGGCTGAACGGAATAGCCGGCACTGGAAAATCCACCATCGCTCGTACCGTATCGAGAAGATTCCACGAACAGGGGAAACTTGGCGGAAGCTTTTTCTTCTCCAAGGGCGGCGGTGATCTCAACCATGCCAACAAGCTGGTCACCACGCTTGCCAGACAGATGGCCGAGAAAATACCAGCGGCCAGAGGCCACATAGCCGACGCTATTACAGATCCTGAAGAGATAGTACATTCTTCTCTTCGAGACCAATGGACAAAGTTGATCATTGGCCCACTATCCAAGATAGTCTCTGATCCTCCACTCACAGTTCTACTCGTAATAGATGCGCTGGACGAGTGCGATAGTGAAAAAGACATCCAAGTGATCCTGAGAATCCTATCTACTGCGAGACTACTAAGAACTATCCGGTTACGGGTCCTTATCACAAGTAGACCTGAGAATCTGATCCGACGAATTGTCCAAAAGATTCCGGAAGAGGAGCGTGAGGTCTTTGAACTGCACGATATATCCCCCGAATTGGTAGCGAGAGATCTCAACATATATTTCGAAAGCAAGTTCACAGATATTCGAGATGAGCGTGGTTATCCCGACAATTGGCCTGGGATGAAAATCATAAAGCGTCTGATTGAGATTTCCGGTGGTCTTTTTATCTGGGCCTCAACTGCATGTCGATTCATCCGCGAAGGCCGGCGGCTTGCAAAGAGGCGCATTGAGACCCTCATCAAGGGTTATCGCTCAGGAGCTGGCCCAGAGAAGCAGTTGGATCAAATCTACACCGCAGTTCTCGATAACTCTATCCCAAAAGGCATTGATGAGGAGGAAAGAGACGAGATTTACTCGACTTTAAAAAGTATCCTGGGAAGCATCGTCACACTCTATTCCCCTTTATCCCAAGAATCACTTGCCCTACTCTTGGACATACCCCTTAATGATATTAGGGAGACGTTGAACGATTTCCATACGATTCTCAATATTACCAATGACACAGATCGACCTATCCGCCTACATCATCCAACTTTTCGTGACTTTCTTCTGGACAGGAATCGCTGCAGTGATGATAATCTTTGGGTAGATGAGAGACTAGCACATCATGTGCTGGCTCAAAACTGTCTGGAAGTCATGTCAAGAATGCTCAAAAGAGACATTTGTGGGGTAAGATCTCCAGGGACTCTGCTCGCAAATATAGATGTTGAGAGGATAAGGAAATGCATTCCGCCTCATCTTGAATATGCATGCCTGTATTGGGTTGACCATTTGCGAAAGAGTGGTGTCAAGCTGAGTGATGATGACCCAGTCTGTCGCTTCTTCAAGAGTCACTTCCTTTACTGGCTAGAGGCCATCAATTTGCTGGGAAAGACTGTTGAAATGAGCGCCATCATCAGGCTGTATCACTCCCTCCTGGCGGTATGTTCCTCACTTGACCTTGAGTTCTACAAGGAAGAACATCTAGAGACCAAATTGCTAACATATTAAATCCCCCCCCAGACTGATATGAACGAGCGTCAAATGCCCTTTGTCAAAGACGCCAGACGATTTATCTTTGCATTTCAGAATGTGATAAAGCAAGCTCCTCTCCAGATCTATTCCTCAGCTCTTGCTTTTATCCCGCATACAAATGAACTGAAACACCATTTTCGGCCGCAAATTCATCCGCGGATAAAAAATATTCAGGTTGCGGAAGCTGATATCCCAGAGGCCAAAGATGAGTTCAACTACGTCAGTGATCTCGCTTTCACCCCAGATAGCCGGCACCTCGTGTCAGGATCCAACTTTCCGGCGGTCAGAACGTGGGATATCAAGACCAAGTCTACCCTTCGCAAGTTTGAGGGTGCAAGAGAAAAGATCAGTTCTGTCGCCGTCTCGCCTGATGGACGGATTCTAGCCGCAGGCTCAGATGACTTCAATGTCTTCCTTTGGGACTTTCAGACGTCCACCTTGCTCCACAAATTGGAAGCTCACGGGGGCTGGATCAACTCAGTTGCGTTCTCGCCTGATGGCAAACTGCTTGTTTCAGGTTCTATGGACGAGACCTTTATTCTTTGGGATATTAGGACTGGGAGATTACTTAATCGAATTAGCAATGAGTCAAGTGGTGTCAATTCTTTGGCATTTTCCCCCGGTGGCTTATGTGTCGCTACGGGCTCTGTTGATCAAATTATCAGGATATGGGACCTGAAATATACCGACGAGGTTCACATGATGTTTGACGGCCACTCGGGATGTATCAACTCAATTCAGTTCTCACCTGATGGGAAGGAGATTGTCTCAGGATCAGACGATAAATCCATCAAAATATGGAACCTCGCCACTGGTCTGGAATACAAGACATTGAAGGGACATAAAGAAAGAGTCATGGCTGTGTCGTTCTTCTATGATATCGATGCAGGTGTTTGTCGGGTTGTATCTGGCTCCGAGGACAAGACTATTAGGATTTGGGACGTGGCAAGTGGAACGACACTGGCTATTCTGAAAGAGCATACGAGTGGCATCAACTCTGTTACATTTTCTGCTGACCGGAGTATGCTTGCATCTAGTTCCTTTGACGATGAGGTCCGTCTCTGGGATACAAAGACGTGGAATTTGGTTGGAAAGCTTGACGATTACGATGAAGACATTCTCTCAGGAAAGTTGGCAACATGGCGGCCTTATGATCCGACTCTCACAACGGTCGAGTCGATATCACACACTGAGGATTTCACTGGCCATCCAAACAAAATAACTCGACTGGTAGCTTCACCAGATGGACAATGGGTTGCTTCAAGCTCTCAAATGCTTTGGATCCAAAGTGCCATGATCAAGTTATGGCTGAGAGAAAAAAATCATTGGAGCCTAAAATGGGTTCTGAACGGCCATTCTGCGGAAGTACATGACCTTGTTTTCTCACCAGATAGTCGAGTACTCGCATCGATGTCAACAAATGGCAACTTGATCCTTTGGGACACCGAGACAGGAAGGATCTCACACACCCTTCGGCATTACCAAGAAAATGCACCTGTGGTATTCTCGTCAGATAGCCAGCTTCTTGCTTCACTCTCATCAGCCACTACGATTACGCTCTGGAACACAATCAACGGAAATTCATTATCATCTCTAAATTTCCATACAGCTGCTGTCAGAGGGTTGGTATTCTCACCAGATAATCACTCAATGGCGTCATTTTCAGATGACAGAAGCATTGCACTTTGGAACACCACAGAAGTCCAAAGTTATGTTCAACCTATAATACTGAGCGGCCACTCTGGTCCAGTCACCGCCGTTGCATTCTCACATGATGGTAATTTGCTATATTCCTGTTCGGATGACGGTGCAATCCGCCTTTGGAGCAGCTCCGGAGACTCACATGGTATGCTCCTAGGAGGCACCGAAAATGTTCCCAAGTCTATTGCTGTTTCAGCGGATAACCAGCGACTGGCATGTTACTGCAGAAATGGAAATGTCGAGCTCTGGGACTTACAAAAAAAGTCCAAGAAAGGATCTCTATTTTTGGGACCAATGATACGCAAGTTATCATTCTCACAAGGTGGCCACTTTCTTGAGACAGACCGAGGGACATGGCATGTCGATGACTTTTTCGCTACTAATTCTTCACACCTTCATTCACACTTTAATCACCATCACGGTGTAGTTGCAACCCAAGAATGGCTAAGCAGAGACGGAGAGGATATTGTTTGGCTTTATGAAAAGGAGTATCAGGCAGCCGACTTGGCTATAGCAGGCAACGGAGTCATATTAGGACACCCATCTGGAACTATATCTTTTTTGGGGTTTTAGTTTACAACGTCCAAGGCTTTATGAAATACAACTGAATCTTAACGTGGTAGTTAATTAATGTTTATTCCTATTTTGATTGCATAATATTCAAATACTGTGGTTCTTTCATTAGGACAACTTTAAACCTTAGCTCTCTATACCTACCTAGTGCAAGATCGACTGATTTATTTTTTCAGTAGCCACCGTATGACCTGCATAGCTCTCTTAGTTAACTAGGTACTGACAGAACTGATAACCTGATTTGAGTCAACTCTGATTTATCAAAATATAGGCCTCGTATGAAGATGGTGAAATGGCCGGGATAAAAGTAAACATATCTTGCTATCTTGTTAAAGAAGGCCTTTTCGGGATGAAACAGGCGAAATGCTACCAAGTCCAGATAAAGAAGTCCGGGAGACTAATAAGCAAGAGATAATTACACACCGGGATTTACGTAAATCTACATTCTCGTGGATCTAAAACAGTCTCACTACCGAACTAACTATCCGGATAAAGACCTTTATAGCTTAAATTATGTGCTCGCGCTGCGCCCGCAAGATTCCCCACAGGTAATTCCCCAGCCAAGACTCTGGGAGGCCGTACGCCACTGCTGTTATGCTGTGAACGGAGAAAAAAGATATTACTGCTCAGGTGACCTGATGAGGGATAAATCGAGGCTCGATACTTCACGTAGCACTGTTCAAAGACCCAAATTGCATGGTATTTTGCCAGTCTTCACGACTGATATCACGCCATGTACTTTCTCCGCGGAATCACACAAACGTGGCGTGGCCGATCTCCCGGTCTCTCTCTCGCCATAAGTCTGGACCTAATTGACAATTCCATGTCTGTGATTTGCTCGACCCGAAATTTTAGAGGCGGGCCCCTTTTACCGGGGATCAGGAGATATTTGCGCTAGAATTCGCGATCTTTGCATTTCCGTGAATGGTTTCTCCGCGGACCGTTGGACGTTCTCCACTAACCGCGGCCTCGAGATTAAGCATGAGCGTTCACTCGCCCTCGTTAGTTTTAGCCTAGCACGTGGAAAAAGGTGGTAGAGATAAGGGTTCCATTAGGCCGGCCGAGATTATGTTCCTTGAAAAAGATTCAAGAATCAAAGAAAAATGGGAGATAACGGGATGTTGGTGTATGTAGTGTTGCAGTCATAAGAGTCGGTGTATTCCGGCCGTCCCCTTCTTCGCAGCAAAGGAGGCAAGGTGGTCCAAAATAATATCCATTTATTTGCATGTTATATTACGCCCCATCTCCCATTTCTTCCGGAGCATCGACCTATCTAATCAAGTCGATTCTATCCTCTCTATAGAGCCTGTGTCCAGAACCATCCCTACAGCTATGGAGGCTCCGTCAAGGAAACGTGTTGCTGTTGTTGGCCTTGGCATGGTTGCCATCGCTTTCATTGAGAAGCTCCTCAATTACGATGCCCAGAGCGGCCGGGACGAGTGGGAGATTACTGTCTTTGGTGAAGAGCCCTATATTGCCTACAACCGTGTTGGCCTTACACAATATTTCGCCACTCGCTCGATGGAAGATCTATACCTCAATCCTCTTGACTGGTACTCGTCATTTCCAGAAGGCAAACTAAAGTACATCACCTCAGATCCTGTCACATCCATTGATGCCAGCAGGAAGACTCTCAAGACATCCAAGGGCATTGATTTTGTCTATGACGAGTGTGTTCTTGCTACAGGCTCTAGTGCTGCACTGCCCCCGTTCCTCTCACGCGATCGGTTCAATGATACTCGGGGTTCCTTTGTGTACAGGACCATCAAGGATCTGGACGACATAATTGAGTATGCCACGGACGCACCCAGGACGCTTGGTCGTCCAATCAGGAAAGCAGCCGTCATCGGCGGCGGTCTCCTTGGTCTGGAAGCGGCCAAAGCGCTCCTTGATCTGGGAGAAGTCGGCCAAGTCATTCTGATTGAGGGTGATGGTTGGCTCCTTAGCCGTCAACTTGACCAGGAAGGCGGCAACTTAGTCTTACAGAAAGTCAAGTCTCTAGGTGTTGAAGTGTATCTTGGGGCGCGCGTGCAGAGCCTCCTCTGGGACAGCAAAGAGAGGATCAATGGCCTTGTCCTCCAAGGCAAGGATGGCGAGCCTGATCAGCCGCTTGAGATTGATATGCTCGTCTTCGCTGTCGGCGTTAGGCCTCGTGATGAGCTGTCACAAACTACAGGCCTTGCCGTCACCCAACGTCCAGGAGGTTTCATCGTCGACACACAACTGCGTACCAACCTGCCAAATATCTATGCTATTGGGGAGTGCGCCAACTATCTCGGCCAGGCGTACGGTCTGATTGCGCCTGGTGTTGAGATGGCTGACATCCTCGCCTTCAACTTCACCGAGGGCCCGCATCACAACCTCCGGCACTTGCAGGTGCCTGACCTCAGCACCAAACTCAAGCTAATGGGCGTCGATGTCGCTTCCTTCGGTGACTACTTTGCTGATAGAGGCATGATCAGTAAGCCAATTCCTGGCACCACTCCGCGCGCAGCACGAGCGAATGGTGCTTCTCAAGGACAACCTACTCTTTCTCCAGACGAGATCAAAGCCAAGGTTAATGCTGTCACATATCGGGACCCTTTCTCAAGCATATACAAGAAATATATCTTCACCACAGATGGCAAATATCTTCTTGGAGGAATGATGGTTGGTGATGTCAAGGACTACGTCAAGCTTGTAGCAATCTGTCGGAAGGGCTCTCCCATGGAAAAGCCCCCTTCCCAATTCATTCTCGGAGCCAAAGCAGATGGCGAGGAGGAAGGGGACGATCTTCCAGACGATGCCCAGATCTGCAGCTGCCACAATGTCACCAAGGGCGCCATCACCCAATGCGTGAAGGACGGCGCGCGGTCCTTTGGCGAGGTCAAGACAAGCACCAAGTGCGGAACCGGCTGTGGAGGCTGCGTGCCACTTGCAAGCAGCATCTTTAACCGCGCCCTCGTGGCGGCTGGTGTGGAAATCTCCAACCACATCTGCAAGGATTTCGCCTATTCCCGCCAGGATCTATATCAGATCATCAAATTCCGAAAACTCAAGGATTTCACAGCCGTTATGAAGGGTGTAGGAAAGAAGCCTGATAGTCTCGGCTGTGAAATCTGCCGACCTGCTGTTGGCTCGATCCTAAGCTCCGTTTACAACGAATGGATTATGAAGCCGTCTCTCCGCCAAACGCAGGATACGAATGACCGATATCTCGCCAACATGCAGCGAGACGGAACTTATTCTGTCGTTCCGCGACTGCCAGCTGGCGAGATTACGCCAGACGGTCTGGTCGTCATCGGGCAAATTGCTGCTGAATATGGCCTGTATACCAAGATCACCGGCGGCCAGCGCATTGACATGTTCGGCGCCAAGAAGCAAGACCTCCCCCAGATCTGGGAGAAGCTTATCAAGGCCGGCTTCGAGAGCGGTCACGCATATGGCAAGGCTCTTCGCACAGTCAAGTCTTGTGTGGGCAGCACATGGTGTCGTTACGGCGTCGGTGACTCGGTCGGTCTCGCCGTGGAACTCGAACAGAGGTACAAGGGTCTGCGGGCGCCGCATAAGCTGAAGGGCGGTGTGTCAGGGTGTATTCGGGAGTGTGCAGAAGCACAAGGGAAGGACTTTGGGTTGATTGCGACGCCAAAGGGGTGGAATGTCTACGTTGGTGGCAATGGCGGCGCGAAACCGCGGCATGCAGAGCTGATTGCTGAGAATGTAACTCGAAGAGACGCCGTGAAGATCATTGACCGCTTCATCATCTTCTACATTCGGTCAGCGGATAAATTGGAACGAACCGCACGTTGGGTGGAGAGGTATCCAGGCGGGCTGCAGGGTGTCAAGGATGTTGTTGTCAGTGACAAACTTGGCATCTGCGCTGATCTTGAGCAAGAGATGGACAGTCTCGTTGGCACATACCACTGCGAATGGACAGAGGTTGTGAATAATCCTGAGCGTCGGCGCATGTTCAAACAGTTCGTCAATACGGATGAGACACAAGTTGAGAGCGAGAAAATCACACAGCGGAAGCAGCAGCGCCCCGCGGACTGGGCAGATAAAGAAAGCCCCTTACGATTCAGCATCCATGATGTGACCAAGGATGCTAAGTGGGAGTGGCGACCAGTCTGCAAGCTCTCTTCGCTGGACTGCCGGGATACCTCGCCTACCTCGGTGACTGTTAAGTACGGCAACGTCCAGCTCGCGGTGTGGAATATTCCCGGTCGTGGCCTCCGCGCTGCGCAAAACATGTGCCCTCATCGGCGAGCGTTTGTCTTATCTGATGGCCTGGTGGGAGAGGACGCCAACGGAAATGAATACGTCTCCTGCCCACTACATAAGCGAAACTACCAGTTGAATGCGGATACAAATCAGGGCGGTGGCAGTTGCTCAGATAGCGACTACTCAATCATGACCTTCGAAGCCAAAGAGGATCTCGAGAACGACCAAGTTCTCCTCAAACTCCCACCCACAGAGGCCCTTGACGCCGTACTCTCCACGTCGAAATGGATGCTGCTTAAGGCCAAGGAAGAGTCGGACTTACTCGCGGGAGACTCCAATCATTCCGTCGAGTTTGCTGAGCCTCGCAGCCGCATGGATGCTACGGGAGCAGATGAGTCTCGTCCTGCTGTTGCCTGTGGTGGCGGTTCTAATCTTGAGTGGTAGATGGACCTACGTACGGAGTTTAGAATTGGCGGTAGATATCTAAACGGTAGCTATGAAGTTGTCTAGCTACTGTCATTGTTCTCACATCCTTGTTGTCGCTACTGGGAATCACACACATGGTATATATTGAAAATGATAGAGTACGTAACAGAAAGAGAATAAAATTCAACAGCAATGGAAGCTGCCAGAGCCCGACAACTCAACACAATGAATGATGATAGAGTACTAAATTCAATTAAAGATATGCTTAACACGAGCACCAACCCCCTTACAGTACATAGAGTAGGAAAGGCAATTACATGATAAAACACAGGCTTGGCTACTAACAGTCTTTGAAAATTCTTTGCTGTTTCAGT